TTTCTTTATTATGTTACTACTGTTAGTATTCTTATATTACCTCTCTTATTAGTATTCTATCTTAGTCTCTATTAAGGATATAGTTTTATGTAGCTTTTTAGTTTTTGAGGTATATTAGATATCTTATATATTAGTTGTCCTTATTATTTACTTTAAGAAAAGCTTCTCTATAGTTTCTTTTTGCTATAAAGGCCTTAAAGTTTAGATTACTTTATACTATAAAGATAGAGGAGGTAGGTTTTATAGTTTATAGGATAGAATATCTATTATACTTAGATAGCTTTAGATATTAGTTAAGATTATAGTATAAGGCTGGGATTATGCTACTATTATAGTTACTAATAATATTAGAAGAGCTAGTGTTTATTATTATATTTAAGCCTTTTAGTAGCTAGTAGGTGATATTAGGAGATTTTATAAGTATTTTAGTAGGTGTAGATATAAAGTTTATTTTTCCCTTTTCTGTTTTAAGCTTAAACTGCTCTCTATATTAATAGATTATCTTAGTTCTATTCTGCTCCTATATAGATTTATTCTTAGTAAATTCTTAATAGTTCCTTATTAGTAGGTAGTCTAAAGTATAGTATCCCTAATACTTATAGTTAAAGTACTAATATTTATACTTTAGTATTATATTTAGCCTCTAGGTTAGATTTATATTATATTATATATTATAGGGAGGGTAGTTCTACTAACTGTTTTAGTAGGTGTTTTATATAGAGATTTATAATATTATCTTGCTAAGCTTTTCTACTATCTTCTCTTAACTATATTCTATAGACTTAATAAGTTTTATTATAGGATTATTATAAGAATCTCCCTCTAAGCTTAAGTTATTAAAGTTTAAGATATAGTTTAGAGTATAGTATCCTTTAATTATCTTCTTTAGGATATTAAATATATATTTTATAGGATATCTATAATTAGAGAGCATATTCTTAAAGTATAGTCTATTAGATATATAACCTTAAATATCTTAGTTTTTATTACTATTTAGAATAGATTTAAAGACCTTATAGATAAATATCTTATTATACTTAGCTAAGATTTTATATCTAATATTTATAGCTTGCTTTAGGAAACTTAATATTATTTCTCTAGGTTTTCACTTAAAAGATATTATAATTTAGATAACTATAATATATCTTTAAGTATTATCTTCCTTAGTAAATCTTTATATAAAGAGTTAGCTAAGCTTATTTTAATTTTTATAGTTATCTTTCTCTTAAGTTTTAAGTTACTCTTATACTTCTCTATAGAGGTATATATAAAAGATTATTAAGTGTTAGTAATTAACCTTATTATTAGAATTAAGGTTTATTTAGTTAACTAAAGCCTTAATATAATTAAGGAATTCTTTAGCTATAAAAGCTTAACTATATCTTAAGAAAGTAAGGTTTTATAGCCTATCTATTTAGAAAGGGTTTATCCTAATTAGTCTAAGTTAGAAAGTAGATCTTAGTTATATTTTTAGAGATATCTAAAGTACTAAAGATAGGGATAGAGGTTTTAATAGGAATAGAGATATAATAGTAGAGGAAGGATCTAAGTTAATAATAAGTAGAGGAGTTCTTAGTAGTTTTAGGAATATAAAGTCTTTTGATATAGATAGAAAATTCTTCTAATTAGTTAGTATAATTAATAGTAGTATTTAAGAAGAAAAGGATAAAAGTTAAATCAGTCTATCTACTAACTAAAGCTATCTTATAGTTAGCTACTAACTTCTTTAGATCTTTTAGGGTGATATTAAATATAGTTTTATCTATTAGGGTTATTTATTATTAATTTCCTCTAAGTTTAGTATTTAGTAGCTAAAGGATAACTTTAGTAAATAAAGAGTAGTAGGTTAGGAGAAAATAGAGAAGGTTAGTAAGGTTTTATCTAAATATATATTAAAGGGAATAAGAAAGATTAATAGGTTAAAGTAATTAATTAATACTAATAACCTCTTAGTTATAAAGTTTAAATTCTAATATAAAGTTAAAAGAGGGGAGTCTATAAGCTATACTTATCCCCTAGCTAAAATACTTTCTATTTAGCTATATCTATCCTTTCTTTTCTATTATTACTCTTTCTACTCTAAGTTAGGTAGGTTACTAAGGTATTATATATAACTAGCTTCTAAACTAAAGGGGTAACTTCTCCTTTCCTAAAATATTACTATTACTACTATTATAGTAGGTAATTATAAATCTTCCCTTCCCCTTAGGGAAATCTTCCTTCTCTCTTAGGTATCCTTCTAGATATTTCTCTATTTATCCCTTCTTTATCCTTAGGTGATCCTTTTTAGGTTTATATCTAAGTTATCTTATAGGAGTATCTTTTTTAGATTTCTACTTTATATTCCTTATAGAAGGGGCTTATCTATTATACTATATCTTAGGATATATATTCCTCCCTTAAAGTCTTTTTTAGGTCTTCTTCCTATATTCTACTATAAGAAGTGCTATTCCTACTATTTCTAAGTAAGCTGTTTATACCTAAATAGGAATCTTTAAATCCTTCTCTCTTATTATTATTTTATTATTATAAAATCTTCCTTACTCCTCTAATAGGTTTTTATTTATATAGTATGCTTAGGGTGGGTAGTCTTTTAGATATAAGTTATCTTAGGGACTTAGTAGTTTTTAGAGGTTTTTATAGGGATTTAGAGGTTTTTAGAGTAGAAAACCCCTTAAGTGTAACTTTTATAGATATTATACTTTAAAGTTCCTTAATAGTAAATTTTAGGCTATTTTCTTTTAAGTTATATTATTATATTAATTACTTTAATATAAATATTAGCTATTTTTATTACTAAATAGAATATTTCTAATTATTTGCTGTTATTATCTATCCTTATACTTTAGTATATATAGTCTAAGTTTCACTAGGTGTTATTTAGGGATATATATTCTTTTCTACCTTACTGCTACTTATTTAACTTATATAATTTCTCTTATTACCTTTAGGTATATTAAACTTATATATCTATATTATAGTTTAAATAATATAGTTATTTTCTTAGGTTTAGCCTATTATATTACCTCTATTCCTTTTAGCTACTTTAGGTCTTCTGCTTTTTCTCTTACTACTTATACTAAATACTTATATTAGTTTTCTAATTATATATTTTTGCTTATTCTATATTAATACTCTATATATATTTATTTCTTTTAGTCTTATTTTTATTTAGCTTATTATTATAGCTATAGTTATATTTATATTCTTTTTTCCTTATAATTACTGCTTTATTATTACTACTCCTAAGTTGCTTTTACTTATCTTATATTTACTCCTTAGTAGGATAATATAGCTAATTACTCTTATATTAGTTCTATTTACTCTACTTGCTCCCTGCTCCTTCTTATTAGCTTACTCTTACTTCCTAGTTTTAATTAGTTACTTAGGAATATTTAGGAGAGGTTAAGGTCTACTTTAAGATACTTTATATAGAAAATTTATAGTTACTTTATCCTACTACTTTCCTATCTAGCTAAGTACTCCTTATGTAGCTCTTATAATTAGTTTATAGTTTATTTATTATAGGATAAAATTATATAGTTATTAGAGGGAGAAATAATTTCACTTATAGTCTAATTAGTATTAATTAAGGCTATCCTTATTATACTTTCCTCACTAAGTAATCTTCTACTATAGTGCAAAATTATTAGTATAGTTTAAGAGGAGAAATATTTATCGCGTTAGGGCTTAATTTATAGTCTTCTCAGAGGTAATATTAGAAATCTTTAGTTAGGAATTATATCACTATAATTACCTCTTTATGTATAGAAAATTTAGCTTATTATATATGTGTTTATTTAGAGGAGAAAATTATTATATATAGAGAGAAATAAATTAATTTAAAATAGAAGATAAATAATCGTAGGATCGTTAAGTTAATATTAACGAAAAATCCACCTCTAGGCATTATTATTAAGTAGTGATAATTATGCTTAATTAATCTAAGTTCTAACTACGCCCTATAGTATGCCTCTAAAGCCTTCTAGCTGATTAGCTAATTAGTGGCTAGTGGTGGTAGTGGTAGTGCTATCTCTATAGGCTCTCATAGCGACAGCTTCGCTGAACCTTCTAGCGAGGTGCTGCGAACGCCACTAAACGAGAGATAACTCCTCAACCAAAGAGGTCGTCAGAGAGGTTCTCACAGCCAGAAGCATCAAAAGCTCTGCGCGCAGGGCCTTCTACCCATCCCTTTCCTCTTCCTCACCAACCGTGCACATGTAAGTGCGGCTGAGGTTAGGAGAGGGACGTGGTCGGAGACTTGGGAGGTCGTCAGGTTACGATCACGTGACCAAAGGCTGTGTGTATTGTCAGGAGGCGCGGAGTTAGGAGGTCTGTCGCTCTAAGCAGGTAAAAATCACTGTGAACGGCCAGAGGCCACGAGTATCGTTCTTAGTATCGCGTGGTTAAAATTTATACAGGATCAGTCACCACGCCTGCCGTAACTCTAGTACACAAACAGAGTGATGTACATACCACCCACAGGAAGGACATCTCCAACCAGCACATCAGGCGCCGTGTCTTCAAGGAAGATGAGCTTGAGACGGCTAGCTAAGGGGCTGTCGCTAGCTCGGGGTCTGGTAGCCGCGTAACCGAAATCGCGGTTGAAAGCTTTTCTTCAAGTTTCCATAGGCGACGCACATGCCCTAGATACAAAAACCATTATCAACGAGGGCGATTGCGTATCCATTGCTCACTTTGTAGCCAATTATCAGGGCAGTATACGTTGGTGGTCAAGTGGATGTCTGAAAGCGAGGTGGTTCGGGACAAGAATGGGGCTGAACGGTTGTGTAGGGAAAGCCCGCATTTGCGGAGACACACAAAAAGGATCACAGTACAGCAAAACCAATCATTTGTAGGACCGACCGCGGTTCGAACGCGGGGCCTAGAGATACCTGCAAACAGAGGGACTGCAATCTCTCGCTCTACCACTGAGCTATCGATCCAAACAGAAACCAGATGTCTTTCCATGCCAAGATAATCACTTCAATACCGCTACTTCAATTCGCAGAGTTAACTTTTCGAAGCTTTCGCTTCGTAAGACTCTTGTTGTCTTCTCCATCTTGCTCTAGGGTGCCTTTCGAGCCTTGAGCGTCGATGATAACATCGTTGGAATATACCACGCCATCAAAAACCTCGTCAATTTCCTCCAATGTTCTGCCTTTCGTCTCAACAAACAAACAGTATACCACAGCCAGAATTCCCAGATTCCAACCACCATTGATCGCGTAGTACCGCCAGGAGATTCGTTCGATCGCCAAAGGAGCGGTGTAGAGATTAAGGAAGCTGAATGCGTAACCGATGGCTTGGGCGACCACCACACCCTTGGCTCGCTGTGAGTATCGGAGTATTTCGGGTGGGTAAGTGTATGCCAAGATCATCCTGCAGCGAAGTTAGTCACGAATAGAAAGTGAACGCCGAAAAGCTATCTTACCAACTGGTAGAGACTGCAAGCAAGAAAAGTGCAACAACGACAATTGAACCAATGGCGTATGAGTTGGTGTCCGGGTGGACTTCCGTGAGGTGGGACAAGCCAGATAAAAGACCAAAAAGAATCACAGTTGCTGATGTGCCGGCAACTAAAATGGCATGTTAGCTTTGCGAAACAATACCGAATTCTCACTATTCTGGATACATACGCAATGGCTTCCGAGCGCCGACCCGATCGATAAGGAATACGCCAAGGATACTGCAAAAGGCCTTCCACAGCAAGAGGGCGATGTTAATAGTGATGATGGATCTCCTGCTGGAAACACCTAGGCTCGAAATGATGTATGACGAGAAGTACCTGAGCGGAAGGTTAGCCTTTCGTCTACGTTGCGAAGACACCGAGGAGCCTACAGAATCATGTTCCCTCCAAGGATTTGATAGAATATGTTCGTCAAAACAGCAATGGTAAATCTTTTCATGTTAGAGGCTACAGAAAACATCAGGTTAGTCAAGACCTAGAGAATGGTATATAATCGGCTCACCAGGTGTAATGAGTTCGCGCCATGCCCCTTGACCGTCCTTCTCCTGATTGAGAGAAGCAACAATCTCCTGCGCTTCGGTAAGTACCTCAACGTTATGTACGTCGCCGTCAGCATGCAGGCGGGCAAGAATCTCGGTTGCCTATGAGTGGTCAGCAATTGATATGGTTATGCATTAGTTGTACCTTACCTCTTCAGCACGTCCTTTGGAAAACAGCCATCGAGGACTCTCATCAACGAATGGCAAGAGACAGAGTGAAATGATGGAAGGGACTGCCTCGCCCTTGACAGAAAGGTTAGACAAATCGACGTAGTTGAGGAACTTTCGATGACACTCACTAGCATGATGCCTCTCCATACCCAGTTAGAATCCTTGTCGAAGATTCCAAGTACGATACAGGCAACCAAGAAGGAGGTGAATGGCACAGAAACGAGTACTGTGCTAGAGCAGATGGTTCTGTGCTTTGGCGAAGCCAGCTCCATCACCCACATAGGGGCAATGGAGCCGTTGACTAGAGAAGCGAATCCGATAATGAACCGACCGACAATGAGTTGCGGCACTGTTTGACGCTGTTGTCAGTTTTTGATTTGAAAGCTTTTCGGCCAACGCCACGTACCAGCTGATGCGGAAGCTTGTAGGATAACTCCAACAATGATGCAGATGGACCCAGCGGCAAGGCCCATCTTCCGTCCCCAACGGTCAACTGCCGGCCCCACCACCGGGGCTCCCAAGACCGAACCGGCGCTGATAATCGCAACGTTTAGACCGATCAGATCGCTATTGAGGTTGAAATCTGTTTCGAAGCATTAGAAAAGCAACCCAGTTCAAGAAGAAGACAAACAATCGTTGTACGGCTTGACCGCGTTCAAGTTATTGATCATGCCGGCATCGTAAGAAAGAATACAAATATTCAGCATAGCAACTAAGACAATAAGAATGTGTGAAAAGACGGGCCCAAGACTAAGCGCCGCCATGGTGAAATCGAGTTCAAACTTCAAGATGGATAAGGTATTGGCTCTGTGTTGATGGTGCAAAGAATGATAGAGTGGAGGCGCTATGTATGTCGCTGCCTCACCGAAACTGATAGCAATTCAGTTGAAGACTGACGACTTCTTGGACACGCATGCGTTCAATTATATCTCGGTGAACTGTGCATTGGACAGATGCTTGCCTCACCCTCCATGCGATAACACTCCAACTATCTCGAGGCACTACTGGGGTGAGATAAGACGCGTTGGGTTAGATCGCTGAATCTTGGCCACTTGCTATCGCACATTTTCTCCGGGCCATTCTATCCCGACAAGAGTTGATTCAGGCAATGTCACAGTGCCAGCACAGAATTGCATGGCAAGTCCAAATCGACGCGCGTATTTCCCGAGCATGCCGAGCCCCACGGAAAACCTCGGCCGGGCTTTTTGGTTGGTGTCCCGTCTGTTATCATTGAAGTTTCATCTTGCCGTCATGTCAATCTCAAAAAGTCAACGACATTTTCGGACTATAGTGTTCATTAGCCGGCAGATGCTGTGGGCTGTTGAGTAGAGCGTTATGGTATTCGCCACTGGTGCCCGTAGTAATACATTTACGCAAAGGCTGTGCCCTCTCACTTGGCACGCACAAAAGGATAGCGACGGGGATAATTGACCAATGAAAGTGACAGGAGGTTCAGGAGGATTAGAAATTGACTTTGTCCCGACGAAATGCCTAACTGTGAGATGACTGTGGGAGATGCTCATGTTTCGGTGTCATGTGGAGGGCGAAATCTGGTGGACACACTTGTTCGTACGAAAAGCTCCCACGAGACCATTAGCACATAGCCTTGGAAGCTGGAATAAAACATACTGAATTGAAGCTTAAACTACAACCATCTGCAAAGCAAGGGTAAATGCGCTGGATTAAAGGTGCACCCTGTGAATATGTTCAAGTGCATCTTGGGTCTCGACGGCACGCTTCTTTACGACAAGATTAGGCTACACCATACGTAATTGACGAACATCAATTTTCACTGGTGACCAGGTTTGGGTTCAAGCAGCTAAACCCACTGACCGACGTAAACAGTATCCTTGGATATTTCTGATATGGTAGCTTCAAACCTTCTACTCTAATAAGCAATGAATCTCTAAACGCAATGAAACATGTGCATCCACCGGCACCCCAAAACATAATACATCACCAATATCCACCGGGAGGTGGAGGTACAGCAACGTCCTTCAGGTGTCCATTGACCCCGTTCTTGATATCCTTCGCCACCTTGTCAAAGTTGCTCTTCGCGAAATCCAGCGGGTCCCATGGCTTCAGCTTCGGAAATCTCTTCTGCGCCCATTCCTCAGGGGCCGCTTCAATTTCGTCCCAGGGAATCTTGTAAAATGCATCGCGATTCTTCTGGCCGCTTTCGTGTACCGCGTTGGAACGATGAAAACGAATCCGCTGGGCAGCCTCCAAAGCCAGCTTGACGTCACCCTTAGACAACTCAAGACACTCGGCCACCGTCACAGCATCCTCCAGTGCTTGAGATGCTCCTTGACCAGCGGTGGGTAAGTTGGCGTGAGCTGCGTCTCCGATGAGAATGGTGCGGCCTCCTTTGCTGACCCAGGTATCTATGGTAGGTCGGTAAACAAGTTTGAAATCGATAGTCTTCCCAACTGGGGTCACATCGAGAAGCGCCTGGGCATCCCTTCCAGGAAAGTAGTTCATCCACTTGACAACATGCTCCCGTTCAGCTATGTTTGACCAAGATTCGGAGGATTCTTTGTCATCCTGATATTGTGAATATGTTAGCAGTCTAGTTAATGCCGATTAAAGGTGTGGAAGCTGCTTACCGGATGGATCAATACCCAAGCAATATCTTGACCCTTGTTCCAGACAAACGCCATGAGGCTCAAGTTGTCATACATCCAGAATCTCACAGTGTCCCTGTCCTCGCGGTAGAGATCCTTCAATCCAGGGTGGCTTCTCATGGCCTCGTCGGTTTTGAAAAAGCTTCTGAACACAGCCCATCCACTACTGGTGCCATCTATCTTCTCGTCGTCCAGTTGCAAAATCTGCCCACGAGCAATAGATCGAGGGCCGTCGGCTGCTATGACACAATCGGCCCACAATGTTTCTCCCGTGGACAGCCGCACACCAGCACGTCGATCTTCCTCCAGGTATTCACTGACAGCGACGCCAATTCTGACGTCCTTGACAATAGTCTTCGCGTAGGCGAGGAAAATAGAGTGGATCTTGCCGCGGTGACCGGCATACGTAATGTTGTGCTCTTTGTCATCTCTTGCCCATGGAACGTTGACAATAAATTTGCCGTCGAACTTATGGAGCTCCATGGTTCGGATGCGACTGCACCCAGTGTCGTGAATCTGCTGGCCAATCTTCCCATCATCCCATCGATGAATAATTCGTCCGGCATTCGGGAAAAAGTCCAGAATATCTATGTAATGGAACATTCTTATTATCATCTGAGGATTGGGCGTGATGAAGGAGCCGACTTACCGCCTTGGCTGTTTGAGTCAGGATACTTCTCAATCACGGTAACATTCATGCCGCGTTGAGCACATTCAATAGCCGCACCAAGCCCGCCAAAGCCGGCGCCAACGATAATCACCTCTAATTTGTTGTTCACTGTCATATTGGCTGTGGGTACTGGATTCCGGTATAAAGACGAGATGAGTGAGGTGGTGTTATCGTGTTACACTTGACGGCGTTGGATCTTACTCATGAATTATCAAGGTATATAAGACTTTTTGATTCCGGCCATGAGCCCATATCTGCCTATCTAGGCATTATTCTGCAAAAACGCCAAGCCTGACTGGTTCCGGACAGGAGGGTTGTGGCCGAGGTCCAAGCTGCTCTTCGTTCGGGATCTCCCCCGAAAAGCCGAACATGCAGTCTAGCAGGAAACTTGGCGCTATCCTCGTTGGATTTCAATGCAGATCTGCAACAGTATCCATCTTCTATGCGCAAACTTGTCTTGTATGGAATATAGCTCAAAGACCTTAGTATTGTGCCAACATCCATTGACCTCGTTTCTACGCAATCCGTCTCTACCGTGCCCAGATTCGACTAGGCCTTCACAGAAACTGCCAGATTCATGCAACCAAATCCAGCCACAGAATCAGCTATGGTGTCTAATACCACTCCAAACCAGGCTGCAGACGCACCTTCTTCTGAATCGACGGGTCATGTCACGAAGCATGTGTCACGCTTTGAAACTCTGCAGGTGCACGCGGGTCAAACTCCTGACTCTACGACGTTGGCCCGCGGTGTGCCGATATACCAAACCTACGTTTTCAACTTCCGCAGCTCAGCCCATGCTGCGAGACTTTTCAACCTAGAGGAAGAGGGCGAGATCGCCACACGCACTGGCAATCCCACCACCGCTGTTGTTGAGCGTCGGGTGGCGGCGCTTGAGGGCGGCGTTGCGGCAGTAGCAGTGTCATCCGGCCAGTCAGCAGTCTTCATGACTATGGTTGCCTTAGCTGGGCAAGGGGACAATATTGTAGCGACCAAACACTACTATCATGGTGCTTACAACCAGTTCTCCTTCTTGCTGCCAGAGTTTGGTGTTGAAACCAGGGTGGTAGAGGAAACAGCCGAAGCCTTTCGAGCGGCCATTGACGGGCGCACGAAAGCCGTCTATATCGAAACTGTGGGGCATCCAAACTTCAACGTGCCCGACATCCAAGCCATTGCAAAAGTAGCACACGACAACGGCGTGCCCCTCGTGGTTGAAAATACGGTTGGGTGTGCTTATTTCTGTCAACCCATCCAACACGGGGCTGATATCGTTGTTGCCAGCATGAGTAAATGGATCGGAGGCCATGGCAGCGCCACAGGTGGCATCATTGTCGACTCCGGCAACTTCGACTGGAAAAGCTCTACACACTTTCCACAGTTCAACAAGCCTTGCCCAGGGTTTCACGGACTGAACTTCTCTGAGAGGTTTGGCAGAGAAGCCTTCATTATGCGCATCAGAGGCCAGATTCTGCGAGACGTAGGCTCATGCCTCTCTCCTTTCAACAGCCAGCAGTTTATTCTGGGAATCGAGACGCTCAGCCTGCGTTGCGAGAGACACGCGCAGAATACCATTGCCCTGGCCAAGTGGCTGGAGAAGCACGACAACGTTCTGTGGGTTTCCTACCCTGGGCTCCCTAGTCACCCGCACTACGACCTTGCCCAAAAGTATTTGCCCAGGGGAGCGGGCGCGGTGCTCATGTTTGGCGTTAAAGGTGGGGCAGACGCAGGAGAGCAGCTGGTTGACAATTTCAAAATGATCTCGAATAATCCAGGGTAAAGAACTCGCGTTTTGTCTCCCACCCATCGTTCCTTAGCTAATTCCTTCAGATACGGCGATGCCAAAACGACTGCGATGCACCCATGGTCTACCACACACAAGCCAATGTTGCCTCATGAAAAGATTGATTTAGGTGTTGCCCCTGAGATGGTCCGAGTTTCGGTGGGGATTGAACATTTGGACGACATCATGTACGATATTGAACAGAGCATGCGGGCTAGCCCTGCCGTGGCAAAAGGCGATAAATGATCAAGAGGCAGTCAAGTTAGGATCAAATTAACTGATGTATCTGTCTACTCATTGTATGGAACTTCTCGAAACCAAGAAGTGACCTTTTGTGACTTCCATTAACTAGCATGCTATCACGAAATCCATCTCAGTGATACATCGTCGAGGGCACTGGCAATGCCTTGATGAACTCACTCAAGCATGATAACCATCACATACGACCATACCCACTGGAAAACTCGGGATCCCGTCCGCTCTCCCATAGATAAGCCAGTGAGGGACGGAGTAGTAGTCGGGTCGGTGACGACCGGCGAATGCCCGTTGTTGTATGTTCTTTTTGTCTTTTTCGTGTCCCTCTCTTCTTTTTCAAGAGCGGGAGATTGTCGCTTGGCATCGATCCGTCAAAGAACAAAATCAAACGACTTGCAGTAGGAGAAACAGTCTTAAGATTTGAGCCACCTAGAAACCACCTCTGTAATATCTTCTTCCAGATCGTTATTCCAAATCCAATTCATTCTGCCTTGCAGGTTCTCTTTGATCTTTTCAAGATCATCCCCAGCCGCTTCAAAATGCCAGAGATGTCCAGCCTCTCTGCTCGTAGACACTACTCTTTCGGTGCGATCTACTCTAGCAGCACTGAATGCTTCAAAAGCCGTGGGCAAATCCTCTGCTTTCTCAATGTGTCGGAGAATCCTTCCCAAGACGTATGCATCCTCTACTGCCATTCCGGCGCCTGCTCCCTGAAAAGGAGTAGAAGCATGTGCAGCGTCGCCAAGGAGACACAGTCGGCCTTTGTGATAGGCACTGGTAGGTGGCATGTCGAAGAGAGCCCAGATGTCTGACTGCCCCATTAGCCGGACGATGTTGAGCACATCCTCGCCCCAGCCATCGAAGCTTTCCAACATCTGTGTCTTGGTGGCTGGAATAACCATGGTGTCGTGTTTCCATTCTTTGTATGACTGAAATGCGACAACGTTCATCATCCTACCTCCTGCCACCGGAAATGTGAGCATGTGGCCGTGGTATCCGAGGTAGGCTTGACAGTTCTTCGCCTTCTCCTCGCCGAGAAGCTCCACTGCCTTATCCATTGGTACCATTCCCCTGTAGCAGTACTTGCCGGTGTAGACTGGTTTGGCGAGGGTGTGGTCCTTATCGAAGATGACGCTTCGGACTCGACTCTTGATACCATCACATCCAATGGCGGCACTATGGTGGGCTGCTGATCCATCCGCAAATTTGAGAATAACACCTCCTTTCTCGTTATCCTCAACATCAATGACAGTCTTTCCAAATTTAGCGAGTCCTGGGGGGAGGAGTTTCTCCAACTCTTCAACCAGGTGAGAGCGATTGACCATCCAGCTGCCGGGGGCGGGATGCTCAACGGAGCAGAGATAAGTCCCGGCAACAACACCACGAGCCTTCGCTGCTGCATCGGGACCGTCCATGCCAACTCGGAAGTCAAACCAAGTGTTTCGTTTGTCATTGAAAATGTTTTTGTTTGCGCGGGCTTCAACTGCAGAAGCCAATGGCTTTGAAATTTGCCGAAGCGCTCTCACGACATTTGGCCCAAATGCGACACCTGCACCGATTTCACCAAACTTCGGGGCATTTTCGTATATGGTGACTGGAATACTTGTTTGGCTGGTAACACAGAGAGCCAAGCAAAGACCACCGATACCGCCACCGACAATTGCCAGATCGAAGTCGCTTGAAGTCATATCGTCCAAGGTAATAGTGAGTTGGTTGTTTGAGGGTTGGGTGTTCAGGGTCTGTGGTTGGCCAGCACGAGCAGTCGTCCAATGAATGGTTCTCTAGATAAGCCTCGATAAGAATCAGGCCAGGGGCAGAAAGCTAGACTACGTTGGTGGAGATCCTGAAGACGTGATAAGGGACGGAAGTTCGATCTCCTGGCTCGGTGAACCTAGGTGCTACTCGGAAAATGAGGTAAAGTACGCGGTGTACGCTATCGGTACCTAGATCACAGAACGTACCATGTATCACGCTAATCTGCGTTCATTTCAATATTTGGACATAGCTATGTCGCGAAAGTAGGAAGACCGATTCGTCCGAGGGCAGGTTTCACTCATCGGCCGAAAGTCCGCTTCTTAACACACACCGGTGTACGCCGACCAGTCACAGCTTTGGGCACGTTTGACGACCTTCTGGCATCAATGCTACATTCCCTTTCATGGAACTGTCGGAAGACTCTGAATCATGTTACTCTGATCTTTTACCAGCATCTGACTCTGCAGCTTTCGATGGCTTCAATGGCGGTTCCATTTGAGATTTACTATCCTATCGTGCGGGCCAAGCTGCAGCAGAATGCCATCGCAGTGGCAGGATGGACTTTGCTCAGCGCCGGGACCTTGGCGGCCTTGCTGATTTGGTCGGTGGCGGTGGGCACCAAGATGCCAAAGCTTCCAATTGCGATGGGAGAAGAATTACCGAATCAACAGGAAAGAATCGACATGTTCATAAAAGACACTCGGAACTTACTGATAAGCAGCTATAACAAGGTGAAGCGAGGTCACATCAGTGTCGACAGCAATCCAAAGCTGACAGTTCAACCACATTAGTTTCAAAACCAAGTCTTCGGGATAACAACAACGGAAGGCTAGTTGGAGCAACATGAAAACTATGACTCCATTCTAACTAAGGCTTAGGCACCAACATCATGATCCCCCTCGACCTCCTCCCTGGGCTTGGAAGCACAAAGTCTTTGAGTTTCGCAGCGTTTCTTGAGGAAGAGGTCAGTGATGCAATGATATTGAAGGTCGCTGTGTTCTGAATAGCCGCAGTTCAGCATGAAAAGGTACACCAAAGTCGGGAACCTTGACGAGAAGCAAATTGCCATCCTAAACAAAAAGCTCAATCCTAGTCTAAGTGAGTTGCAACCAATCAACCTGCTAAGGAAAGTCAGATTGGGGCAGCGCTGAGTTTTCCCAGATGAATATGTTCCGGTGCTAGTCAAGCTAATTCGACACCACTGGCCATTGAATGAGTATGATGGTAAGTCAATCAAAAGCGTCACCAATATCAGCAACAATGCAGTCGGTCCAGCTCAATTGATGGCGCAAAGAATGTTGTGTCTTTTCCTATGACATCGGGGAGCTACCATAACCATGCTAATCATCATTCAAAGAAGGCTCCGTCACTGTCAAGCCCTGGTCGCATGTGATGCGTCAAGTATCGCGCGTATCTGCTCGAATCTTTCACAGTTCTGACGCAGCCGAAGATGACCATTGGTTGGACATTGCCAGTGAACATGTTCACTCCACGGTCGTGTGGACAGAGAACTTAAAGAAGTGGCCTGCAATGCTTCGTCCCTGGGTCTATCGATTTGTCCAGGGTCGAGGAATAATGACACAGCGCTTTGCCGAAGGTGAAGCTGTGGTGACTGAGACGCTCAGGAAGAGGAAGGCGAGGAAGGGTGGCCATCTAAGCAATCCCCCATCGCTTTTGGATTACCTTGCCGATGGTGAACTGGGTGCAGACGATGTCGAAGCACACACTGTCGCGCAGATCAACCTGTGTGTCGCTGCCATTCAGTCCATGGCTTCGACAGTGACTCAGTGTCTCATGGACCTTGCAACGTATCCACACTATCTGCCTGAGCTTCGTGAAGAGATGTCTTCAATGATTGCGAAGAAGAATGGGGTCCTTGACAGGCAGTCTCTAGCAGGTATGATGAAGTTGGACAGCTTCATCAAAGAGACTCAGAGATTGAATCCTCCAGATCTCGGTGAGTGCCCACCTGCATGATTGAGGCAATCACGAGTTTTGGTTTAACAACATACAAACCTACCCGCAGCAAGCTTCCAGCGTAAGGTTATGTCAGACATCACTTTGTCAAATGGTCTTCGAATCCCAAAAGGGGCGCGCATTGCTCTACCGACAGGGGCAATCAACATGGACAGTCAGTTCTTTGAGGACCCCGAAACCTTTGACGGCTTCCGGTACTACAAGCTTCGGATGGAAAGTGAGGAGGCCCGGAAGAGTAGCCAGATGGTGACAGTGGGAAAGAAAGATTTGACATGGGGCTATGGCAGGCACGCCTGTCCGGGTCGGTATGTTGCTGAAGTGGCTATGAAGCTGCTCATCATTGAGTACGTCGCACGTTATGATATCAGTCTACCTGCTGGTATCAAAAAGCGTCCAAAGAACATCGAATTTGAAGGGCTGGTGAGTATCTCAAATCACCTGGTTAGTGATTGGAGTTGCTAAACCACGGCAGGTCATACCAGACCCCAACTGGGAGCTGATTTTCCAAAGTCGGTAAATGCATGGGCTGCGGAAGGCAAGGTTCGACTCAATGATTGTTTATTGAGACGAGAAAAGTGTGATCTTACGAAGACGGAATGTGTGATGTTTTACCCGGTTTAAAAGCCGCATTATCCCAGACGAAGTAGAAACAATAAGACTTTGATGTTGGCTGCAACCGCTTACACCACGAGACCCGATCACATCTGCAGACGGTAATTATGAAATCGATAGAATTGCGTCGTAGGTATTGAAAGTATAGCATCTAATCATCACTTTCAGACAGATTTGCATATTACGAATTGGCTGTCAAATCCAACATGTATGATGTATACGTCTATCTGAGAGCTTCGCACCAGTCCATGACAATTCATGTGACAATCAAGCTCCTGTCTATTTCATGGAAACACCACCATTCACAAACATGTATTCACCGTTTATATACCTGGACCGTTCTTCAGCCAGGAACGCCACCGCCCATGCAACATCTTCGACAGATGCTGCACCACCCTCCACCGGTGTCTGCCGAATGAGAGCTTCCTTTGTTGTCTCCCATTCATCAGGAGTGAAATGGTCCAGAAAGCTTTCCGTAAGTACCGGACCCGGCGCCACCATGTTGACTGTACAGCCATATCTGGGCGGGAGCTCCTGCGCCCAAACCCGCAAAATGGCATCGAGAGCGCCTTTCGTAGCTGCATAGATACCTTGCGTAGGCTTTGGCACTCGAGATGCGACCGACCCCACCATAATGATCCTAGAGCCACCAATCGTGCCTGACATATTTGGAGGCTCCGAAGGATGATACGGCGTAAGATGTGGTAGGACTGCTTGAACCAGAGCGAAAGCCCCGCGAGCGTTCAGATTCATTGCTTGATCCCATGCACTCAAATGAGAATCCCAGAGATATGCAATAGGAACCAAGCCTGCGTTGCTGATAAGGATATCGATGTGCCCGAATCTCTCAACAGCTTGGCGGACAAGTTCGGCAGGTCCATCGTCCGACGCAATATCCGCGAGAACCGCGATCCATTCAGTGTTGAGTTTCGACCCGATGTCCTCGCATTCTTCTTTCAGCGATGCCGAAGGATAGTTGAGAACGATGTTTGCGCCCCGAGCCGATAGCTCCGTAGCAATACCGGCTCCGATACCTCTCGAAGAACCGGAAATCAGTGCTGTTTTACCATGCATGGTTCCTCGGGGCTGAAATATGTTGACCATGGCCGTCCGAAAAGACCAAAAAGCCGTGTCAGTTGTGGTGGAGTTGACGGAGGTGCTGGGGGGGGGGGATGGCTTTGGGCTGACTAAAGGCACAGCAATAAGCAGATTGAAGAGATGAATTACAAAGAAAGGAAAAGTCCGAACTTGTGGCCGTACGTTCATCTTCTTGCATTGGTACGTGCATGTTCTGATGTATGTTTTGCCATCGCTGGGTTGAATCTTGCGCGACCCGCAGGAGCTCACGCTCGGCAAATTGTCGCCGAAGACGACCGAAACGCAGTACGCACTGAAGCTGCATCCAACTGCACACTTCAAAGCTACCGTCTTCTTTGCAAAGGGACGCAAATCTTACTATAGAATGTCATACATAGCTACCAGCTTCCATTCAGCTGTTTCTGCTGTTTTGGCCTCGCGCGGTTTCCATCAATCCCGACCTTCCTCGAAGTCAATAGATCACGCCTCAATTGGCATTTCGGGGGCGTCCTTCAGACCAGGAAGATCCTCATATTTCTTTGTGAAAAACGCACGCGGAATATCTGGACCCCAGCTCGAAACGACTGCCGCAACAGCCGGTTCATTGGCGTGTTTGGAGTCCTCGTTGACCAGGTCTCCATCCACATAATGCTCAACTACGAATCCAGAGGGATCAAACCTATAGAAGAATTAGAAACTGGCAATTCACTTGGTGATCGCTGCTCCCTCTCACCAATAATCAAAGATCTGGCTGCCTAGAACATGTCGTCCGACTCCAAAGACGTTGATATGGCCCTTGCGAATGAGATAGTGATGTCCAACCACTTGACTGTCGACATCATCAACTTCGAAGCTGCTATGGTGCGCTTTGATTCCCTCCTTGACCTCGGGAGATCCTGCGATGAAGATATTCTAGGAAGAAACCAGATCATTAGCAGACTATAACAGCTTTGGGCGGCGGAGGTGACAAACATGATGGTCTACAAACTCTTTGCCCTTGTCTAGGTGGATGAAAATCATGATGGTCTTGTTGTTTTGGGGGTGGTACAGGCAATCTGTCTTCTTGAGATTGAAGGTCTTGGCGTACCAGTCGAACACTTCGTGAAGTCTATCGACATTCACTTCGAACCCGTAGTGACCCAGCTTGTGGACCTTGGACGGTTGGTCCCGGTCCGGTCGCTGGAACTCTCCGAGCCGTCGCTTGTCTTCCCAAGTGTTCCACATCACCGGTTTTGGTACCTCCCTTGGCTCTGGTACTCGGTCCTGCTGCCCGTAAATGAGAGTGATCTCCTCCCCCACGATATCCTTCACGATCACCACCTTCCCTCCACCCGGGGCATCGTAATCAGCTATGGGCGTGGATCCCGGAAGCTTGGCCGCTTTCTCTAGCTCTGCCATAGACTGCACAATCCAGGCGCCTCCCCTGAACTTTCTCTTCCCATCGCTGGTCTTCTCTGCCACGTAGCAAAATTGATCAACACCAAAGCCTCGGAAGTAAATCTTGGTTTCTGTCTCGCGCACAGGCGTCAGGCCGAAGTCGGTGAAGAACTCCTTAGCCTTTTGCAGATCGGGGTGACCGTAGCGCACATGAGACAATCGATCAAGAAGGATTCTCGGGTCCATTTCAGGTGGTATCACTGTTAAAACGAGGTTGGAAGTTTTGGAGCGTAACTGAAGCAGTCAAAGCAATATGCGATTCAGAGCACAGAGACAATTGTGATTTTCCAGATGGAGTCAAGAACTACTTCCCCGCATATACTATTATAAATGCAACAGCTGAAAGATTTGGGGTTGTCCGAGATTCCTTCGGCATCTTTCGGTGTAGCATGTTTCATCACGGAACCCTCGGCCGGCTGTCCCATCAGACCTAAACTTCAAGAGAGATAGCTTATGTCATGGCCTTTGAGGACAAATTCGTATTTCTATCAAGCCTCATCGAGACTACAATAGAAATCAGCGTTACGGACCTAACTCTTTCCCAGATACTGCCAGGACTTTATCGCACCACAGCTGATATCCACTGACAATGTCGTTTCATCGACTCATTCGATTTCTTGACGAAGATGGGCAGGAGAAGTACGGAGACGTCAGAGATGAAACGCCAGTAGAGCATTTGGAAGGTAGCATCGTGCCGCTCTTGACTGGTAATATCAATTCCGGGTTTCATAAGTCTGATCAGAAAGCGAAGGTTGCCAAGGTACTGATATGCGATTGATCAATGCGTTTGGGCGAAGCTAAACATGACCCTCTAGCTGCTATCACCACTGCCGGAAACGCCCATCATAATATGCGCTGGTGTTAACTACAAGTCTCATGCCAAAGAGACAAAGGTGAGTTTTGAACTGCAGTGAAGGCATAATTTTCAACAATTCTCCTACTTACGTGTGCTGTAGTTTCCGCCGCCTAAGAAGCCCGTCATTTTCGCAACCCCTCCTGACCGGCTTGCGGGACCATTTGATGATATTCACATTCACCCGGATGCACAAGAGCTCCTCGACTACGAAGGAGAACTCAGTGTTGTCATTGGAAAGGACGCATATGACGTAAGCGAAGCAGAAGCGTTAGACTACGTCCTCGGATACACCGTCAGCAACGATGTTTCCGCCCGCAGCCTACACGCTCCCGATGTTTCTGGCTACCAGATGGGCTATGCCAAGTCCTTTGACAAGTTTGGGCCGATAGGACCTTATGTGGTGTCACCGACTCTGGTGTCAGACCCTCAGGTTCTGAAGTTGACGACCTATGTGAACGGTGATGTCCGGCAGAGTAGCGACACGTCGCAGATGATATGGTCATGTCGGCAGCTAATCTCTTTCGCTTCCCGTGGAAGGACGCTTCGCCAAGGTACTATCATTATGACTGGGACGCCCGAGGGCGTCGGATGGCACACGAACGGCTGCCTCAAGGATGGGGATGTTGTGAAGGTAGAGATTGGACAACTTGGTTACACCAAGAACAAAATGTTGTTTCAGAAGAAGGAGTAATTCGTATCTTAGAATGCTGTCGACCCTCCTCATTGTTTCGAGAGACTTGTGGAAACGTGTTTGTATTGTAGAAGTTTCGTCTGGATCTTACAGGCCCTGACGGTCGACATCATAACATGGAGTCTATGATCGAATCAAGAACAATTGTGTGTAATAGACACAATTAGTGAACCCCCCAAACCTTCCCCAGCGCCTTGTTGTATGCTGCTTGACGCCTTGACATGCCAGCAGCAGTTAACATCCAGGGTTCAAGCGTCGCGCTACGGCCAAATCTCCCCGTATGTGAGCTAGATATATCTCAGCCACTATTCCTTTATTACATCTCAATCATGAGGAGCGAGAGGATCCGAGACGATAGGCAAGGGCCAAGAGACCTCCGAGGCCCTTACTGCTGGGAAGAGGCCATCGTATTGTGCATATTCGGGTAAATTGCAATAACAAGGGTTCGGGCCTCTCGGCCGAATTTCCCGACACTGTCGAATGATCCCTGTTAGGGGTGGTCCGATTGGGCTAATTCAATTCTATCCTCTCAAATCGCCTTAAAAAGGAACCGAGGAAGACTTCCAGGTCCGTACACTGTAGCACTTTCATCATATTGGCCAATCTCTGTGGCGCGAAATCATGTCCCGAGGACTCACAGCGACCGCTAGTGGTGCCATCCTCCTGAGAGGCGGCACCCTCCTCTATCATGGTGATCAAGACCATGTGGAACCGCTACGGGATACCGATATCCTTGTAAGGAACAACCGGATCGCCAAGGTTGGAAAGAGCATTGCCGCCCCAGTTGATGCGGAACTGGTCGACTGCAGAGGCAAGATCATCACCCCTGGCTTCGTGGACACGCACCATCATCTTTGGCAAACGCAATTGAAGGGTTGCCATGCGGACCAATCAGTGTTTGATTACATACCGACCGGTACGTTAGTATATCTGTGAATGTGTCGGTATTCGGAATAAAATGGCTGATGGATGCGTACATTCGCAACATCATAGGCTTTTGGCAAAGCTTTGTGTACACTCCCAAGGATATGTTCTGGGGTCAGCTGGGAGGCGCGTTAGAGGCCATCGACTGTGGCACGACCTTTGTCCTAGATCATGCTCACGGGAACCAGTCTAATGATCATGGTAAGTGCTCAACACCAATGAGCAGGGGCAGCCTAGAGAAAGATTTTGATCGTTTTTCTGATGCATTGGATAGCCCGTCAAGCCTTGTCCGCAACCATTGCGTCTGGGATTCGCTCCATATTTGCATATTCTCATGCCCCTTACTTCACCAAATGGGATTCAAAGAGCTGTGAGCTCTCTCGAGACATCATGCCAGAGTCCAGTATGGCTCATATCTTTGAGCTTGCCCAGCAGCAGCCGTTTGGCAACGGGAGAGTTCACATTGGATTCGGCTTCGACTACTGGTTCTTGCCCAAGGAAGCTGTCGTCGGCATCTTTTCCCAGCTTCGTGGTGCAGGCATCAAGCTTTTCACGTCTCATTACGCCAAAAACCCCACTTTTGGTACATCCAGCCCCTTTCTATTGTTGCAAGTCTGCTGGGGCGCCTGGATGTGAGCTAACCGTCTTCCAGGGAACCACCCGCTCATTCACACATTGGCGGCGTATGACCTCATCAAGACACCAAGTGACATCTTATTGTCACATGCTACAGGCCTCGATGAACATGAGAAGGCCAAGCTAGCAGAGACTCAGGTCCCCGTATCCAGCACGCCTGATACAGAGGCACAGATGGGATTCGGCTGGCCGCTGGCCTTTACACCCGGTATCAACTACACACTGGGCGTTGACTGTCACACTAACAATACCTCCTCTATTCTATCTCTTGCCCGGACTGCGCTGCAGCTCGCACGTCAGAGGAACACCGTGAAGGCAATGAACGGCGGAGAGGGCGCTCCTCAGCGCATGGACCTGCGCCCAACGGGCAGCACTGAAGATGCATTCAATGCAGCTACTATCAGAGGCGCACGCGCAGTCCTTTTGGGGAACGAGATCGGGTCAATCAAGGAGGGGAAACTGGCTGATCTCGTCATCTTCGATGCCTTGGGAAGCGTAGGCATGAGCTGTGTCTCTGAATCAGATCCCCTGACTGCAGTTGTGCGCCACAGCGACAGCCGCGACATTGAGGCCGTCATGATTGACGGAATCTGGAGGAAGAGGGACGGCAAGTTGTGTCCAGTGACCGTTGAAGAGACAGGGGCTAGCCTGGCATGGCCGGCTATCAGGAAAAATCTACTGGCGAGCCAACGCGACATCCAGGAGAGGCAAAAGAATCTGAATGTCGACAAAGCGAAGGAAGCACTTGTTGCTATGTTTCAGATTGATAAAAGCAAGCTTGTGAAATCTTGATTTTGAAGATCTCGACCATACATGTAGTCAACTACCCTTCAAGTAATCAGGTAGACCAAGTGACGGCAACTTGAAACCCAGGATGAGTTCACAACTTCGTATCGTCTCATACTTCTCATCCGGGATTCCAGGTTTGAGAGTCAAAAGGCCTACAAATGTGCCTCTCTTTCGGAGAGAGGGGTTCGGCAAGGTCTCCGCGAATATATAAGACCTGTCCTGCCTAGGTGCCGTAGCTTCTGGTTCAAATTTCTTCATAGACATTTAACATCTCTTTGCGCAATCATCTAGTCCTGCAACTTTCCGCTGAATAATTTTCGACATCCACCAAGTAACACGAACATGACCAGCCCAATTCCACCACTGATCACACTTGAGGAGCACTTTGTCTCGCAGGATAATTTCAATGCTCTTTCTGAGCTGTACGCCGAACAGCTCAAGCATCTGCCCGAGGTTGCTGATAAACTGTTAGATGTCAGCCGGCTTCGACTGGCCAGTATGGACAAAAATGGCATTTCCTTCCAGGTCATATCGCATGCGCCGGGTCTAGGGCCGAAGCCGACAAGATACAGCTCCTTGGCCAATGACGAGCTCGCTAGGGCAGTAAAAGCACGTCCGGACCGGTTCGCCGCATTTGCCGTGCTTCCCATGGCGGAGCCCCAGGCGGCCGCTGCAGAGCTTCGGAGATGCGTCGGAATGGGATTCGTTGGCGCTCTTGTGGACGCCCATGTCGACGGCGTTCACTATGATGACAGAAGGTTCTGGCCGGTGTTCGAAGCCGCAGCCGACCTTGATGTGCCGATTTATCTTCATCCGACATATCCAACACCGTTACAGTCGTCTGCTTACGAGGGTCAATACGAGCAAGGTGCGGCGCGAAGCCTTGGCAGCAGTGGCTTCGGCTGGCACCAGGAGACAGGGCTAGCAGTGCTGAAGTTATTTGCTGCCGGACTTTTTGACGAGCTTCCGTCCCTCAAAATTATCATCGGTCATTTCGGAGAGATGCTGCCATTTATGATCGAGCGGATAGCCAAGCTCTCGGTTCGATGGGGGACTCGGCTGCGACCATGGCGACAAGTATGGAGGGAAAACATCTGGATTACTACGAGCGGGGTGTGGGAGCTAGCGCCTATGGCTTGCATCCTCAGAAACACATCCTTAAGTCACATTCTCTATAGCGTTGACTACCCGTTCGAGAAGAATGAGACCGGCTTGACCTGGATGAAAGAATTGCAGGAAAGTGGGCTAGTTACCCCGGATCAGCTCGAGATGGTCGCGCACCGAAATGCCGAGCAGCTCTTAAAGCTGAGTATTCCGACACGTGAGTCTATGGTTTGATGAGGATACCGGGAGCCCCTAGCTAGGGTCAAAGTTTACGCCTTGACGTAGAAGTCCGCATTAGAATAAAATCAGATACTTCTTGCTCATTGCCTTCGTATATCCCGCTGTGGCTTCTATGTTTGCTTCCTAGCATCGTTCTCTGTGTCTTAATTTGTTTTGCTTTTCCACCTGACCCAACCACTCAAAATTGTTCCAGCCGCAATGACAACAACCGAAAAGTCAACTGTGAAGGCAGTAGCCTTGGCTGGGGTAATTACCAGCAGCGCCTGATTGATTTCTATACCAGACCTCTTTGCTGATCAAACCTACGTTCCTAGGCTGGCGGAAAGCTTGGCAAGCGAGTTCTTGACGCTCTTGTTGACGCAGGCTTCGACGTGACGGTATTGGTACGCCGCCAGAGCATCCCCTCTAGCTACCCACCTGGTGTTCGGGTCCGTGAGATAGACTACGACTCAGTTGACTCACTACGAGGGGCTCTTCGCGGCATCGATGCCGTCATCTCCACGGTTGGCAAGCGGAACGGGCTCGAAAGCCAATTTCGCCTCATCGACGCGGCGGTCGTGGAGGGAGTGAATCGGTTCATTCCATCTGAGTTCGGCGCCGATCTTCAACACAAAGAGGTCCGCACCTTTCCGACGTACCAAACCAAGATCGAAGTTGAAGAATATCTTGAGAAGAAGTCCAGGGAGACCAATCTCACGTACACATTCATATACTGCAGCGCACTATTCGACGAGGGTCTGGATTTGGGTGCATTTGCAGACTTTCGGGCCAAGAAGGTCAACTTTTTTGATGGGGGTGCAACAACATTCAACGCAACAAGAAGCGTTACAGTCGCTGACGCTGTTGTGGCTGTTTTGAACAAGCTCGAGGCCACCAAAAACAAAGCCGTCCGCATTCGAGACGTCTCCATGACGCCTAAGGAACTGCTGAAGGTCATCCAAGGACTCGACAAAAATGCTGACTGGACTTCTGTCGCCATTGACACTGGGAACCTCGTCCAAGGAGCACAAGCCGAGCTAGCTTCGGGGAAATTTAGTCCGAAGGCCTTCGCCGCTTTCGCGATGAGAGCCACATTTGCGCCGGGGTTGGCCGGACAGTACGGCGATGACAACGACCTTCTTGGAATCAAGGATATTGCGAAGGGTGACCTCGAAAACGCATTGAAGTCTAGACTCTTAGTTTAAATGTTGAATTGGGATGGCGCCTACGGAAATAGTGTAAGATTTTCATTTATACAACTGAGAATGTGCATCTCTCCTTTCTCCCTGTTGCTTCCTCTCGGTACGATCATAGACATGTACCCACACGTATGTAGCGTTAGCTCTCAGCGAAATATAATCTGCCATCTTCGCTAGTGAAGTCGCACATGTCATCAGCTTCTTCCAACTGCCTCATCATCTGGTCGGCCTGAGACATCGCACTTTGAAACTCCTGCAAATGCGGGCCAGTATTGGAGAACGTCTCCAGCGGAGCTTGGTTGCCTTGTGTGTAGATGGAGTTTTGCCTTGTCGAGAAACCCCCTGCCCTTGTCGGCCCTCCAATGGTGGAGTCTCCTCCTCTGTATGCAGCAGGGTTAGAATGCTTGGCTGACAGAGATGACGACTTCCGACGCCTCATTCCGTTCTTTCTTCGTCTCCGAGCTATCTCGATGGTTTTCATGACAGAGCGCCACTGGTGCACTCGACTATGCTTCGTTGAAGAGTCCCAGCGGAGCACCGCACTCTGTTCTACGACTCTCCAGGCCTTATCGGCGTCCCTACTCAACGGCTGGTTGCAAAGTTCAGACAATATGATGGCAAACGCATGCCACTCATTGTAGCACTTCGTCAGCCATGACCAATTTGCCAGCAAAGGGTCAGTCCGTAGTCTGTACGAATGCACCATGCACTCCATGGCCCCCTGGAAGACGTGGCGCTTTTGTTCCTCGGTTAAAGATACTCCAGTACCTAACGGGTTGAGCACCATGATTCGAAGATTGGCAATGATGGTTCCGATAAAGGACATTGTAAGCTGGCCGGATCGTGTAAGCAACCGACTTCACAAGCATCATAGAAAGCGCGCTTACACAGTAAAGAGGCTCCCGAGATGTTGGGTCTTCAGGAAAGCGAGCATATATGATCTTTCGCTGCTTCTCAACCCACGCTTCTTTATCAGCGGTTGTCATTGACGCGAAGCTTAATCCTGTATCTGAGTCCAGGTGGCGTGTGTCAATCATGGTCCGCCACAAATTTGACGCCCAGCAGCGAGCAGCTGTGAAAGACATGTCTGTGATGCCATCTTGTTCCCTTGGGTATTCTGTCATGCCCGGATACAAAGCGGAGTCGTTCACATTCATTGGCCGCCTAGAGTTAAAGCTACTGAGCTCTAAGCTAAAGCATCGTCCTATGTCAGTGGGAGTAACAATTCGGCGAGGGTTGAGGATTGACTTACAGTCCAGAGGAACACGAATAGTCCTCCGACGCTGGAGTATCTAGAACGCATAGGTTCCACCAAAGACGACGGCGCATCTCTGCTTCGAACGGCGGTAAATTAAGTGTGCTTCCATCTCGGTGCATGCCGAGAGACTGTGATAATCGGACAGCCAAGCCTGTCATAGTCCAAGAGTACGTGGGGTCGCGGCAACGAAGTAGAATCAGATAGACAACAAACGTTTGGAGGGTGAGCATGTCGTCCGTTTCCATCAATCTAGATCGGGTAAACGCCGCGTCTGCGTCGCGCCTAAATCTAGCCAGTAACACCGACTGCTCCTCTCCAAACTGGAGTGGGGTGTCATCCTCTGGCAAACTGTTCACGGCGCCAAAGTAAATGACAAACATCAATGCTTCCACATTGGGAGCTAGGTCTTTCGGGTTTTGTATGGCGCCCAGCACCATCTGTTCGACAGACGGTATATGTAAAACAGTAGCCACGGGGTGAATGTTTGACTTGAAAAGGTTCCAGGCCTTGAGTCTGTGATGTTGTGGTGGGTGTGATGAAGGACTCTCCGTCTCTCGAGTGCTGGTACTGAAGATGAAAGAATACTGTGAGATATTTGGTGCCAAGGCTGCGCGCGTGTCCTCGTAATCCGATTCTTCTTCGCTCATTATACCGTCACTCATGTCGTCCTGTTATCGAAATATGAGTAACACGCAGCATTGGCACGAAGACCTGATAACTTACCTCGGTATGCAAGGCTTCCCAAAAGGTTCCACTCACGTATCTATCCCGACCATCATCCTTGACCAACTTGCCCGTCGAGACTCCGTACGGTGACCAAGATAGATTCGATTCGGCCTCAACCTTATCCCCATTCATTCTAGATGCATGAGTACTGGAAGAGGTGCTGGCTAGGGACTCTGCTTCTCTCGGTGGCGATTGTCCAGTCAAGACATTTGCATTATTCGGCGCACTGAGCGTAGTCGCTGGTACCTGCTTCTCACGATGGACGGCACCTGTAGATCCTACAGAATAGGGCGGCGTCGGGGGCGCCGGAGATGGATGCTCAGCCACGGTCCCTGGCCGCTGCTCTTGAGCTTGGGCCGAAGATACGTCGGTGGAAAGATTGGTGTCGCGAGCTGTGGTAGACGAAGATGAAATGGAAGAGAAAGGCAAGAAAGATCCTTGTTGTACACAATCGGCCAGCGTCTTGAACATGGGCTCCAGGCGATGGAGCTGTTCCCAAAGTTGGGAATCGGTCAACATCTGGCGCCCAGCCGACGCGCTGTCAGATGGATAAACGCATTCGGCGCCGAACTTCTTGCAATTATGACATGGCTGCTTCTTATCGCATCCAACCTTTCGACGACGACATGCCATGCAGACCCGACGTGGAAGTGCCTGAATGCGAGGCTGGGTGGCATCTTGTGTCTGCTGCTGTGACTGGCTCTGGTCTCCTAGTTGTGCAGGATTCCAAGCAGACACGATGGAATCTGCCGTCTCGTGATTGCCGGGGTATGGTCGGGATTGGATGGTGTCTGGAGAATTCATGATTGCTCTCAAATTACAACGCACGAAATCGAATCTGCGAGCCTCCAGCGGCGGGTTTTGGGATGAAGGGAAGGAAGCCGCAGTTAAACCACTCTATGGCTTCCACCCCAAAAGCATTAAGAGGGGTCGTCCGTCACCTGCACAGCTCCGGTGGATAAGGGAGCAATCGGAAGGTTGGGATGTTGACAAAGATAACAATGACGAACCCCCTCCCTCTCCCTCTGAAAAAGGGGTCTCACTATCACCAGCCATGTGCAAGGAACTCAACGGCAGAAGGGGGCGCAATGCTAGCCAAGCGATAAGGTACGCGGGTAGTGGAGCAGGCATAATGCGGGGGTGAACGAATCGAGGCACACCTGATTACCACCCTCACCCTCCTAGCGACGTGCTGAAAAGCCGGCACTTGTTGATGAGCCGTCGTCGATCTGTCTGGCTGTTCTAAAACAATTTGGTGCAAGGCGAGTGGGATGTGGATCGTTTTGCCTAGTTGAGACGTACGTAGACGGGATGATTTCAGAGGAACCTGGTTCGCGCCTACGACTCCATCCGGAATGCAATGAAGAGCAGGGACAAGCCAAAGTCTTAGTAATTAGGTTCATCGAAACAAGGCCGATCTTGTGACCAAGACTTGAAAACAAACGAACAGCGCTTGACCGAGTGGAGGCGTCTCATCCCTGTCCATCTTGGCCGTGATGGCTAGCCGCGTAGCTCGGCCGACACCTCCGGCCCAGGCATTCCGTGGCCAGAGTTCAAGGCAATGGCCCATGACCTTTTTTGTTATCAGACACGTTAAGGGACGGTGACCTTTTCTTGAACTCTCGATACAACGCTTCATACTTCGACGATTCATTTGACATAACCACATTTGTGAATCCAGCTATGGCTACATCTTCAACCACAGGGACAGAGTGTTCAGAGTGGCTCGTCCGCGTCCCTGACTTTCCAGGTGTCGCGGAGCGGAGAGCAGCCGTGTTCCCGTAAGTCGATCACATAGCGCACAGGCTGCTAATATGGGTATCGTACATGAAACATGAAAGCTGACGAACGCTGACAACAGCCAACACATTGAGAAGTTGAAAACAGATCCCGCCCAGTTTTGGGTGTTAGGAGGTGGGCTACCCGTATGCCGCCGGCCGAACAGGGATGCATCAAGCTAACACTCGGGGCGGTGCAGGAGCCACTCTGGCGGAGCCCGTGGACCCCGGCCGGCCCCCGCACATCACCGGCAGCGCCATGTTGATCTTTGCACCCACACGAGAAGACGTCCTGGACCGGCTCAAGAACGACCCGTTGACCAAGGAGGGCGTTTGGGACATCAGAAATGTTCAGATTTACCCTTTCTTTCGCCCCAAGAGAGTTCCTGTATGAGAATGTTGATGGGCATATGCGATATACAAATGTCATATAATGGCTGCAGATGAGGACAACTGTACGGTGTTGATAATCAGGCAATTGCTAGTAACTATACAACTTTGTATGCTAAGCCACAGCCAAGATCATCTCATGCACCCAAACGTCGCATATGCATGTCTCAAACAATCAAGAAGGCGCCTCAAAGTCTGCATGTCGGGCCCAAAGCTCTCTCCAGAACTCGCCTAGAATGCCAACACTCTTAGGGTCACCTGGAGGCAACAATTGGGTAACAAATATGGCTCCCATTCGCTGCTCGCGATTAATGAACCATCCAATATTGGGCATGCCATTCCAAGTCAAGGTCTTTGCGGGCAAGTTAGGCACGGTCCCTTGGGTAACAAGACCCCCTAGACCAAATGCGACCTGAGGACATCCCGAGCTATCCCCAGTCAACTGTTCATGCAGTGACTGAAAGATTCCGCGTCAGAATTGAAACTCTCATTGGATGCAGAAAGAGGCGTACCTTTTGCTTGAGTAAGCCATCGTACATAGGTGATCCGTGCTGGAACTGCGGAGTGAACATCGTTTCCACCGTCTCTGCTTTCAGGAGTAGCGGTGTATCACGCAAGAGGTCCCTCAAAACCGATGTCAAATCAGAGGTAGAGGTTATCAAACCCATGCCGCCTGAATCATCTTGCGCGTCGACTGGGTATGGTGAAAGGATAGGCACCAGCTTTCCTGTGTCATTGCGAAGCCACATCTGAGCGGCGTCCTTCTCAATGTCTGGTCGCTGCCGCAGGTGGAAGGTTGATCGTCTTAGGCCGAGAGGGTTGAAAATATTTTCGTCCATGTAAATGTTCAAAGCCTTGCCGCTCACTCTCTCGATCAAAATTCCGGCCCAGTCGAGGCCCGCGCCATAAACCCAACTAGTGCCGGGTTCGAATAGCAGGGGAAGAGAAAAGGCTTCGCACACTCTCCCACTCATTACCAACGGCTCCTCTCCGCGAGACTTCCGCCAAGCAACCAAAAGCGGGTGCATAGCATCGTAGGAAAGCCCGCTTGTGTGTGTTATCAGGTGGCGCAAGGTGATTTTGTTTGTAGCTGGTTTCAGTTGGAAAGATCCCCGAGGACCTTCAGAGATGATATCTGGGTCTTTCAGCTCAGGCAAAATGCTTCCGACCCCATTGTCTAGGTTTATTAAACCCTTTTCGGTGAGTTGCAGGACGCAAATCGTGGTTAACAGCTTGGTGCAAGAAAACCCAGAGAATAAGGTTTCGAGTGTGATCTCCTCGTCGCTGTCTTTCTGAGCTCGGCCGAGGCATCTGCTGAATACAATACCTGGCAAGAGGGTTTAGAGGAGATACTGGTTACATTCGGAGGAGGTTTGGGTACCGTTTTGGTTGAATACGGCGAGTGTAACACCTGGGAGGCCCGTAGTCGAGTCTTTGGTCAAAGAAGCCAGCGTCTCCTCGCAGGCTAGCTTCATCTTCTCAAATTTAGCAGGACGGTGAAGAAGGTTTCTTCGGTCAATATGTCTCAGGATCTTCGTAATTCTTTCATACTCGATTGCCAGATGAATTGCATGCTCATATACTAGACACGGTTCGAAGCAAAAATTACTTTGACATGAGAGGGCTCTGCCTTTTTGGCGGCCATTGTCGGCCACTTCGGCCGACAGCCGACAAGGGTTGTCTTTGCCTAGGAATTTGATCTGTTAGCCTCAGAAAGCTCCTCTATGGATCCTGTAAGTCATCGGAGGCTCTGCTTCGCCCCTTAGATTGCTTGCCTAGTTGCTCATCCCAATTTTGCGTGACGTTCGGCATTTCCTCTACCGCCACTTGTTCTCGACCATAGGACCGGCGTGTTATTCTCAATATGGCGGATTCAAATGCTTCGTCTTCTCAGCAGCCGTCTAATCCCGACCCTGCGCCGGCAGCGCCAGCAGTGACATCAGCGCCAGCCTCGACAAGCAATGCCGGGAGAAAAAGGCGATCTTGCGATCTTTGCAGCCGACGCAAAGTCAAGTGCGATAAACAAAAGCCATGCAGAAACTGCGTCAAGTATGGCGGGGAGTGTATTTTCCCGGCAGGAAAGACAGCCCAGACTGAAGTTGCTGTAGCGCCTGAGCTTGTCGCGATGTTACAGCGGCTGGAGAAAGTGGTTCAGACTCTTGAACCAAAGGGACCTGAGCAGCGACAAGGCAGTTCAGCACCTCCACGTTCTCAGCCTGAAGGGACCCGCGAGCACAATCACCTATCTCCCCCTGCTTCTGCACCGGCCATCGAGATTCCTGCGACTGAAGTCGACGCTGAGCCTCCTGTACAAGATGACACAGTCTGCTTTGAAACTCAGGATCAAGTTTTGGAGCCTTTGAAGGATATTCGTCCGAAGACCAAAGATGGTGAGACCGGCGGCAGAATAATTGTCGATGCTGGGAGAGACACATACGTCAGACGATGGTTTTGGGAGACTCTTAATGCTGAGGTGAGCACTATTCTGCCACATATTGTTGTGTTTACAGTTTCTCACCGCGGTTTTACAGGCTAGCAGTGATTCTGCAACAGACGACGAACGCTCAGATGTGGAAGAGTGTAGCGATTTCTTACCGACGACATCGAAATGTGGAAACGCAGATCCTACACACGCATCAATACAACAGACCGGGAGCAAACAGCGCGTGATGGCGGTGCTCAACTCGCACAAACACCATTTATGGAAGGTATACAAAGAAAGAGTTGAGCCTCTCACCAAATTACTTCATTTGCCTTCACTGGAACAATCGACGATCGCGCCACCCAGTCCTTCTACCTCGGATCCCAGACAGAGTTCGCCGTGCATACTGCTGTCTCTCCAATATGGTGCTGTAACAAGTCTCAGCGAGGAAGAGTGCGGTGAGATCTTCAGTTTGTCACAGGCGCAGGTACTCTCATTCATGCGCGAAATACTGGGTCAAATGTTCTCGGACGCCATGCTCATTCATACTGGAGACATACAACCACTACAGGCACTGGTCTTATACATCATCTTTCTCCGGCACCATGAGCCGAGACTGTCTTGGAATCTCACGGGCTTGGCGGTCAGACTTGCTCAGAACTTTGGAATTCATCGAGAAGGTTCTTTGTTCCGACTTTCGAAGTTCGACATCGAGATGCGGCGAAGACTGTGGTGGCAAATCGCGGTCCTCGACACACCTTCTGCAGAGGACTACTCGGGCGAGTACAATCTGTTAGTACCTTTACGCGAGACCAACGTGTCATTACAGTTTCCTGTCTAACGTAAAGAAACAGACTCGAGATGAGCAGTTGCGATACACAAATGCCTCGCAATCTCAATGATGCTCAACTGAATCCAGCCATGATGGAGTACCCACCCGAAACGAGAGGGATCACAGAAATGACGTTTACCTTGGCGCGGTGCCAGATAACTAGCATGTATCGTTGCATGATTGACTCGAGGAGGACTTGCGGAGCTACAGGGAAACCCTACTCGCAATTATCTTTTCAGGAACGATCCGACTGGATCGATGGTTGTGAGGCAGCGTTTTCGCAAAAGTACCTGAGAGAATGTTCCCCCACAGTCGCTTTCCATTGGGTAAGTAGTCTCCTTCTTTGGCTGGGTAACTTCAGCCAAATGAATCAAGACTGAGGATTGAGCCTACAGGTCACGGTGATTCTTACGCGCATGCTTTTCCACAAAGTCAGATTGCACGGATGTAATCCACTGCAGGAACCAGACGATTTGTCAGAAACTATTCGTAAAAGACTTTTCCTTGTCGCCGTTGAGGTGATTGAGTTGAACTACAAGCTCAGAACGGATCCGCGAACACGCCCCTGGGCCTGGCTCTTCAGCTCATACACTCAATGGCATTCTTTCTCATTAGTCCTCGTCTGGTTACAACAGGACCCTCTCTGCAAGGGGTCACGACGGGCATGGGAAGCAATTGAAAAGGCTATTGTTCTCAGATGGGAGCATCCCCTTTCGCTCCTGGGCGGCAAAAAGCCCCAGCAATGGCGATCGATCATAAGGCAGCTTGGGAGGGCACGTTCTATACGGCAAGATGCTCTTGGAAAGAGAAAAAGACGAGCATCCCGTGCATCCCAGCTCACGGATGCACCTTCAGCAGCCCCATCGAATGGCGGCATGGCCGCCAGACGTCCGTCAGCTGCGCAGACCTTTCCTCAACCTATCCAACAGCAGCCCCATCTCTCACCACAAAAGGCATCGGATCAGACGGTTGGCCCGCGCAATGCCGCCCTTGATGCTACCGAAGATGTGTACATGTCGCCAGACGCCATGATGTCGGGATTAGGAGACCACCAGTCGAAGAACTCAATTCCCAGCTTCAACTACGGCGATATGTCAGAAATGATGGCACCTTCAGATACGATGATGATCGATGAGGAATTTTCAACTGATGAATTTCAGAGTTTGCCCGACTTCTTGTTCCTCCAAAGCATTTTCCAGAACGCTAGCTAGTCCTTTGAGGAACAAATTAGACATGAAATAACTTCACTATCCAAGCACATTCTTATAGCTATCCCAGTTCCAGATGTCAATTAGTTTACGTAATCTTCTATGGAACATGATCTACTTCAAGCCGTTCTGTCCCAGTTTGCCCTCTCTAATCTCTTTGTGTATCCCGCTGTTCCCTTCCAACCCAGCGTAAGTGGCGTCGTCCATACCGGGAATTACCATGTCAAAAGTGTCCCGAATGACCGCATACTGGAAGTAACCACAACGAGCGATTGGTTGCGTTTTCCTGACATCCAATTTTCCGTCTGTAAGCACGTCATCGTGGATGTGAACAGCTACAACTCTGCCGATGACGACGTCGACAGTTCCCATTGGTGGGTTGGCAGGCAACCTGATAGTCGAGTGATAGACGCACTCAAACTTCACTGGACTGTCTTTAATCATGGGAACGGGGTCTCCAGGCAGTGAATGGCTGTATTCCTTACGCAGCCCGGCGCGCTCAAACTCGTCCACTGCGTATCCAACCTGTTCTGCGGAAATGTTGACGGCTTCGCGCAAGTCCCATGTTGCAAGATTCCAGCAGAACTTTCCGGTCGACTCGACATTACGGACCGTATCTTTTCTTTGCATGTCTGGCTTCTGGTTGGCCGAAAACATGACGTAAGGAGGATCAAATGTCAGGTTGTTGAACTGCGAATAGGGTGCAAGATTATGTACGGTTGAGTCCGTGGCCGAAACGGTTGAGATCCAGCCGATTGGACGTGGAACGACGCAGGCTTTGAAGGGATCATGCGGAAGGTTGTGTGCAGTTTTGCCTGGCTCGTAGTACATAGTTGCGGTCTTGCAGTGGCGATTGCCAAATTTGAGTGAGGAATTCTGATGTCGATGGCCTGTCAGTGTAAATAAAAATAAGGCATATCCATATCTCACAACTCCGGGACGATTGGCCGTCTACGTTATACAATATATCGACAAGCCGCAGTAGTCGTTTCGCTTTCCATCATTGAGCTCGGCCCAGACACGGCTTGTTCAATGCGGGGGTGGAGCACGCTCCGCAGCATCGGATGGAAAACCCGGCCGAAGAAACGAACCCCGACGATACAGAACTTGGGTCAGCAAGCTGTACTTTTTCGAGTTCCGGAGTTTATTGTACCTCGGCCAGTCCGATGTAGGCAGTAATTGAATAAGAACGTCTGCAAGTTCATACACAATCCTCTCGGTTTCCTTTTCTGCTGTATCATATTCCGTTCAGCAGCACTGTGTCCAACCTCTACCTCCTGAGGAATATCATCTGTAATCCATTTTCCCGAAAGGTTCCAAATCATCCTTTCAATCATGGAGGATGACGATGTTGAGATTGGTCCCGGCCGTGACATCCCCACGGACGGGATTCCAGTCAATTTCGTGCCGGCCAAAGCAGGCGAAACTTTCAAGTTGGGACTGATAACCTGTCGTGTGCTGGAAGACGGGTCGCGAACCAGTAAGACACCTCCGACGAATCCAAACGAACTTGCGCCATGAAGTTTTCCGATTGAAGACATTTTCCAAGTTACATGCTGACGAGGATATTCCGCGTCAAAAGACAATCGTATCGGCGCGGCTGAGTTCACCCTTCCACCAGGCCTCAAGGGACCGCCGCCGCACTGGCATGAAATGCACGACGAAACTTTTCTGACGACGAAAGGAACCATTCGCTACCATATTCCTAAGCCTGATGGCACCGAGGATATCATTGACGCAAAGGAAGGTGATTATGTGACGGTGCCCGTCCGGGCTCCGCACACGTTCAGCAACCCAACCGACCAAGAGGCCAAGTTTTACAACACGTACACGCCCGCCTACTACATCAATTACTTCAAGTTGCTAGGAACCTACGTGAAGGAAGGAAAGCCGATTTCGCCGAAAGAGCATCTGGATGCAATGTCAAACTATGCCACAATCCCGGTGCCTCGCAAGTACATGGAAAAGAAATAGTCAGAAGATAGTCAAGAAGCTGCATCGAGTCATTTGATCTATCACCAAAGCCGTCAATAAACGGTCGCATTCTTAAACCACAGTGACGCGTGATTTCGTCCTCAGAAATTCTTCTCAGTCCGCTCGTTGTTTACTATGATGGTTCGACGAGGACTTTTATTCTCTGACTTTTACTCTCCAAGGGTCGACGTTATTTACTACCTCATTCTTTTATTCTAGGGGCTTCATTTATATTTGTATTCCATCGATTCTTACAATGGTTCTTTTTGACATGGTTGCCATCGCCATTGTCCCTCTCATCATCGCTTCTATCGCTGTGCGTTCTTGTCCATATCGTCATAGCCCTTATCGTTGCTGACAACTTGCTGTGATCACTTTCCGCCCACGCTCGAATAGCAAACGAACGACGTGTCGTGTGGCCTCTCTCATCCCATCATATCAAGTACACCTATCTCAAACATGGCAACCTTCGACCCAACATCGGTATCGCTGTGGGACGCTTATCTTAGATTTGTTTGGGCTAGCGTATGCAGGACACGGAGTTTCGGCCGGCGGGCAGCGGACGTCGCATTTGTTTTTCAGATTCGCTCATTGGCCACCGGTTTGTCCCGCATTGAACCCCCGCGTACGTGACCGACGGCACCTTTCGTGGGACAAGGCACGGGTTGGGCGAATCCGGCCGAGAAAATTGAGCATACTGGGACGCAAGCGTATGGTAGGTGATTGAAAACGTATGTAGGCATATCAATGGCCTCCCATCCAGACCTCTTCTCTGACGGGCAGTAACTCCGCGTCAGCACACATTCAAAACATTTACTTCACTTTCTCCATATCCTAACTACTCAAGGCCAAACACAATGGCCCTGTTGGGGCTTATTGTTGTATGCTCTTTGGCTACTATCGCCTTTGGCATCATTTACGTTTTTGTTGACTATGTTCGCGTTCTTCGACTCAGGCAGAAAATGGCTCCAGGGCCTTTTCCACTGCCCCTGTTTGGCAACATCTTTCACATCCCACCTGTCAGACAATGGAAAAAGTTCGAGGAATGGTCCTTGAAGTATCACTCTCCAATCATTACCTTTTGGGATGGCCATACCCCCATCATGATCTGCAATGATGCTTGGTCGATGTCCGAGCTTTGTGATAAGCGCGCAAATATTTACTCTTCCAGAGCCGTGAAGACACTGACCGGCAAGGTGTTTGGTCTCCACAAGTTCAATCAAGCCGGCCTTCAGTACGGGGAGCAGTGGCGTATACATCGTCGACTTACCGTAAGCAACCCTTTCTAAGGACAAAAAGAAATAAAACGGGTCGACATTTTCATCTTTCAAGGCTGATCATCCTCTTATCAAATAGCACTCGGCCGCAAATGCCCAAGTTGTGCAAACATATCGTCAGATGCAAGCAAATGAAGCCAAGCTATTAATCAAGGATTGCCTAGAGGACTCTGAGAGATTCGTCTCGAGTGCTTTGCGATTCACCGTCTCCATTGTGTCCGTCATTGCTTGGGGCAGGCGTATCAGCAGTGAGAATGACACAGTTCTGAAGGTTGCGCAAGCCTTTGTCGGCAGCGCGAACCTTGGTTTCCCGGGAAAAACGTACACAGAGGCTATCCCATTTCTTACCAAGATGCCTCCGTGGCTGAATCCGCTCCCAAACCAACTCAAAAAACTCGCCGAGACCTCCAACAAGTACTTCTATGCCTTGTCTGCAGAGGGCGCGGAGGCATCGCGAGACAACTTCGCAAAGAGGCTCCTCAGGGAGAAGGAAGAACATGGCCTAAGCAAGGTCGAGATCTCGAACTTGACGGGCAACTTCATTGGCGCCGGTGTTGACACGACAACTAGTGCAATGTTGACATTCATCCTGGCCATGTGTCTGAATCAAGATGTTCAGATCAAAGCCCAGGAGGAAATTGACCGCGTCATCGGCCAAGACCGATACCCTGATTGGTCGGACGAGGACAATCTACCGTACGTTGCGGCTATCATCAACGAGACTCTTCGTTGGCGGCCGCCTTTTGCGCTGGGGGGCCCTGCGCATGCTCCCATTGAGGATAATGTCTACGACGGATATCTCTTCCCGAAAGGAACTGCCATCATCGGTAATCTTTACGCCATTCAACGCAATCCTCGGGAGTACCCCCAGCCCGACAGGTTTTGGCCAGAGCGATTCCTAGACGGCTTCGATAGACCGGCTTATCCAAACAAGAGAGGCCACAACACGTTTGGCTGGGGACGTCGAGTTTGCAGTGGAGAGGCTCTTGCGCAACAAAGTCTTTACTTCACGATTGTGTCCCTACTCTGGGCTTTCCGAATCCTTCCGGGCCTGGACGATCAGGTGAGTTCTTCGTGTTACTGGAGAGCCGTGGCTGTTCCATCTCAAACCTCGTGCTAATACATCACACAGGGCAAAGAGATTGTGCCGGACCCTGACGCCTACACAACTTCTCAGGTGAACCGACCAATGCCCTTCAAGTTGCGACTATTGCCTAGGTCGGAGTCTATTACGAGACTTATTAAACAAGAGGCGCAGGAGGCCAGACTGCAGCTTCGGGCCTACGATGCTGACACCACTGTCACGTTTGAAAGCGCCCAGTCGATTTCTCTCGATATGCCTATCTCTAAGGCAGAAATGGCCTCGAGTTTGTAGTGTTCACCTTGCGCGCGCACGCATCCAGGAAAACGAGAGCGATTGTCTATATAGACAGACATTCCACAGAAACCGGTCTGACTGGCGATCTTATGGTTGTTTTTCACTTGACTAGACCTTCCCATTTCCAAGGCTTATGTAGATATGTACATCAAGGCCGTCGAAGTTTCAGATTTCATTCACATGACATTGTGATTTACAGCGACGAGGATTAGGCTGTGTGTGTAAACTACTTATATAAACAAAATGTAGACCTTTTCCCGCAGTTAGGTGATAGAAATCGTCAGCAATCGGCCTTGACATACTTCAACCTGAGTGGTCATAGGACCAGGACTGCCAAAACCCTCTTCGGCAACTAGTCCAAAATCAATAGCGAAAAACAATCCTTAGAATCTCAGTCTCTGTAGCAGACACAAGTTCATGGAATTCTTTACAGACTTCTACACAATATTGCTTCTCGATACTCCTTTACCATGCCAATCCTTCCGGGGCAGAGCCTCCACGGAGTGCGGAGTTCTCACAGACACCTCGGCAAAAGGCTTCATCCTGTTCTGCGGAGGACTTAGTTGCCTGAACAGGGCCTCTGCGAGCAGGCCACCACTCTGCTCCACGTTTCTTCTCCTCATCCACGTGCTCATGAAGCATTCCTTTGACTCTGCCAATGACATAGACAACGGCTTCCTCTACATCAGGATGGAACGGCCCGGTCATGTAAGTATCGCTGTTGAGATTTGCCTGGGATCCATTGGCCAGCCATTTGTCCTCTGACTCAACCTGACTGAAGAAGTCGAGCTTCTCCTTAACTTGCTCCGGGGTCGCTGATTTAGATCGATAAACCTCGTATCGCATCAGACTGGTGGTTGCAGATGTTGGGACGATGGACATCATGTAGAAGAAGACCGGGCTGTGATAAAAGTCAGAATCCCAGGCCTGTAATCAAGCCTTTGCTCAATGTGACGAGACATAAGACTCACGTCAAAGTGACAGAGGCGTTGGGAAACATGTACGTCGGGCTGACTGAGCCCGAGCGCTCTTCTCCCTTTGCGCCCAAATGCGCAACCCAATACTTTTCGAGACCGTAGTTCATCTGCTTATTGCCCTTGAAAAACGGCGCAAGTCCAGGGTGCGCCGTGGGACAATGGTAGCACTAAGAACTGTCAACAACTATCCAGTACAATACCGAGGTGTTCCGCTTTGAGTGACTAACCTCGTTGTAGTTCTCAATCAATGTCTTCCAGTTGAACTTGCCCTCCATGGACCAGGTGTGGTCGTACTCATAATCACTCATGTCAAAATTCTCCAGTCGAGGCTGGGTGTCAACGCCGCCAAATTGCTCCTCCCAGCTCAATGTGGGTTTTTCGGCGGCGTCCAGGTTCACCCAGAAGAACCCCAGGCGATCCACATGACTGTGAACCTTGTACAACTTGTACTCCTCCTTGTCGAAGTCCTCAACGTGATCGAAGCGGGGAGCCTTGGCTAGGTTCCCGTTCATGCTGTATGACCAGCCTGTGAAGCGGTCAGGACTACCTTGAAGTTTTGCTTGTCAATGCGAGGAGCCTTACCATGATATTTACAAGACAACACGAATGCTTTGCCTTCGTTTTCGTGGACAATCGGGAAAGCCCTGTGGCGGCAGATATTGAGAAATGCGTTGATGTTCCCCGCTCGGTCCTTGATGATGAAGAAAGGGTAGCCGGCCATCTCATAGCGGGCGTATTTCCCAGGCTCATTGAACTGGTGAATATGAGAAACGAGGATCCATGATTTGCTGAATATCGCTCGCCGTTCCAACTGATAGAACCCTGGCTCGCGGTACCAAGAGGCTGGAAGTGTGCTCTGCATATTGATCGATTTGTGATGTGCTCGAGGCTAGCCTAAGTTCTAGAATTACTGGTTCTACAATAGCACACCCTGTAAATTGAGTTCTTTTAGAGCTTGCAATTAGATTGGAGCTTCAAATCCATTCTACAACCGGCCCTGGCTACTGCTAATTTGTGTAAGCCACCGGCCGAACGATACGGAAGTACATAATGCCAAGAGTCCTATGCTTCGGCATTCCGAACATAGCCGAACACCGACGATTACAAGAATTATACTCAGAGATTGAAGATACTGGGCAAAAGACTGGGCTCGGGTCGTCGGCCGAGCTTTCCGTATCCCCCATCAGCCCCCGCCTTTGCCGGAGAGGCGGGGCCACCCAGCGGGCCTGAGACTTCTACGATGCTACTCTCTACACTTCCCCAGCTCCAGGTTCGTTCAAACCCACTGAAAAGACTTTAGTTCCGTGCAGCGGGAGTACAGCCTCTGTTCAACCACCTGACTTTCAACTAAAATTCCAGAATGACTAATAGTCTAACCGTGTATGAGCACTAGTAAGGTTACAGCGAAACGAAAACTTTGCGAGTCGACACCGGCACTTCGGCTGCTGGTAACCCACAGATTAACATACGGCAGTCAGAAACGTACGCCTCCAGGCGGCAAACTGCAAAGGACAAAATTAGGAGGGAAGAAGGGGAGCTCACAGTTAAAACAAAAACATTTCTCAGCTCTGACGGCCTGGGGATAACAAATGAATTCGGGCTAGTACTTACGGTCGGATTACGGACGAATGTGATCAATAGATGGCGATCTGGAATTAATTCTATAAACACTGTCCAAACCAGCATGTATCTTGAACCCGAACCCATTGCATGTGTCGAGATGTAAAACATATCGTCGATTCACACTCCTCATCCTCAGCTCACGTCTTTCTACAACGCCATCCAGCTCAACGGTTCGACGACTCGTGAAGCAATCACCGATGCTCCGCACGGCACCATGTCTGCCTTTGACGAGAACGAGGCGTCTCTGCTCGCCTCCGCTATGACCCCGGATGTCGCTCTAACTATCAACGGTAATGATGAGTCGGGCTTCGAACACGTTCAGGCCCACAGCCTCAACACTGTGGGCCCGATGGATACGATCCATTTTGTAACCAACATTCGCATTGACGTTGCGGACAATGACGCCGCCATTGCGACGTTGACCGCAAATACCCTGGCTCAGCATTACCTTCGTGGAAATAGACTTCGCTCGAGCGAGAGAAGGCTGCTCGGAGGATCAAAACATGTCATGGAGCTCAGTGAAGACGAGAAAAATGGGCTTTGGAAGGTCAATTTGTGGCACTTCAAGACAGTATGGAGAGAGGGGGGTACAAGGTCGTTGCACCCGAAAGCTGAGTTGCTTTCGCTCTTGCGAAAGTAAGTTTTTGTGGGGCCAATTGGTTGGGTAATAATTTCCCCTTTTCACTGCTAACTCCCAAGGGTGTCCTAGCCATAGGTCAACTGCTGGAGATTTCGTATTGTAACTCGAAAGTTTAAACGGGAAAAGGTTAGCAGGTAGGTTACCATCAAACCTGTCAAAGCCCACGCCTACTCTCAGCCATTGTGTAAGCAAGTTCAATGTATTAGGGGCTCGGAGCGGAGAGAGAGACAGTTGTAACAGTCAATGCATATCCTTCTTGATTGACTAAATGCTATGGTAGGGTATTCTCGAACTATATTATTTCATCTGATTCATAACTCATCCAACACTACTGGCGGCTACCTGCTATGTCGCCGTATCCAACCCCATACATCGCCCTTTATCCTATGTCGGACGTGTTGGTTGAATCCATAAGTGATTGCGTTTGCAAAACCAATAAATTGACTTGAGCTCTGGAGGGCGGCCAGAACCCGACTTTGAGATGTATTGCCAGAGGCCTCCATAAGACGGTTGACGAGGCCGGGAATCCATAGCAGAACGTACATGACCGGGTACGCGTTAAGAAGCATCATGCGCTTGATCTCGCGCTCGACCTTTCTCGTCTGTGACCGGATCGGGAAGTCGCTCATCATCGTGGCCGTTACGTTCTCAGGAGCGGGCTGCTTGCTGGCGACGTTCTTGAGGCTTGGGTTTTGGGGGAAATCTCTTGCGGAGAAGTCCCTTTTGGGTGGCATGCGCCACTCCAGTGTTGAACTTCTGCTCCTGGATCCCTTGCGCTTGGAGGACAGGTCTGGGAACCCGTACTTGGAAAACCGTGCTGACATGGCCGATGGCCTTCGCATGTCGCGATGGTAGGCAGACGGCCCTCCGAACTGGCTTTGTTGCAGCTTATCCTCCTGCTCAAGGTATGAGAACCTGGCCTCGGAAGCCTGGCTCAAGTCCATCTCGTTGTCGTCGAAGCGGGATATCCTTGACGACATTTTTCTCTGACCCTCCACGTCATCAGCGGTAACAGAAGCTCTCGCTGGCTTTGTGATAGGCTCGACTCCTTCGTCTGATTCAAAGGAGACAGTTCGATCGGTCGGACCAACACCACCGCTGACCTTGTTCGACCATTCCTTCAATTCGTCGTCGTCCGGTGTCGATGTCGTCTTGAACGGTTCCTTGAAGGTTGGCTTCGGTCGTTCGAACTGGTCCATTTCAAACTCGGGTGTTGGGATGATCTCAAATCCTTGCTTCTTGCGAATCGAAGAGGTCATAACGTTGCCGACGCTAGAGCCAGAGTTGGTTGAATCGTAGAGGGGATCTGATGTGTCGACCATGGAGCGGAAGTGGCGGCCGAGGTACCACCAGACGTAGAGGTAGATGAGTATCGTAGTAAAGATGATGGCGAAGCGCCATCCGTGTGTAAGGGAGTATCGAAGGTCGGGGCGGTTGCGGGAGATCCAACACCAGTTGCCGCTAACGGGTTCCATCTGGCCCATGCCGGTCGCCGTGGCGCTCGTGATAATCGGGACAACCCATACGGAAGCGCAAATGATGAACTTCCTGAATGTCGAAGTATTGGGCATGTACGTCTTCCGTGTAATGGTCAGGAAAGTGACAACGGCTATGGCCAGGATGGAGAAGTCGGAGGCCTGGACAGATAGCTGCCCAATCATGCCGTTCAGCACGCATGCCGCGCCGGGCCTCAGATCTTTGTCTTTGATGAAGATGATTCCTGATACGGTATTGTTGAGAGAGTTGATGAACTCTTTTGGAAAGAGGCTCGAGTCAGCATCCTCCACCAAGGGAAGCCACAACTGGCGATCAATAACTTACCGGCCAACGTCAGGTTGAGGACGAGAGCATGGCGGAAAGAGCGTTGTTGATCGTGGTAGAAAATGAAGGAAATTAACACGCCCGTAGTTGCTAGAAAAGAGAGGATGCTACCCGTGAGGGTAACGGATGCGACTGCCGCATCAAAGGCCATCGTGAACCCGCACGCCGTAGATGTTGGTTAGCATCCACGCGCGACGACTTCGCGGTGGTCTCAAAGTGGGAAATGGGTATCGTCTTGTACGAAAGCCAGTGCGCACGTCTTCCAGGACCGTGGGCTGGGCGATATTGGTTATCCGTTACACGGATGGAGTCACGGGTCAGCGGTGCGAGTCATGAAGTCGTTGCGACGTGGGTCTTCATCCCCTGAAGCTTTTCTATTTATTGAGTGATTGACATACGCGATGCCATCTGAAGTCGAGAGCCACCCGACGCGAGTCTAAAATGCCTGTCTTTACCCCAAGGTGCACCTTACGATGTCAGGATGTCTTGCAGGACAGGACGCTCTGGGAAATCGATGCCATTGAAGCACGACATGAGGCTGGTGATACGCCTCAGAGAGTTGCAAAGACAACACGCTGAGGTTGCAAGGGTCAAGGGACGAAGGCGTGCCCATTGTGAACTAAGACAAGGTCCCCCTTAATCAACACTTGGCGTTTTGGAATGTAGCATCCAGCGTCTGGACCCGCTGCATAACCCGGAAATCGTTAGCTGATGCTCAAAACCGTTAGGCGAAGGCGCAGTTCCACGTGGATTCTTGTGTCAGAAAGCGCATGCGGCACCCCGATCTAACCGCAGATGTGCATGTTGAAGGGTTCATCCGTCGTCCCAAGTCTGTGGGCACTGAGCTGGGCGCGCGTCTGTCGCCAACTTACCAGGCCTTTGGGGTGGGCATCAGAATGGACATCCCTCACTTCGCGAAGTTGAGGTTATTTACCGCATGTTGCATTCGTTGAAGCGGCTTTTTTTCTCCTCATGTCGCATTCAATTCAGAGTCTTCTGATTATTGTTACGCGAGAGGCAACTTCACTGTTGATCTCTGAGTGTCCGAGCTCAATTCGGCGGCTATAATGCCGTCCGTTATCGACTTCGTTATCGCTTGGCTTGGCGGCTGCAAAATTTTTATGATCTGCTCAATAGGAGTCCAGCATGTATATGAAAACACTAAATGTCGGCGCCGTGCAAGCACAAACCAAGACACCGAGCCGTTATATCCCGCGGACAGCCCTGTTGTCGGTGGATGTCAATATCAAGGTTTGGAGCCGGTGGCACTTCAAACCATGTACCCCTGAAAATACATTGGGTCTCCCTGCTCGCTTATGCTGTCTTGGACTGATAGGTGGCAGGGTATTCCTATCTCACGAGCAGCTTCCTCTTGGGTTCATGGAGAATGCGAGCAGAATGTTCCACCGGCACAGTCGGATTTTGGAGTCCTTCCGCAGCGGCTAGCCCTGTCACGTAATTCAAAGACAGGATCCCATGTGGTTCGGGGGCATCATCCCGCCTCGCGGCCAGCCGTTCCTGACGAATGACAACGATTCTGGCCTATCGAGAACCAGTCTTCTGACCAATTTCCTCAACTCCGCAAGTTCTCAACCCCACAAGCCGGATGTTGTTCCTTGGTTGAAGGCCGGCTGAAGGCTCAGGCCCCCGGTCGTGCACTTGGGCAATTTTTCGTCCCCCTCTTGCTGACCCTCCACACGCGGACGGCATGGGTAAACTGAAACCCAGGCCAACTTACCTCTCCTGGAAAGATTTCGCCACCCTCCCGCACAGGACCTGCTCTGGCGCGGATGTTCTCATATGCCGCAATAACGCAAAGTTCTATTTTGGTCTGGGGCCGACTGAACCGCGCGGGAATCGGAAGGCGAGCGAGCCCGCCCAGCCGAGCTAGACCAACCATCTCGCCAGACGCGGCAACAGGAGGGTTGCAAGCAATATACTTAGCGTGATGCCAAAAGAATTGCGTTCGGTGTCGATATCAGTAATCGGCACGCCAAGAGCGAGACTGTGCCGAGTGAGGCCGACGATGCCTTCAAAGTCCTCGTCTGATGAAAATCTCGCACCTTTCGCTCTTGGCTCCCCCAGACTTTTTGTCTCAAGTGATCCATCTCCTGACTGAAAACGGAATGTTGTTTGGCCCCGTTCTGTCTTTCCTCGTGGTTCTGGCCCACGGTTAAAGTTGAGAGAAATTAATCCCCGAGTTTGTTCATTGTTGGCTCCGCTCTGCAGAGGGGCGAAGCGTGGCGGACAAGAAAAGCACAGAGCACATCGCGACGTACGCGAGGATTGTGTCGTGGTGCGCGGAGTTTGACATGAGTCGTGTGAGTGTATGATGTTCAACCACCATGTGTCCGAAACAACGAATGTGCCCTGCTATTACTCCCGACGTGATAATCCGCACGGATAAGTTCGGATTGAAAAAGTTGCCGGCCTGTCGTCTCTGGAACTGGCCCCTGATCGCCAAAATTTCCCCCTTATGGCTGAGAATGGGATTCTTCTTGAAGATAAGGCTCCTCCCTGCATCTCTAGGAACATCACGCGTGGCAGTGCGTTCAGAACCTTTAACGTTTCGGAAATTCACACGTCACGGCCGGAAATGTTGCAAGGCATTTGACGCGTATGATAGCGATCGCGGATCGAGCTTAGCGCAGGACAGAGACTTTTTTTGAAGCTGCTATTGGCGTGGCTTGGCGCATCCTTCGTCATTACAGAACACTGAAGCGTTCACGGTTTGTGTTCAATCGGAAGAAAAGACTAAAGTATGGAGTCATGGACTCGTTCAACCGAAGTTTCCTGACAGAACGAGGCAGACCCGGATGATGTAACCTTAGCCACGTTATCCCAGCGGCTGCAACCGACTTGCAAGCCATGCAAGATTATTCGCAACCGAGCAGCCCTCGAGAGATTGACGTCCTTCCCTGTGCACGACTAATGCTGCGGCTGAGTACTGCTGAAAATGGTTATTGATGCTGAGGTTGACTATACTCGATGGAACACTGTGATGACGAGTTGCTCACGTCGTCTTATCTGACATGATACCAGAGCTGAACATCTCGAACTCCAGTGGTTTCCCTCGTCCGGTGACTTTTTGTGTGATAATCACGTAATTACGGACAATTCAATGCCGGTGGATACACTGTCTCAAGTACCAAAGACTCAGCTTAGCTGAGAAAATTTGCCCCGTAGGGCTAGGTTGAACCATGCGTCGACAGTCAAGTTAGTCTAGGCTCTCACTCTGAACAAGGTTAAACAGACTTGAAAGAACTCTTTGTACTTGTCGTAGATGGTCGGAAGATACGGTTGTTTGAAAATGACTCAATCAAAATGGGTTATGTTTTCTGAAACTCAAATTGATAGCTTCGCCAACGATGTCACATGATGCTGTTCTGGCCCAACCACCACTTCCGCTGTGGCGATTTCTTCATGTTTCTGAAAGTCCGAATCGAGTGTTGAGACCCCAAAAGTGACTGTCTACTTAGAGTTACAGGCTGGTCTGGTGCCTGGTTGGGATCAATCATCCAAAGTCAAAACCCATTTTCCTTGCAGCTGAGGAGAAGTAGTTAGTATTGATGGCGTGATATGGTTTTGGAAATTTCTTACCTTTCCAGCAGACATTGTCTGCACCAGCCTTTCCACGTCGCTTAGCTTTGCCTTCTGAACCTTTGGAACGACGGCTCGTCGCTTTACGAACTCCAACGCCTCCAGAATATCGGCTCGCGTTCCAACTGAGGAGCTCAGAATCTTCCAACCCTTCGCAATCAGCCAGAGAGGGTGGAAGTTCACCAGAGCCTCATGACCCAGGACTGCCACGCACATCAGTGTCCCAAACGGCGCAAGTACCTCGAATGCCTGTTGATATGCGGCCAGTGAGGTGGCGGCAACCACAATAGCTTTTGCTCCCTTTCCTCCCGTTACCTTCATCACCTTCTCCCCCAGAGTTCCGGGTTCGGTCACGTCAACGTAGTGCTCAGCACCCTGCTCTTTGCAGATTTTGGCCTTCTCCTCCCCAGCATCAATTGCAATGACACGGTATCCCATTGCATGGGCATACGCAACAGCTAGGGCACCAACGCCACCGGCGGCTCCAGAGATTGCAAAATACTGTCCGGGGGTGACGTGGCAGCCCTTGACGGCCTTGTAGGCCGTCACGCCAGCACATAGAATCGGCGCAATCTCCTCGTCAGGAAGATCGTCGAAATGTGGCGGCAGTCTAGCTAGATATCGATACGGGACGAGCGAGTATTGGGCAAAGGTACCGTCGTAAGTCTTTCCGGAATGCATCGCCTTGACGCATCGAGTCTCTCCTTCATTGACAAGATCCGTGCAGGCATCGCAACTCCCACAGATGTCGCGGGTCCAAGCGATGCCAACTCGTTGGCCAACCTCGACTGAGGGGTCGAGTGAGGAGACATTGGAACCAAGAGCAGCAATTTTGCCAACGCCTTCGTGGCCGAGGATGTTTCCGACGGGTCCAAAATGACCTAGAGCCATGGCGAGGTCTGAAGCACAGAGACCCGTCACGGAGAGCTTGACGAGAACCTCATTTGGACCGGGTACTGGCCGTGGTTCATCGCGTACTGAGAATGTTGGCGTAGCGTCGGATGCTTGGGTTGACTACGAAGTGTCAGTTGACATCCTTGACGCAATCTGAGTCTCTGGTGGTGAGATGAACATACAGTCAGAACGGCGGCTTTGTGCGTGTCCATCTTGATGGTCTTTGGGCTCTTCTATGAATAATTGTTTCTATCTGGCGATAATGGACTGTAGTTGGTGAACTAGAAACGAGTTTTGAGTTTGACCTGATGTTCCCGGAATCTATGATGTAGTTCCTCCCTTCCCCGCCAATCCCAAGCGGGGGAAGTTCAGACCATTCGGATACGTATTTCCGCCCGTCGGACAGTCCCGCGCGGCCGAGGTCATGGCGGCGAAGTTTTTTCTCTTTTGAGAATGCTGTTCGCTCGAAAATGAATACTGACATGTCCTCTTTGACTCGATCTTGAAGTTGAGGTACAGTATCTCCATCGACGCGTGTGGCAGATGTGGGTTCCCGAGAGCCGCGGGAATTCGCTAGGCCCGGGTTATGGCGTTATCGCCCCCGACCCAGGGGTCTCGTTTCGCTGCACGTAGTGAGACATGCCTGCGCCGTCAGGGCTCTTTTTTTCTCTTCTTGCCCTTCGGACTATGTCTCAAAGGAAATGACAATGAGAAATTCATCAATCAGTCTTTTGAGGAGCTAGAGATGTGGGCACATATCGTAGATCAACAGGGGTATTCCATGTAGGCAAAGCTGTCCGGCTGGAGGTTAATCGTGCATGTGGTTACCACATGAATCCCCCGGAAATTGAGACGTTCATATCGTGCCGCGCGGACGGATTCTCAGCAAACGTCCAACCATCGCCAACCTAGGTTTCCGCTGAAGGAAAGATCGCGAGAATTCGGCCATATTCGTGACATCATGATCCATACAAGGAGTCACTTACATAAGCACCGTCACGACGATTCGGCCCACGGCGAAACATGAGCACCCGAAGTATCACATGACTTTGAGTCCAGCGATGGCCCCTGTCTCAGAACAGGCCAACAACATATTTTCTGTAATCACCCAATCCACCAGTCCTCACCGCTGGATCCTTGCGCCAAGGAACCGCATAGTTGCAATGTCCACTCAGAAGTCATCGTTCTCAAATAGGGGCTTCCAAATCCACCAGTCTGTAATTCGGCATCCTGGCGGAGGAGCACACGACCGAATTATACACATAGTCAACCGCGCTCTCAGGGGCGTGCGTTCGGGCGAGCATGCGGCACCTCACGGCGATGCAGCCGGGAAACGGCCAGCACTCACCCTCGATCTTAGCTTCCAGGGGATGCAGCATATTCCCGAAGACGTCGTTGATCTGACCAAGGAGGACCTAGAATGGTTCGTAGAAATTATCGCTTATCTTGAATGAAAGGGTGACAAGCTTACGCCAATGTGCGTGATAGGCTCACGATCTCCCACAATCTTTTGACCTGTCTGCCGACTCGGTTTGGAGCCTGCATGAATCTCCGATATCTGGATATTAGCAACAATGATCTCAACGAGTTCCCATTATCTGTAATGAACCCGTCATGTTCTCCCCAGACTCGTCCTAACGCTATTGCAGATCTGCCAGCTGAAGTCTCTAGAGATCTTAAATGTTGCTCATAATTCACTCGGGAACATCCCTGATCAGATTGTTTTACTTTCATCACTCAAAGCACTCTTTCTTCAGGGCAATCAGATTGGTTCATTGCCACTCAGTATCGGGTTGATGGAGTCATTGCAGCTCATCAAGATCAGCGGAAACCCCATTGAGTACCCCCCGCCGGAGGTCCTAAACGTACCCAACCATGCAGAAGAAGCAGATGCCATCGTCACCGCACGGATCATGAGTTTCTTCAGGTGTGATGCGTACCCTCAGCTTCTCATCCCAACTGGCAATCTCGATCTCATCGATGCCGCGGATGCTGTGGCCAGCTGTCTGCCTCGTTTACAAAGACTCCTCTCAATCGACCGCTTTGCTAGGTTGACGCGGCATCAATTTAGCACGGTGTCAAACTTGGAGCGCTTGGTGTCGCGCAGTGGATTGCATCTGCGAGAAATGCAATTGTACATCCAATTCGCTTCTGAAGGTGATGAAAGTGCCCAGGAGGGTCTGTCAAAAGCTTGTGTCCGGCTTGTGAGATCCATGTCGCGAGTGTGTCTCGAGATCGGGAGTAATTCCGATATAATAGTTGACCAGGCTGGAGTCCAAGACGTTCTGCCTCTTCTGAGCCTCCTGCATAGCACCTGTCGGGACCTGAGGTTTGCGCTTCAAGCATTTACCCCTAATAAGTCTTGCGAGACTGAAGATCCAGCGACGAGTATGCCTTTGACTGCTCAACCTGGTATAGCCGCTGCAGATATTCTCTCTGCCGCACAAGAACAGAAGTCGCTGTTGACCCATGGAGCCAACACCAATAGCGATAACCATGATCAATCCTTGGACTCAGTCGTGCTGTCTCTCTTGGAGGCTTGCAAAGCGTACAAGGATCTTCATGATCAGCTCCGGGGACAGATCTCTGCAAGTTGGCGCAAAGATGATGCGCGAGAGCCTAGGATGTGTCCAGTCAGGTCTTGGAGCCAAGCCTGCGCCTCCTGCTCAAAGACTGAAGAGGCTGCTTCGATTCTCAGGAGCTGTCTGCATCTTTACACCCCCAAAGCATACGCTGCGAACGATCCATCGGTGTTTATCGAGTTGTCCTCTAGATTTTTGAATAGCTGGGCAGACCTCGGTAAGGGAATGATGGCACTGAGAAAGGTTCTATATCTTTCGACGGACGTGAGGAAACAGTTGCAGAATACGCAGACAACTGTGAAGCGGGCTACGCAACTTCTAAGCATTTGGATCGAACAAATCGAAAACAACACAAAGGCGGAAAATTACATTTGAGGCTTCGGGGAGGATTATTTTGGTTTTACACGCAAGCGAGGACAGACGAGACCGTATTAGAACATGAACTACCTATGGAAGCCGTCATAGACCATAGAGAAAAGGTGATGAGACGGATATGATGGGAAACATGGATGATTAATGCAGCAGAAATAATTAGAAGATCGGGGCCAGTTGTCCCACAAGAGTATTGTGCTGCTTAAATGTGAGTTGAAGACCGTCTTTTTACAGTCTCTACACTAATCGGAGTACCACGTAGCATATTTCTCCTCAGCATGTGAATGCCGAGCCAACGTCACCGGATCTGTAGGCATCAACGATGCTCTGAATAGTGGTATACGTTCCAACCACCGTCATGAAAGATGCCAAAACAACCGTGAAGCAATGCAATAGACACAGACCCATCTTTGCTTTACTCAAGGATCGTACTTCCCAATCCATGTACAGACCCATAAACGCAGGAATAATGAGCTGTGGCACAAGAAGATGCAAAGTCAGAACTGGGCTGTGGTCTTGACTATGCTTTGGTGAACTTACACACGTTGGCATGCAGCAGATAGAGCCGATGAGACCAACCAGGTAACTGAAAAATGGCACTGCTTCAGCAATGACAAAGGCAAGTGCACTGATTCCCAAAGTTGATCCGCTTGTGATGTCAGTTCCATATGTCCTCATGAAGTCTGCGGGCACTCACAGCCATGTAACCCAATGAACGACACTTTTGTTCTGCAGATGAACCGAGTTGCGGAGAATGCGAACAAGTAACTAGAAGCAGTTAATGGGTCAATTCTGTCATTGTAGTGGCAAAGACGACTCACAAACTTGGCGGCCAGATGCACCCACAGCGTGGTAGTCATGATGAAGCCGGGGATGGAAATGCCGTAGGCTATCTTCTCCAGCGTTCCGCCTGCGCTCCCCAGTGATGGACTTGCGACATATTTGCCACAATACCTTCGTAGCCTTCAGCATCCGTGGCATCTAGAAGGACCGCAAAATAACTCACATGTAGACAACGGTCCCAAAAGAGACATAGCATGCCCCCAAGAAAAGCTGAGACGAGAAAAGCGATTTCGTGAACGATTTAGGGCTTTTCATTTCTGCAATGACTGGCATAAATGTAGGTGTCGATCCGTAGCCAACTAGGATATTGTAAGAAATAGAGCCGACAAGCGTAGCATCGCAGTTCTTACCGAAGAGATTGATGGTGGCAACTACCCCGGGAACAAACGCAGGAGCACCAATGGAGTGAACCTCCATGTCATAGGGACCCTCCTGAGGAGCAGCGGCTGGTCTATCGACCTGAGTAACGCCAACTCTGTAGTCAACTGTCAGTATCCAGCAGGGTCTACGTGACAGAGAAGGTTGAGTCTTACACTACAATGAATACGGCCGTGAATATCGAGGCAAACCCAATCCATGCCAAGATCGACAATCTTCCAAGCGTTGGAATGCTGGAGATTAGTGCCGTACACGTTGCTGCGACGAGAGTCCAAACGATGTTGCAGACTGGTCGGTTAGAGAGTGTCTTGAATCCTTCCGCCAGGCCAACGAAGCCAGAGCCAGAAGCTAGCCTAGACCCATGGTCAACTAAACCTGAACCGCATTGGAGTCGGATAGAAGCTTACACCCAGGTCAAAAGGAACAGACCGCCTGCAACTTCACGAGCCACGGGACCACCCATTAGGGCAGCGGCATCGGCGATATTGTGTACACCGGGATACCGCATTCTGAAGGCGTACATGACGTAGGCGTAATCTGCAAGTTACCCATATTGTAAGTGACTACAAAGTGCAGACAAGGGCCAAGACCGAAGAGCATTGTTGAGAACTCACAAGTCGTAAGGGTTCCCCAGCTCACAAGGAGAATAATCCCCGGCCCATACCCTACTGCGCTAAATGCAGACGGAATAGTTAAAACGCCAGTCGCGAAACAGAGCTTCATCAAGATGATGACTGTACGTTTCCTGTGATTATGCCTTAATAAGATCTCTCTACAGGGAGACAGTCACGCAATCGCGTTACGCATACCAGCCGAGAGCCCGGTATTGGGCTTGTTGGAAGACCTCACCAACATCTTCAATATCGACGGATCCGGTCTGACTACTGTCACCCGGAACAGCATTGTTCGGGGCAGTTAAGTCTGGCTTTTCGGACAAATTCGGACCTGAACTTGTTTCGTAGGAAGAGGGCATTGTGGCGGACGTTTGCCCTGCAAGGACTCAGTTGGACAGGTTGGAGGCCAAATAGAGCCGATGAACTAGAAAATCGAAGTAGCTCGGTGCCCAAGCTCAAATGCGCAATGACTGCACGCTATCTTACGACGGATCACGGAAGGGGGCAGAGTGTTTATAAAGACCAGAGGTCGGTCAACGACTCCCTATCACAGACTCTTCTTGTCTCCAAATGCCGGGGTTCATGACCAGGGCAAATTACCCCTCAAACATGCGGAGAACCCTTGAACGTTGGAGGTGTTGGGACATGCAAAGAACGTGGGCATCTGATATCTGCATGTTCCACTGAGCGTGGGTCTAGGACACAGCATTCTGTGGCTGTTAGCAAAGCATGCCATCTACCCCAAGGCCTGGCTGCAAGGTTATCAACCGGCCATGAATTCATTGGCAAGTGCAAGATAACGCTAAACAGAGGTGAGTGCAGATCTAGTCCTATTTGCGGGGGAGATTGCTTGGGTAACGCCATGGAGATAAAGCCCCCAACACCCACAATAGATAGAGCGGGTTCCACCTCGCGGATTCCCGACGCTAGCAGATTTCCGATAGCGAAGCCATGCCGCGGAGTGACCTCAAGTGTGTTGGAAGATTGTCAGCTCTACCGGTGAATGTCCTCGAATAGCACACGACCTAGTGCGATGCCAAATCCCACATGCTGGCTACCGGCTCTGGCGACATCGGCAGAAGGGTTCATCAGGAATATTGCATTTTGAGAAATTAACGCAAAGCGTGATAATTCAAATTCTTTTGACAAATCTGGGAACTAGCAAGAAACTCAGTCGGAATTAACGCCCCTGAAAACATAAATCCCTCCATTTATAGTAATCTCTTGATTTTCAGCCCAAATCTGGCTGTCTTTTTCCAAAACCTCGACAACTTGGAAAGCCCGCAGAAGTCTTGAGACATCCCCAGACTCGAAAGAAACCTCCCAGCCGGCGCTAGAAACGTCGCGATTCTCCCGGCGAGCCGCGAACGAGCCGCTGGGGAACTTTTGAATAGCCAGAAATATGCCCCCAACCTTCCCAATGAAGATCAATCCATCTTCACTCTGAAGAATCCACGATATCTCGCTCGGTGCACTCTTCGATGTGATGTCCCGCCAAACCTCTTCATAGTCTGTTGGCGCACCGCCTTTGTGCGGGCAGGGGGTCGTTCCAATTTCCAAATCGTCTCCGTTAGGTGATTTGTTGAAGTAAGCGTCATCGGGAACGGTTAGATCAAGCGAATCAATGATATGCGTCCACCGAAAAGTTGCTGAAGAAAGTTGCAGTCAGTTACCTGCACCCGAGGGACAGCATGAAAGAGAGCCTGGTGCGAGTTTTGGCATACGGGGAGATTGTTTTAACATGATGCGTTCACCGGCGCGGCTCCATTGAATGGTGTGATCTTCTTTCGTTACTCGTAAGTCAATGAAGTAGCCACCAACGTTGAGGGCGATCGTGTCGGTGTCCTCGTACGCTGGTTCAGGAAGCCAGCGGATGCTGATGCGTTTAACAGCTTGAGACGGCATGTCTTTGGCTCGGAAGGTGTTGGGGAATAGCGTGTTGTAATGTCGGAGGTTGGCCAGGTTCAAAAACCAAAATATGGGCAATCACGTTTGATGGAGCTTCTCCTCCTACTTATGCTCGAAGAAGGGGTGCAATGATTAAGTACACCGGAATCGGACTGCACTCCCTCAATAAACCGGTACCGAGACCCACAAAACGTTCCGGTCTTGTTACGCTGAAGGCTTTCTGTTGCTAAGTGGGCGTCATCAGGTACATAGACGAACCCAATGTCAAAGTCGTCTGTGTTCAAGCTCTGTGACTGGAGTTCATCATATTACAAGGCACATCCATGATTCCTCTCACACCTTACGTAAATATTATTCTCATGTCTTCAAAATTCAACATGGCCAAGGCGAAGACGCAGCATGGCGAAAGAAAGGCAACGTGACATAATTATTGCAAATTTAGACTGACTGCGAAATTCTGCTTGCTCTTTGGGTCGTATGTCCATTTCGAAATGGTTCTACAGATGCTTTATGCTTGGAAGATGGAAGTGGGTGTGTTGGGTCTAGGTCACGTGTGATCTACAGATATTACTCCCCGCACTGGCGGGCTGAGTGACCAATTCTTTCCCACTCCCAGTTCTCGTTGGAACAGCCTTTGGGACGTAAACCAGACAACCGCAGCAACCTGTCCATCTCGGTATTTTCACTCGATTGCAACAGTCAACCAGTCTGCCCCGCCTGAAGAATGGGATAAGCAATGCACATAGTTGCAGGCCCAAAGTCCAAGAGGCACAAATCCATCCCGGCATGTGCTAGATGTCACAAGTCAAAGCAAAAGGTAAAGTTTGTGGGGAACGGCAATAGATGACATTTAGTCTAAGCTGTGTATTTCAGTGTGATAGAGGAACGCCGAGATGCTTGCGATGCGTTTCAGCCGGCGTGGAATGTACCGCAATCAATCGACAAAATTCGAGCGAAGTTCCTCGAAGGTTCGCAACATCCTCTGATTCACACATTAGAAGACGCCTTGAGGGAGAAAACTATGGGATTGCTGACTTCCATGATAGCGCTGTTCAATATCTTGAGCAAAAGCTGGCCGAACTCGAAGCCTTTGCTACCACAAGAGAGGGTGTTACAAATGCGGCGTTGCCAACACAAGACAACTTGAGTATCAACACTGTAGAAAAGGATGTCCAACAGATCGCCGGAATATCTGTCATTCGTTCCTTATCAGCAAGTGGCTTCGAATGCAGCGACAAAATTCAGCATAAGGCGAAGCTTTTTTACGGTTCTGAAAGACCTCCACTCAAAATTCCAATAGGTGGTATCTATCATGAGCTCAGTCCAAGAACGGCCGGGCATGCATACGCATCTCAATTTGCCAAGTTCAACGCTCGGAGACTACCTAAGCATGTGGCAAAACGGCTTTTTGAGAATTACAAAATGGACATCCTCCCTAGATTCCCCTGCTTTGAAGAAGATGAAATTGGCAAATATTTCAACTTATTCTATGAACAGGAACTACCCAAAACCAACGAAGAAAGCCTGCCAGACATCGCAGATTTTGTAGTTCCAATGGTGCTGGCGATATGTTCACTGACGTCCAGGACCAACGACTTCGAAAAGGTTGCTGCCCTGAGCGAGGCTCTACAATCTGATGCTCTGCGTGACACAGAGCGGGTTTTGCAGCATGCATCCATACAGTCATTGAAATGTCTGCTTCTCATCATTCAACTCGCGCTGTTACTCCCGCATACCGCTAACTTATGGCATTCGACCGGGGAGGCTATGCGGGTAGCAGTGAGTCTGGGACTACACCAGGAGCCTGATGACAGAATTATGAGGGACCACAAACTCTGCGAAGAGCGACGCAAGCTTTTTTGGGTCGTAGGTGTAGTATGATACATGATTCCGCAGCACGTTCTAACATCTAAATCAGATCTACCAACTTGATAGGATCGTTTCCATATCTGCAGGATGTCCTGTCGCCCTTGGTGACGAACACATCACAACCCAGCTTCCGTTTGGAGGGGGCAGTCCATTCCATGGTGGTCCAGATGAAAATCACTCCGGGATTATTGAGAGCCTCACAAAAAGACGGTTCCTCATGAGAACGCGTGCCTGCGTCTTACAGTCGGAAATACACGCCACCCAGTTCTTCGATCAAGCCCTCCCAGACTCCGTCAAGGACCACGCCGACTGGATCAATAAAACCAACGAAGCCGTTCAAAGACTTGCAAACGAAGCCACGCCTGGACCTTTGGTTGATCCATGGCTAATTTCAGTGCCTTATCAATGTCGTGTTCTACTCCATCGGCCATGTTCTAGAAACATTGTGGTCTCTGACGAGTCGTTGCTGGCCGTTGTAATTGCGGCGACCAATCTGATTGCTCTCGACATGAATGTCGCTAAAGCAGGGGGTCTCGTGATGGCATTCGAGATTGCCAATCGGGATTTTCAAGCCGGGATGGTTTTGCTTTACGCTCTCCGGAACCACTCTGCAAAGCTGGAGGAAGCTTCATTTACGGCTGCAGCGGAGAGAGCGCTTTCAGATCTTGTACAACTATTCGTACGTACTTCATGTGTTTGCCTTTCCACTCCGGGACGGGGCCTGACATGGGCCAGAAACTGTTGTCGTCGAGATGGCCACCATTGGCAGACACTGCTGCATATATCAACGAGCTAATCGATACGAATCTCCGCAATCCAGTCGGTCACAGCGGTAGCGCTTACGACATGAATGTCCTTGAGGAGCTAGACTGTCTCGTTACCCAACGACGAATACACAGCATTCGCCATCGTAACGTTGTGTTGCCACAGCAGAAGAAACCAGCCGCTGCTGCCACTCAACCGAAGGATTGTGGTCAGCAGATGGGTGAAGATCTGTTTGATGACGAAAACTGGTGGCGGGACTTCATCAACGATGATTTAGTTACGAACGACAGTCCCTTTTCACTGATTTCACCAGATGCCGTACAGAGTTCTGTTTCTATCCACCCGCACGAGAGAATTCAACATCCGCCCGACCCAAGACAAGATCTTTCCGATCTAGAGAAGCAACTACAACCAATCATCGAGGCTCTACCTTCATGTAGCTTTTGTAGAGACAGGCGGATCAAGTGTCGTCTCCAATTACCAGCTTGCAAGGAATGCCATCGCACTTCACGTAATTGCGTGGTATATGACCCAATCCTGGGAAGCAATGTACCGTTGAAGTATGTCCGAAAGGGATCTCCTTGGATCTTGCCGGATTGCTAATGATTAAGTTTGATAGGCGCATACACTCTCTTCTGGAACAAATCCGACATAAAGCTTCAACTAGTTTGCCAGCTCCTACATTCCAAACGAATGAAGAGCATTTGAGAAGACGTACAATGGGTGTCCTGCTGCCAGTGAGACCTGGTCCACAGGAGGAGCCACTAAGTAGTTACTCGCAACGCAATCACAGCGATTCGTTCTTTGGGACGCGGAGTGCTTTCGGTTGTCTTCGGAACCTACTTCAGAAGCGTCCAGTCACAATTCCCGAGATTCTGCGAACTGCCACCCATTGGAACTCCCACAATGTTTCGCCGACGAGACTGCCTTGGAACGGCGACATCACTAAGCCGTTAGCTGAAGGTCTTTTTCAACTGTTCAACCGATCTGCGAATGCCTTTTTTCCTGTGTTGGAATCTTCAACCCTTGACCGCATTGTAACTGGATTCTTTGACTTCTCAAGGTCGCAGCCAAGTACAGACGCTGAGTTATTCTATCTGGTGGTGGCAATAGCATCTTCGGTTGGCACAAAAAGCGACCCTAGGCTGGTCGTATGGGCGGAGTCATCATATGCAAAGGCTATTGAAGTCTTACACACTGACTGCGACCACGGCTCTCGCCCATCAAATGTTCTCCTCTTTGAAAGGACCTTGCTAATTTGCATCTATCTCCTCCTAAATCCACAGGCAGGTGACATTTGGCGACATCTGGGTTTCGCAATCAGACACTATCTGGACCTTTCCCATCGTCCCTCTACGGAGGAGTTGGACGAGGGTCATGATTTGTTTTGCACTCTAACGAGGACATTGTATTGTCTAGAAAGGTATGCCCCCAAATTTTCCAGCCTACATCTGATAAGACGTCTGATGTTGCCTTAGTCAAGTTTCCATCGCCTTCGGACGACCCAGCCTCCTGGCAATCGGCGATGGGCTTCGCAAGGTGAGCATGATACCGTTCAAGTGCATTCATGATCTCGTCTGACCTTCTTTTAGGAGCTTACCAATCAAACTACTGGCACGATCAGAGAGCAGATTTCCGTATCGTCGTATTTGATTGCATTTCTAAAGATGAAAATTCACAACACTCTTTTAGCAAATGATGCGAACAGTCTAAAAGTGAAAAAAGACGACCTCCAAAGAGCCTGTCAAGAGCATCGTCGGGTCCTAGACGAGTGGTTCGTGCGTTGGAAAGAAAGAATGAACTCCGTTCCAGAGGTGGCAAGAGAGCCCTATGCCGGATTGATTTCTTGGGTGAAGTTCAGTTACCACCATGGAATCTTCATGATATCCCTTCTTTGGCCTACTGCAGGAGGACATGCTGCTCGTGTCTGCAGCGCTCTGTCCGACGCGGGTTTGCAACTCACGAGGCAACAACAGTTGTTCGGGCGATTGTTTTCGGTTTTCCAGGATGACGCACCAATTCTGGTTTTTCCGATTAGCTGGGTGACATCTCACACGGTCTTTCAGGTGGGATTGTCCACTATCGACAGTAACTCCAAGTCATCTACCCAGGAGGGTATAGGCGCTAGGTCAACAGCACTTCAACGTTGTTTATCACTGGTTTTGCAACTTGAAGCTGACTCAACGAATCTTCTGACGGGGCAGTCCGTCGTACTTCAGGAGTTGATTTCTAATTAGCTCAGGGAAAGAAGCGCGGGGGGGGTTATCATTCTCATCATTTTCACGAAACCTAGTTGGGCTGGGCCGTAGTAACCATCCAGGCCAGTCAATTGCAAACAAATATCAAATGATGCAACTCGAGAGACCATCAAACACAGTTCTGGAAACTTGAATAGTATTCCATGGCCAGAATACAACGCGATTTCGACTTAGCCTGGCTGCAACTCTCTTAGAAAAGGTCCAGTCTTGACAATGGGCAATTGTCCCCGCTGGCGTATCCACCATCGGAAGGGCACCGTGGGTTTGGGAAAATTCTGCACCGAGCCATTTTTCAAACGATCATTCACACACATTTTCAGCAACCAATCCGATATGGTGTAGTGGCTAACATGATGCCCTCTCATCTTCGAGAGGCAGGCATAGCCCCGAGTTCGATTCTCGGTTTCGGGACATATTGTAACTTTTTGCCTGTGGATTCTTTTCCATTACATAGTACTAAGCTACACGGAGCTTCACGCTCTGCTCACCTGCATGAATGGTTAGTTATGTCAATGAGTTGTGCAATATGAATCGGCCTGGTTTTTTCGGTCGTCGCACGTAATCAAAAAAGAATTATGAGATACCAAAATCAAGCCACAGCAATTGAAAGGAGACTAGTGAGCTGATCGATTCATCCACCTAGCCGCATTGCTGTGTAGCATCTACGCCTCCGTCGTCGTTGCCAATGTCTTAAGCAACCTGGCGTGTCTGGTTGAATGGTTAATAACTCCATGGCATTTGCCGTAGGGGCTATGCTCTCGCCATTCAGAGTCATCCCCAGCCGGAACCAAAGACTTCCCACACCTGTTGATTCAGTAACCGGACGTGCTCTGCAGAAGGGCTATTATGCTATCGCCGGCTCTCAAGGCACGGGTGCGCTTATTTTGATGGGCTACTCCTAGGTAAGTAGGTATGATCTCCAATTTCGTACGCAGCAGAAATGTAACCCTTGAAATAGACCGCCTTGCCTAAGAGAATGCTTCTGACTGGCAATGTAATTGATCGCCTCGATTGTACGTTCGGAGCTGTTGACGCCACATTTTGTGAAGTTGAAAACCCAATCGCCTTTGTCATCGCAGGAAGCGTGGGTATTGCAGGGGATGAACCAGTCGACGTTGTTGATTCTGATAGAGAGCTTGTGAAACGAATTTGAGACATCCGCGGAAGAATTTCTCAGAAGTCGGGCAGGTGTAAGGAGTGGGAGAATGTTGATGAACAGTCTCCTATGTTGCCAATGGTTGTCGTGGTGTCTAAGCCGACCTCGTCTGAGGGCCACGTTCAGCCATGCCTTTTTCTCGACAGTCTCTGTCATCCGAGCATGGCAGGCACAGGAGGCGTATGCACAAATGCTGCCAGTCGCATCAAGGAGTCCGTGGTCAACTAACTTCTAACCCCCGAGACGCTAGCGGAACATGAGTTCGTCATTCAGCACCCGGCAGGACATCTTCCACTCTCTGTCAAGACTGATGACTGCGAAGATTGCAATGGTGCACCAAGTTTTGAAACACTGGGTTTTATGCGCACTGCAAGATATATCTTCCAGGGAGATTTATTCATTCCCTCAGACTTGTAGTAGAGCCTGAAAGCTCCATCTATGTAAAGTGCTGATATGCTTTCGGGGCGTTTTCGTAGACCAAGTGCTTAGCTAAGTTGAAATCAACATCGACAATGGACTCTTGTCAGCATAGTCAAATGGGATGTGATACCCGGTATTAGTGCAGCACCTTTCTTGTCTTGTGTTACACTCGGAGGAACAGCGCCACAACCTAAGCTGTAAGTAAGCGCGATCCCTGAACAACGCCTCTGCGTCACGCCGCCTAAATACAGTAGTGCTTACTCCCCAAAGTCACCGATATATAAAGAGCGACTGGTCTAAAGTCTTTGATGCATGGCTTGCGAAGCTTGATGTCCGAGCATTCCGACACACGTTCATGATGCATCTTCATCGCACTGCAACGCTCCTCTGGGTTCTTACTGCCCTGACGCCGGGTGCATTCGCGTCGCCCAAGAAGCCATGTCCAATTGACAAGCGATCGGCCCAGGAAGTTGTGCAGAAGCTCGGCCTTATCCCGAATGAAGAGAAGGGCTACTATATCCAGACCTTTCAGGATCCTGATACGGACAGCAGCAACCGCTCAGTCAGCACGGCTATTTACTACCTTCTGGAAGGGTCAGTTGGACCTTCAATCTGGCACCGGGTTGATGCGGCAGAAGCCTGGCACCATTACGCAGGAGCTCCTCTCACTTTGTTCCTGTCATACGATGATGGAAACCCGGTGAAAGAGATAGTAATCGGTCCTGACGTATTCGACAATCAACAGCCCCAGTACGTCATTGCAAAGAATCAATGGCAAAGGGCAACGAGTCATGGAAGCTGGACTCTTGTGGGAACAACTGGTAAACTCTCCTCCCGCGTATGAAACATCAAATTCTGATCTAGAGAAGTTGCCCCTGGGTTTATACCCGACGGAGTTGAACTCGCAGACCCGGATTGGATGCCAAATGGAGCCTGATTTTTGTGTTATGTACATTTCATGTTGAAGAAATAGCAAATATTCATCAGTCAATATCTCAAAATTCTACTGTACTGGTGACGCTCTTAGCGCAATGGTTATCGATGTCTAGGTGGAAAAGCATTAAGAAAACATCTAGCTTGACGGTTAACCTCTATAGCTCGTCATTCTTCTTGATGCTCAGAACAGGCTCAGAGAAATCGACCTCGCACTGTCCAGGCAAAGCTACTCCGTATGAGTTGTATTCCAACTGTCCTGTTGTCTCATTAACGGCTACCCATCTCCTGTTGAGAAGGTCTCCATCCTGAGCCCTGTCGTTGAAGTTTTGTGGGGCGAACACAATGCTGCTAACCGCTTCACTGTAAAGAGTGACAGGAATATCCTCAGCTCTAGTAAAGTGATGCATTCCCAAGTTGAACCACAAGACGATGTCCTCGTTGTCGGTACCCTCGCCGTCAAAGAACTTGAGGAAGTCTTGCTGAGGCTTCATGGGAAGGTTGACGTTCGCATGGCTGTTTGCGTATGGCTCATTGTCATGCTGGCGAGAAAGTGCAAGATGCGACTTGGCAAATGGTGTTTGGTTCTTGGTCCAAGGAGAGTTCAGCGGCGTGAGGTGGATGTTGGACTTGCCTGGCACCACGCGGTAGCCACGCTTCTCACCCCATGCGTTCGTGGCGTTGGGGTTGACAATGCAGTACATGGCAGCATTATTCGGCTGCCAGTTGAACTGCTGCTCCTCAGTCATGGTTGACTTCTGCAACTCCATCTGCTCGAAAGACCCGAGCTCGGGATACCAAGGCTGAGTTTGATTAACGACGACGAGTTGGCTGACTTCTAGGCTGTTCTTGGTGTCAAGAATGTCAAAGTCGGCTTTGTAGGTGAGAATGTGGTCGTGGAGTGATCCCATAGTTGCTTCCTGGATTCTAGGACCGAAGTTGCCCTGGTCTGCGTAGTAGAATGACGACTGCAGGAATCCTGAAGCACGAACAGTGACTTCGAGAGAGCCATCCACGTGGAATGAGTAGTCAAACATGTAGTCGTAGTTGCCGACAGTCGCAACGGATCGCATAGTCAGCGCGGACGCCTTGACGGTCCCGAGGTAGCTGAAGCCGTAATCGTTGCTGCTTCCGTAACGATGGCGAGAGACAGGGTATCCGGCATCAGCCTCGAAGATGCAGATGGCGTCGGTATTCACAACTGAGGAGTTACCTTCGTGGTATGTCACGTTCCAGAAGGTGCTGCCAAAAGGACAGTCGTATCCTTCCACAAGGGTGCCAAGGTCCGTACCAAGGCTGTAGTAGGTATCGTGGTACACAGTTCCGGCAGCCTTCGGGGTGAATCCGGCATATTGAGCAGCTGCCTCCTGAAGAGAGAGCTCGTAGATGACGCGCTCACCCTTGAATTTGATGTCATAGTACATCAGTCCAAGAGTCCTAGAGTAGGATGTGTAGAATGACCACCCCATGTACTCAATGTACTTCTCTTGCTCGTCGACCTTGTAGCGCTTGCCCCCAACCTCGAGACTCTGGGGCGCCAGCTTATCTTCGAGGTCCCTGACGCCCATTTCCGGCTTGTGGTCAAGAAGGCCCCAATCAGGAGTCCTTGTTTGCTTGAATGTCTCCTTCAACTCGCCTGCGTCCCAAGCAGCTCTGAAGTCGGAGACGGTGGCAAAGAACTTTTCGTTTGTGACAATGCCTTTCAACTTGTAGAGAGAGGAGTCCGTGCCAGTGACGTCGAGAATGACGAAGAAGTCCAAAGGAGTGAGGTACGTAGCAGTGTTAGGATATCTGAACATGACTGTGCGAAAGGCTTGCGTGCCATCATATGACAGCGGCGTTCCGCTTGTGGAAGTGAGAGTTGTGCGGTTATCTGAGGAGCCATAGTAAACTCCGTCAATGAGCTTGGTAGTTATATCCGAGATGTTGCTCATGACAGAGATCAAGAGCGGCTCCGACGCTACCGTGCGAGCGTTGTCAAAGTAGCGACTGTTGTAAGGGATCTTGCCACCACTTCCGCCGTTGAAGATGTAGTCGAGCTTTTCTATCCTGGTAGTGTTGCTGACTGGGAGCGGCCCAACCATGTACTCTTGCGAATCTGGTTCTGCTTTTCCGCCTGCGAAGATGACGACGCGAGCAAATTTTGGCGGAGGCTGAGCTGAGCCACTGAGGTATGGCAGGACGTCAGACTTGTTGGTGTGAAGAGTGTCGATCCAGTAGACATAGTTGTCTGTGACATTTGCAATGCTAGGGTCCGTGAGATTTAGGCCCGCGGCTGGGTCATGAAGGAGGTTCCAGACAGCCAGATTGTCTTCAGGCGAGATTGGGGACCAGACGTTAGTCTTGGGCGCCTGAACCTTGGGTGCCGATTCGTTGACATTGCAGGTAGTGATATTGGCTGCTCGTTTGAACTGTCGACTTGGCCCAGACGAGGCTGTTGCTGGCAGAACATCCAAAGCCAGGAGGCTTAGCGCAAGCTGCTTGAAGAACATTGTGATGGCAAAGTTGCGCGAGCTTTTTTGTCCACACCGAGGTTGGTGTACGTACTAGAGAAGACCAGGGAACTGAACGAGAGATGGTAGCTTTTATGAACGATTGTGGTCCGAAGTCGCAATGCCCTTCAGAAGACTCGGCTCAGAGATCTTTTATTACTGATAGTAAGTATTGACGAGAGAAATGCTGCCAAGCCTCTATACTTACGGAAGTTTTGCCGGTCCATGCCCTTGGGACGGACTTCACCAGTCGCCCGGGCCGGGTCAAGATACGTGCCTTGGCGGAGTGTCTACGAGGAATAGTTAGCAAAATTCGTGTCGTTAAGCCCATCTTTCCTGCCGAGTCCATGTAGATCCAAAGTGCGGTATCTAATCTAATCTGCATGCCAAGAGTTCTGATGGACATCTCGCTGCTGTCTTGCATTATCAGACTGCAACCACGGATAGTAAGACGCACATAATCCTGCCATCTGATCTCTTATCGGCGCGGCCAGCCTCTTCGAAATCACACAGAAGAGTGTTTCTCATACGTAATTGCTTGAGATGACGATTTTCCTACTACTTTCGCGGCGGAGATATTCGCGGTTCGACAGGCTGTCCTAGTTGTTTATCCTCGAGCCTGGCAATAGTTCCCCGCGTGTTGGCAGTGCGGGGTTGAAGACCGGAGACGTCGGGGCTTATCAGTGTAACCTCCCGCTGCTCGCGAACTCTCGACCTTGTCGTCCTAGCTCCCTCTACCTGACTTTTGTCCATGATGATGGCGCTGTTCATCCGATCCATGGTAAGAAAGATTACGGAAAATCTGAGGATGACTACGCAATCAGCGGCAAATGGTTCGCCAGCATTAACATGTCTAAGATAAGTAAGATCTAAAGAATGACAGCCGTCGGAACATGGAACATGGGGTGGCCGGGGCTGACATCGGTTTTCGGACAAGGGTCTGCTATCGTCCGAGCATCGGCCCCGCACCCCGATGGCGGTCCTGATAAGGACGGTAGAAGCTGGTAAATAAAGACGACGAGCGTTCCGCGGGTTTCATCATCGTCATTCACACATGTTTGCTATCGGAGCAAGGATGAAAGTGGCCTAGGCTTGAATCGGAGGTCCAGTGCTCGCGGCATACTACTGCGTTTCGAGCACTTCTTGATGCTGGCTTCGGCTTCATTCAAGACCTCCGAGTAAGTTCCTCTCGCGGCCAACGCTCATGTGTGAACTCGATAGGGCTGGAATGGATGGAAGGCATCGCCATGCGAACGACAAATGAGTGTGATAGTGACGCTATTGATTCAATTTGGCAGTTAAAAAAACGTCTTTTGGCTTTTGAGTCCAGCCAGTTCCCCTGAGTAGAGGAGTCGTTCGACATCGTGAAGTGACTGTGGCAGACCGCCCTAGCCCAGGCAACAGCAAGGCTGCTGGGCCGCAGGGGCGGCACGGACGAGCGCATTGGCAGGAATCCGGTGTTTGTAGGTTAACAGCACTATTCCTATTCGGTGACAAGTTTGCCTACAGCTCGCCTAAAATCTCACGTTATTGTTAGTCGCAGATCGTCTATGTTGAGTCACCGTTCAAACGACGGCGATATAAAAGTTCGAAAATCATTCCTGAAGGAAGAAATTTGGTTTCTGTAGACCAAGTCTACACATAGAGCGACAGCATGGTCAGAACGCAAGGGCAAACTGCGCGCATCGTCGCACGCAGGGCGCCGAGTAACGGACAACTACGATGCCTCCCCTCAGAGCTCATTGCGAGAATAGTCGAGAACCTCGACCTCGACTCGATTAAAAGCTTTCGCCTCGCGGGTCGTTTCACCGCTGCACAATGTCTGATACCGCCTTTCTTGCGCTTCTACTCCAATCAGTCTACAAGCTTGACGCCCCGGGACCTAGAGCATCTCATCGAACGGACGTCCAGCAAGACCGTCTCTCGAGCCGTCAAACATATCACAGTCCATGCCACAAAGTTCGCTGCTATGGATTGCGGCAATGACGACGAAAGGCTTGTTGCTGAGCTGGCCACAGCTTTGAGAAACGTTGGCGCTTTGGGCTGCCTAGAAATCAGCCCCCAAGAGAGACGCTTTCGTAAATGCGGAACGAAGCAACGACGCCCAGAGTGGCAACCGGCGGACGCTCGGGAGTTTCAGTCGGAAACTGCGCGGGCTGGGGTGGGTCTTACAATCGTCATGTCTGCGGTTGCCCGCAGCGGTGTGTCCATCAACGAGCTGAAAGTCTTTTGTTCCCCGGTGTCGTACGGAAGTGTGGTACAGACTGTTTTCTTGACCAATCTTCTGCCAAAGCTAAGCGAAAAAAATTCGAAATTCGAAGCGGCCGTCAAAGACGTGGAGAAATTGTCAATTAGCCTGGGTACGAGGAGAAACCCCAAAGAGGTCCCGCTCCGACTGGGTAGTTACCCAATCATTCCATATTTGAGTGCCACCGACCGCAGGGCACTTGCCAAAGAGAACTTTCCTGGTCTCGCTGGATTGCTTGGGTACATGCATAATCTCAAGACGCTGGAGATACATCTGCACAACACGTTGAAGGGGAAGACATTTGCATACAGCGAACTGTTTGACTTGGTTGCAGACCAAGTAAAGTTACAGAATCTGAGGCAGCTGACTCTCGACATGGTTCCGGTCAGCGAAGCGTCTTTTCTCAAGTTTTTGGCCAACAGTCCAGACATCGAGGACCTGAGCTTGCGGTTCGTGCACATCAGACAGGGCTCCTGGGAATCATTTATGAGTAAAATCACCAACCCCTTGACAAAACTGCAGCTCGACTGCATCTCAGATGATGGGCGGGAAAGCATCAGTCTCTGGCCAGATGGCCTACCACGCATGCAGGAAGAGGAGTTAGACGTTCCCCATGACGATGGAGAGAATGTCAATGCCTCATCTCTCGACAGTGCTAAGAATCTACACAAGAGAGATTTCAATACCGAGGAAATACGACAAGGCCTGGTTTTCAGGTAGTCGGTATAAAGCGAACAATAACACCATGCATGACTACCAATTGAGTGTGGCGTGTGACAGGGCCTTGAGGAACATATGTCGTATGAAAATGAACTTGACCACCAAGGGCTGCATTGGCAATAAGGGTTTGGTATATCAAGCGAGGTCTAGGTACATCGGCCTGATAGGTTTTATTCTATGCTTACGGCCGTTGGCTTGATGTTGAGAATTTCAAACCAACTCCTCCCCTCTATTGTATGTGGCACCGTGAACACGCCGAGACGTTTCCTCACAGGCTGCCCAGATTCGGGATCACAAATTTCAGAGAGAACAAGCCCAACATCCATGCCTTGGCCCTCACCGGAGACATCATCTGATGGAGGATCACGTCCGTCGAAGAAGGCCCTTACGCTGCCGAGGAGCAGGATCACCAGGTCCAAATGCTGCCTTGCGCGTAAATGAGAGAGGTATAACTCAGCCAACCTGTCGCAATCTGGTCGGAATTCCGCACCCGGCAAGGGCTTAGAGTCGGGCCGGTAAAGTCCTATGTGCTTTGTCGACATATTGAACGACGGTATCTTCGCGTCTTCATGGCTAGTTTCTGTCACATACTCCGAGTCAAGCTCCACGGGCATGATCTTTCCCTGCAAGTGAAGAAGATGAGGCTTGAACACTTCGTCTGAAGGCAAGGGCATGTCTGTGAAGTATGTTGTGGATCCAATGACATGATGTCGAACTGTCGCATTGCGCGAAACTAGGTCCACGCTGTTGAATCTGAAATCTCTGTCCGGGCTCAGCGCCCCGGCCGAGCTTGGCCAGCAGATATCTTTTGCAGTCAACAGTTTCTCGCCCTTGCTGAACTTCATGCTTGTCCACGACCATGAGGGTGCGTTGAAAGGCGTGGACCTCATCGGAGAGTAGCTCGGTGGCGCTTTTGGCGAATACCTATGTTGTATGGGCCATCCGCTATCATCATGAAGGCGACCGACGCTCCAAAGAAGGTCGTACGGTAACTTGGCAGCATTGTCCTCGGACATTGAGATGCCGGCAACCCAATGAACACGCGACTTCGGATCCTCTTCTTCGGCAGATAATTGAGAAAGAAGACGGAAGAAAGCGCTTAACGTCAACTGTCTGTCTTCTCTCTCATAAGGCAGGTGCATGACACCGCGGAAAACCTCATCAACCATCAGGCCATTCAACATCAAGTGCCCTGGGATTTTATCCCAGGTACATTGCATCTTTCTATCTCGTTGATGATTGTGGGTTTCCGCCATACACTCGCAACGCTGGTCTTCCTGGCATTCCCACACCATCTCGGAATTTCGAAGATGGAGAACTCTCGGGGACAGGGCGATGCCTTGAAAGGAAGAATCGTTGCCAAATATCGAAATCATCTCATCCAGAGTGCGGCGACCGTAGTAATGGCGCTCTTCCCTGAGAAGTTGGTGAGCATGATACATGGAGTCTCGAGCGTAAATGGTGTAGTCGCGGCCGCGATGGTTTACCGGGATTGGGAAGCACTCGGGCGTCTTCTTGGGATCCACATCGTTAGAGATAACTGTCCGAGGGCCAAAGCTGCTATGGCGAAGATCCTTGAGGCCAGTGATGGCAATGGTGAGTAAAGAGCCGCGAAAGATTATGTCCTCTCGATAAATGTGCCAGTAGCCGTCATCGTCATCGTCTTGCAAAACGCAAAAGTCCTTGACCCAGACGTATCTTATGCCCTGTTCATGAGCCACGATAAGGGTTTCCTGAATCCCCTTTGGGATCTGCCACCATTGGATCTTTTGCTTTCTCTCCTCCAGATTCTCCCGCCGCGTAGGTGCCAGGGGTGGTTCCAATTGTTCAACGCAGGAGTGCACGACTGCTGCATACGGCCTCGTGTCCAAGGATGCGTCTACTAATCTCACTCCCATTCGAGGATTCTTTCCGAGATCCAAGAGTCTCTTTGGGGCAATCGCCGTGTCGTATTTACCACCGCAAAACGGCTTGCTGCAACGCTCGTGTTGTGCGAGACAGGACGAAAGCCACCCCTTAACGACCTTTTGTCGCCGGTTGGAGTGAAGCACCGGAGCGACTTCATATGCAGGTTTAAACAATGGCCAGGGAGATGGTTTATCTGGGTTTAATGTTACCAATATGTCATGGTCAAGCCGTCAGAATATCACCTACCTGGCTTGACGAAAAGGTCGCATCGGCCCCGAAGAATCGGCTGAGAAACGTCTATCATACCATCGGGCCCTTGGACAGCCTCGGAGACGAAGGTTACCATGAGGACTTTGTAAAAGTAGATCGAGATCCTCGTCTCTTGATCCCAGTCTGGGTCCAGACTCTGCATCTTGTCAAGCCCAAATCGTCGATAAGCTTGGTAGATGATGTAGCAAAAGTGGCAGCCAGCCTTACTCGATCGCTTCACGATCGAAGCCCATACCCGGAACCAATGTTTAGCGGCTTCGGGCTTGAAGCCGGGGTAGTCATCTTGAAGATTGGGGAACTGGTTCGGGTCTAGGTTGTGACATACGATGCATGGGGGTTTCGACGGCACAACCGCCTGACTTGAGTCCTGGATACCTGCCATGGCCTCAAGAAGCTTGCCCAAGAAACTCCTTGTTTCGGCAAGAGGTCACGGTGGGTATTGGCACCTTGTGAGGTTGGTGAGGCTTCGGTCGGTGTGATGGTCGAATGCCAAAAAAGGACAGGCAGTAAAGATACAAAGAGGAGCCAATGAGGTAATCAAATGATGCAGGTTGAATCAGTTGGACCCACCTTCATCGCTGTCTATGCTCGCTTATGTAATGACCCCTTGGGATCATGATTGATGCCGGTGGTCGACTTCACCGATCATACAGGTTCTCAGACGGTTCTAGATTGATTACTCAACTTTTGATTTGTCTATTGCTTGCGGGTATCTGATTTGTAACTATCTGGTCTATGAAAAACAGCGCTATTCTATCGCAAATGGCACCATATTAAATCCCTTCTCTGGCGCGGACGCTCTCGACGCAATCCTGCCATCTGATGACCTTCATGTAGATGCACTCTATGATGGCAATGAGCACCATACCGCCGCCGAGACCGATCCAGGCACCGTCAAGCTCCATCGCAGGGGATCCCAGCTCGAGCCATACCGCCAGGGGCACAGCCCCGATGTAGTTGACGGCGAAGACAACACAGGCCGCAACAGACTGTCGACCAAGACCGCGGAGGACGCCGTTGCATCCGCAGATGATTGAGTCGATGAGTTGGAAGGCGCCGACGGCCAGCATGGACTTCGTGGCCAGCTCCTGGACGGCGGCATCCTCGGAAAAGACGAGTCCGAGTTGGTTTCGGAAGAGGAAGAGGATGACGCCATCGATCATACCGACGATGGTGAAGACGGCGGCGTAGAGGCTGCTTGCCCGGCGGGCGATGGAAACGTGACCGGCGCCGATGAGGTGGCCTATCCTAGTTGAGATGGCGACGGAGATGGAGAAGGGGATGTGCCACATGACGACCGAGATCGTGGTCAAGATCGTCTGGGCGGCGAGATGTTCGGTGCTGAGGTATGAAGTGCTGAGGGTCAAGATCTCAAAAGCAGCCCATTCGCCGACGTTAACGAGCGAGCCTGCGATTGACAGCTTGACGGGCGTGCCCCATTCCTGGAAAGCTTTCCGGGAGAAGCCGCCCCAGCATTGGTGAGACCATTGGCCGAAGAAGACGATGTACATGAGCAGGAGAATAGGTCGGAGGTCATTGGCAAGGGCCTGGCCGAGAGCGGCACCTTCTAGGCCCATGTCCAACTTGAAAGCGAAGAGCCAGCTGAGCAGGGCGTTTACCGGGGCGCAGATGATGAGGACGATCATAGCACTCTTGAAGTCGCCTTGAGCCTGGAGAAAGCGCTTCAGAGCCTCGAACGCGGCGTATCCGGGAATTCCGATCAAGCTGACTCGCAGGAAGGAACCGGCCTTGATAGCCAAATGATGCTGCTTAACGAATGCCGAGAGGATACTCGGAGAAAATATCCAAAAAGCGCCGATGGGAATGGTGGCGATAGCCATCAGGATGAGCATGCGCTGGACATGAAGTCCGACAGCAGTGAGACGCCCGGAGCCGTGGGCTTGGGCGCAGAGAGTGTCGAGAGCGGTAGCCATACCCTCATAGATGGCCAGTCCAATGATGTTCATGGTCGTCAGACCAATACTTGCGGCGGCGAGGTCATCGGCGCTAAGATGACCTGCCACGAAGGTGGTGATGACCGTGAAGGAGTACTGAAGTAGATACGTGGCGATGAGCGGCAGTGAGTACTGACACAGCAGCCGTGACTCGGTCAGCCAGCTACTGGTGACGGGCTCCGACTTGGGGATCGGCTGGTCCGCCAGCAGCGGCGTTGTCTCGCCGGTCCGGTACTCGTCCTCATCGCGGTCGCGGTCGCGATCGCGGTGGTCCATGACGGGCGACCCGATTAGCAGCACCGTAATAGGGCGGCAGACGGGCGTGGGGTAACGGAGCGGATCGGAGGTAAGAAGATTGGTGGAAAAGAAAAGGGACGTGGCTGGCTTGACTGGGATTGAAGAGCAAAGGGGGACAGACAAGCAACGCAGATGAAATTAGGTTGATGGACGGCTAAACCGCTACGCGCATGTGCTTAATTCTAGGAGAGGGTGTGCTGGTACATGTGGTCGACGTCGCCGGAATGGTAAATCCGTGCGAATTGAAGGGAGAGAAGATGTGTTTGATGGGGACAAATTGAGAAACAGAGTTCCGGTCACAGCGGCTGATGAAGCCGGACGAGAAAAAGTTTTGCTCACAGCTGTGAACGGACCGGGTCTGTGGGGTCTCCCATCTCCACTAAAAACGCCTCAGATGCTGTGTGCCACAACGCCATGCATTCCGAGATCCGAACCCGACTGGTGGACGCATGATGGCCGCTGCGTCAGAGATGGAATGTGAGGGGGATGTTATGTAAGATGTTGTGAAGAATGCATCGAATAGTGTAGCAGGGAACACGATGAGGAGTCGTTGAAAGCGATTCCGAGTTAGTAGAGAGAGAGACTCATTTGAAGATGGATATTGAAGCTCTCATGCTTGTTGACATGGTGCTGTATCAACAGCCACAACATCATGAATCTGAGAACCACTGTTCACCACTCAGCGCAGGCAACACCTAATTATTATTTATTGATAATGATGTCATTGATGAGTCGCCTGATACTCCATTTATAAGAGTTTCTGTGATTCAGGGTCTTTGCAAGTTGGTGGTTGGTGATTGGTTTCATTGCGATGTACTTAGTAAGGCTGAGCTCCAACCCCTGTGGCCTCTTACCTCATGGAAAATCGGTTGTCAATTACTTCACTGCGCCAAAGATCACAGCAAAGCACAGCCCAAAAAAAAAAACCTAAAAAAAAAACCGGGCTTACAAAACAAAAGGCATTTCACACTGGAAGAAGATACAAAAAGCCCCCTCAATTACACAAACAGCCGTTCACCCGACGGCAGAGAACTGATGGCTGGGACAAGCGACCCGCTGGTGATCCACCAAGATCGCACCACTTACTAAGGGTCACCAAATGCGCCGCGCATCTCATTTGCTCTCAGGCCTGTCGAACGGAGATGGTTGATAAATGAGACAAATAAGAATAGTCACCACTTTTATCCGCCGGGGAGCTATCTGGGTATGTGCGAAGACTAATTGAATAAAAACTTCGGGGTCTCTCGGGCGTGAGTCCTCACGGAAGGCCTGCCTCGGACGACTGTTACATAATCCCGGGGTTTGTATTAAATCTTATCAAATGAACGACGATCTCTCCACTTTCTCATTGCGGTAAAAGCTGCGAATGATGTTGGTTCCGACAGGACTCTGGGATCTGGGGTTGCCTTTGAAATATCACGCCAGTTTCTACACCGGTGTGGCCTCGTGTCCGCTCCCTAAACATGGTGGAAGTAGCAGACTCAATTGAAGGAACTCCTAAGCGATCTTTTTCTCCAGTTGGAACAGCAGAGATTTTACAACTGATAGCCAGCCTCTGAGGACTTGTATGATCCCCCATGAGAACTTGATCGGCTCTCATGCCGTTGTGGTACCAGATCCTCATTACTCTCGGTTCTGTAAGCCCCCTCCTCCTTGTCTTTCCGACTTTCGTGGACATGTCCTTGTGCCGCAACTGGCCAATCGGATGGACGTAGGTATTTGCTTCGTGTAGCTCTTGAGTTCGCTGCTCCACTGGTCAGATGTGATCCATATCGCGAGTTGGTTCCTCCGCCGATCGCTGTGGCGTGGAGCCTGCCACTCTCACCCCCGCCTGACGAGGTCAGTTGGTAAGGCGCCTGAATCGTGGCCACAGACGTCGAGCCCATGAGACTGTCGATGACTCCTTTCAGGCTCGGGATGCAGGCTGTCATCACTGAAAGGCCCAGTGTGCACTGCAGCCAGATGACGTGCGGTACAGCGTGCCAAGTGCTGTCTGTGTAGTCCGTGACGAGATTGTGCGTGCTGATGAGTCCTGGGATTGATAGAATAGGAACACTGAAGACGACAGAGTTAGCAAATGTCGCAGTTAAGAGTTGGGTGATGAACATGCATGATCCGAGTCCCAAACAAAGCAATGACCAGCAGCTTTCTCTTCAGGGTGGTCTGGACTTTCCACATCATTGCGACTGGAAGGAAGCAGAGCACAACGTCGGTGGTTAAGTCCATTATTCCATTGTAGAGGTAGACAACTTCTCGCCTAGGACAGTTTTCCAGGCTGATGGCAAGCCATGGTCTCGGAAGTGAGCACTGAAGAGCTTCGGCTGTAATACCAGACACCATCCAGGCGATAACTACACCGAAGAGTAGGTGATTGGCAATGTTGAATTTGCCATGGTTATTGATTGACTGAATGAGCAGACACAACGACAGTTTGGTCGTCGCTGCTGTGGCAGTTGCGAAGATGGACGATGCGTAGAATAACTAGATCAGAAAACTGTTAGATTCAACGGTCTGCACACTTGGGGACTCTTTTACCTTGTAGAATGCTTTGAGCTCGGTGGAGTGAAGAACATTTTGGTGACGTCCTAGCCCGTGGTTACAGGCCGTGATGACGAATGTGGTTTGTACAAGTAGCAGGGCTACAGATATCAATAAAAGCACATCGTGGGCTTTGAGGGATGTGATGTTGAGACGGATGATGAGCTTGAGTGTAATGCCGATGATGGCGTAGATGAGGAATACCAAGGCAGCGACGACGGCGAGTGCAGCCTTGTCGTCTTCCTTCAACGCGTAGAAGGGCGGCGCTGGCAGGTGATCGAACTGCATGATGTTGCACGCTGCTACGACATGACGTTGGCACGGGGAGAACGCGATTACTTCAGATAGTGAATTCCCTCTCAGTTTCCACCGCCCCCACCTGGAATCTTTGTCATAAAGTTCATCGCCGGTGGTGCAGATATTGGGACGAAATTTCTGCCCATTAAACTTTGAACAGTGGACAGTTTACTCCGGGAGATGTGCTGGCTACAAGGTGTCCCCAGCTTGTGATTGTTGGGCAGATTACAGCATAGGATCAGAGTAGCTGCAAGGCCGGCTACTGATGGTGCCTTGAGACGTTTCTACTGAGCTATCGGAGAGAGTTTTCGACACGAATCGAGATAAGTGTGCCCCATGGATCGTAAGGCTTCTGCATCCCGGTACCATACGAACTCTGTTCGCCGTCCCGAGGGGATGGATGATTCGTTTAGTGGAAAGTTCCACAACAGTGGGAGAAACCACGCCAGGGTTCCTTCATGTCCTGACAAGGGTTGTACGGATTGTCTGGTCAGGTCTCACTCTGACTTTCTTCGATCCGATCTGCTTGTTTGGATGACTTATTTTAACTCTCCTTACAGGCAGGTTGCCCATGATCTTGGGAGCGGAAGTTCAAGTGTTGGACACGTAAACCATGCCATCTGAAATTTCGGTTCTGTACCATTTGTATTCGACAAGGTTGAAGAAGAAGTTTCCCGAGTGGGTCGAAGAATGATGAAGATATGTACGCAGGTGGAGTTGGAGAAACAAACAACAGCTGTTGGAACAGGGCTTCTTCATTTCGGTCATAGTCTTGGCCCGGCACCATCGGCAGACAGCTTCTATGATCTACAGCACGACAAATATGCTTGCCTTCGCACTTGATAATGTCGTGCCTTCGCAGATCCAGCGTGTTGTAAGTCGTTAGAGCGGCCGATGCGCTTTCAAGAGTCGGCTCGTGCCAACCTCCTGCTTGGATGAGGTATATTCAAAAATCGCTATGTTTCCAGTGAGGAACGAGTCGTGGCATTCCCTCGGCTATGCAAGAGAAAACATGCATCGGCATGGTGCTAGTTCATGCTGCCTCAGCGATTGCGGAAATCTTTAGTCGCGCATCTGAGCTGGTGAATCGTGTCAAACAGATGATCTGAAATGAGAATCTCGCTCGCGGTGCAGTCTCCTTGTTCCCGGCGATCCAGGGTCCTTCGAAGGCGATGATCAGGATGGGTCTCGGCAAGCCGGCGTGGCCCGTGAGAAGATGAGAAGGTTGCCCCCGCATGTAACCCCCCAGCCCGAAGCCCACAACCAAGGCTACACTTAGCGGGGATGACTACCCGTCGAGAGATGAATCAATCGGCTGAGAAGCCTGAGAGGCTTGAGAAGGACCGATGCCGGCAGACTGAGAAAAAACGTATGATTGGAGACAAGTGATAGATGAACTGCTGTCATTGGTCTTTGCTGGCTTCTGCACTACTGTCGTTCGATTAATGGCTTCGCCTTCGGACCACCTCCGCCGGTTCGACAAACCCTTCTGCAATGCTGCACGTAGCTGGGTCTCAGACTTGCAGCCCCCCTTGCATTCAATCATCAGCGATATTTATCTGCGAACGGCGCAGCAGTTGGTTTGAGTTTTCTCGTCCGCCCATGCTATCCCGGCCCGATCCTGTCATCCCAGAAAAGGGTTCGCAACTCCAGGCCTCAGAGATTGACCGACCTCTGTCTGACACACTTTTTCTTCCAGCCCAACACTCGGATCTGGTTTGCTGAACGTCACTCACTCAACATGTCTTCAACGGAAGGCATCGAGATGCAGCCGACCGGCAAGGACGCAACCAAGATCAATACGACCGAGTCGAAGCATGGATCCGATGTGTACAATCAGACGAGAACGCGGAGGGTGTTTTCATTCTCGCAGCTGTTCGCCTTCTCCCTAACATACATGGCCTTATGGGAGGGCATGTGCACGTAGGTCTTACCCACTCAACGAGTTTTGGACGTGGCTGAACTATTTAGGAACATGTACTTCGCCTTGTATAACGGAGGCCCACAGACATTCATCTTCAGCTTCATCATCGTTTTCTTCGGCGCTATATCCCAGGCGGCCTCACTCGGTGAAATGGCTTCTATCCAGCCGGTTGCTGGGGCCCAGTACCACTGGACATATCATCTGGCGCCGGCGAGAGTGAAGAGGTTTGCCACTTGGATCCAAGGATGGTCGACGTGGTTTGGCTACGTCTCACTACTAGCCGGGATTGCGAACGTCACTATAATACTGCTGGAATCTATGATCCAACTCAATCACGAGAACTACGTTCCTGGCGGCTGGCACACATCAGTGCTCGTCATTGCCATGTGCGTCATGCAGGGGCTGATGAACACGTACTGCTTCAAGGTCATCCCCTGGGTCGAGCTCGTCGCTGGTGTGCTCCACGTCTGTCTCTTTGTTGTCTTCGTCGTTGTCTTGTCTGTTATGGGCACCCGACATGACAGCAGCTTTTTCCTCGAAACCAATTTCGCGTCTGGTTGGACGGACAACTACGTTGCATGGAACCTGGGAATGTTAACCTGCGTTTGGAGTTTCACTGGTAAAGTTCCTTGTACACGGTCTTGAGGAAGTTGAACTGACAGGTGCTTCAGGATTTGACAGTGCAATCCACATGAGTGAAGAGACTCGCAAGGCCAAGTCGGCCGTCCCTCGCGCTATGTTCTGGTCCATTTTCATGAACGGTTGCTTGGGCTTCATCATGGTCTGTGTCATCTTGGTCTCCGTGGGTTCTGTCGATGATGCCCTCAACGCCTCCTCCCCTATCCTCGCCATTCTCCTGACTACCACCGGATCAAAAGGGGCTACAACGGCAATGATCATAGGTCTTTTCGTCGTTTCCTTCAGCGTAAACCTCGCCAACATCGCCTCGGTCTCCCGTCTTACATGGGCTTGGTCGAGAGATGGCGGAATGCCGGCATACCTCGCCTATGTCAACCCAAAGCACCGCGTACCTGTCCGGGCTATCATCGTCACCGTTTTAATTGTCTGTGCTCTATGTCTGCTCAACATTGGCAGCTCTAGTTACGTCGCATTTGGCGCAATTACCTCGTTGTCGTCCATGGCTCTATACATCAGCTATGCCATCGCAATTAGCAGCATGATATACGCTCGCGTGTCCAAGGTTGGAGGCGTGGAACTTGGAGAATGGAATCTCGGCCCATTCGGTTTGTATATCAATGCTTTTGCATTGACTTATACCCTCTACGTCATAGTGTTCTTGCCGTTCCCATCGACCATCCCCGTCACCGCTGAGAACATGAACTACTGTGGCCCAGTTATGGTACTTGTGTTACTGCTAGCAGTTGCTCTTTGGTTGATCCGTGGTAGAAAGGCATGGACTGGCCCCAACCTGACGATTCTTGACTTAGTCATAGGGAGTTCATAGCGACGTCAGGCGACAAAGTCATGTCTGGATTCATAGTCTATCTACAAAAGAATATAACAGTCTTAGGGTGACACTGATCTTCAATGCAGTCGCGAAGCGAGCTGGCGTTTAGAAAGAAGCTAAAATATCGTGTCCAACCTACTGTGATGCGTTGACAGTTCTATCTAGCGATCATGCCTGCCTCAGCTCTGACAAGATGGCCAACTCGGTATCGGTTCTTCTTATGTCAGAAATTAACGAGCGACTTACTTTCGGTTGCTTCCTGTTGTATTCCCACAAGAACCAACCGAATAGAACCAACGCCGTCAAGGGAATTGTGAAAGCAAAGTAGATCCATATCTTCGGTGACAGGGAAGATCCTGTGACTTCATCATTAGCGTCCGATGCCAATTGCATGAGTCGTAACTGGCCTTGGATTATCTTACCTTCTTGAAAGTCAAAGAAGGTCATACTGAAAATGGATGCCAGGAAAGTGCCTGGCAGGAATGTTGCCCCCAGCAGTGATAATGCTTTCATGGTCTTGCTATCGCTCTTGCTGTCGTTTGCCAGCTGCCTTTGATCGCCGGCAATCTTGAGGTTGAGTTTTGAGTCCTTCTGGGCGATTTCAGCAGTTATGAATGAAACCTGATTATGAGCATCCTGTCAGCTAACAGCCCAAGCATTCTCAGTTATGAGGACTGACCATGGTCCTTTGGATGTCCAGACGTTCAATCGAAACGGAGGCATAGCTATCAAGACCGACGAGCCGAGCTCTTTGCAGGCTCAAACGATCTTGAAAACTGAAGTGAAGCCTTTTCATGTCTTCCGTCTTTTCATTGGTCGGGATATTAGTCCAAAACGATTGCATGGCGTCATCCATCGCACCGAGTATCTTGAAGTATGGGCCCGGGCGGTTAAGTAAGACCTGTACGTGGCACTCCGTTAGATCGCTTGCCATGGCCCTGAGATCAATCATGCCGTCCTTAGAATAACTGAGTCTTGTGGTGGCTTCATCCATACGGATAGCGCGTTCCAGTCGTTTGATCCAGTCGCGGGCCTCTCGTTGACTAAGTTCGGTCTGCATGGAGATGAGATGGGAAGGAATTATGACTGGGAACAAAAGAGGATGTGAGGCCTCATTGACGCAATTTTCGAGGTCATCAATGCTTTCTGAAATGACAGACGTCGGGGTTCCTTTCACAAATGCCGTGACTTCTCGTCGTTTGAAGGAGTAGGAGAAGATCAATTGCCAGCCTCTTCTCGTACCTTGTTTGCGTATATCGTGCTTGCCGCAGATGATTTCTGCGAAATATGCTGTCAATATAGCATCAAAATTGCAGCAGTGTATCATAGGACAAAACGCTTACGAAGATGGGGATCATCTCCATCCAGCATGGTATAGCGATGCCAAAAAAGATGCCCAACAATGCTCGTTAGCTCCACAGCCTGTAGAGGTAGCCTCATGTCTCTAAGCATCGACTCGAAGAGGCTGGGATGTAATGAAAGAGTCAAGGGAGTGAATGTTTCCGGGTCTTTTGCACCGATTTGCAACCTACATAGCGAGAGTATCCCGCGAATCAGCGTCAATGATTGATGGACAGGCTTGAGCCCACTCACACAAAGCGAAGGCTGCTTGATGGTTGCTTATCGCCAACGCGAGAACTTGGGTCGAATTCGTCCTAATAATATCTCTAAACGTTAGCAGACGTGTATTCCCAACTTTATGGAGTGTATATCGGGAAAGTTAAGTAGCTGTGAACGGCAAGAGACACCAACCTCTGCGCGAAAGAATCTCGTTAATTGGTCATCAGAAAGAGTGCCCCTAAAGATTTCGTTGTGTCCACCCTGTGTTAAAAGAGAAAGTCAGTCTTTGGACATGCATCAACGGGAAATTCTGCGGCAGGTTGCGTCCGGCTTACAGCATAGCTAAGAATTTCGAGGTAAGTTGTGGCTTCGCGCACGTGGGTGCACTTGCCCAAGTGCTTTTTAAACACTCTCTGTTCCATACTGCATAGCGAACTGCATAAGATCGTAAACCAAATCTTCAGTCGATCTAGTCATCTTCAAGCTCCAGACCTACTGTCCAACGGTGAGGCTCCAGACTGCGACATTTTGCAAGCGGTGAGACGTGTACTCTGTTGACAGAGGCGGGGGTATCACACGTGATGTCAGCATCGGCCTATCACGACGCACATCAAATGCTTTCCACCCGTCGAGGTGCATGCCGTGATGATAAGGGGCAAACCCATTTCGTAGATACCGTGAGGCGAGTAAGGATGGACTCAAAAGTTCCCCGTGAGACTGGACCGAAACAATGCAGACGCCCGACGACTGAGTGTTTCGAGTTCACAGCGAAAGCAACCGAGGCGCAATGTCAGACGATTGCCCCGAGTCGATCCGGGTCGTCTGAACTGGGCGCTTGAGGATAATATCAAATGAGACCATGACGACTTGGTGCTGACCTTTTCGAACGCTGACCAATACGAAGTGCGCAGTGTTTCCTACCTTGTCTAGTGCAAAGACACAGTAGGAATCAATTGGTGTGAGGTCTCATAGGCAACTTCCTTGGAATTCAAGTGACGCAGAGCCAGTGACGTCTCAATAACCAACTTAAGCATAGCGTGCAGCACTCGCTTAGCACGTTCAGCAATCGAGGGCCTCCCTGATATTCAGGCTAAGCCCTACAGGTCGAACATGAGTGGACTGTGCCGCATCTCAGCATTTCAGCACTGAGCAGTCCCTTCGGCCAGCAAAGTCAACAACCTCACTCAGAGCCTTTAAGTAGGGGTGCTCTGTCGAGGCAGAAAATCATGACCGCGTTTGTTTGAACCACGGATGTTTCCCCTCTCGAAGCTTTGCTGAACAGGTCACCCAACTCTACCGCGGCGATGCCTTCGTCAACCGTTCAAGGCGGTATTCTTTTGAATGCCGGCCCTGTGACAACAACTTGGACCGCTCCACCATCATGCGCCACCAGACCAGTCACTGTCCAGCTTGGCAATGGCGTTGATGTTGGTCGGGGGGTTTGGCAAGAAAACTGCGCTCTGGAAGATCCGGGCCCCTACGATGAATGTGCACCCGACGTCCTTGGTGTGCTTATCGATCTACTCTTCAACGGCACGGACACAGCTGCAAGCAGTCTTGTTCTTTACCACTCACCAGGACTTGCTTGCCCATCCGCATGGACTCCTGCCGGAACGGCCATCAGATACGATACCACCTCGTACGACCTAAGCGGCGTCTTTGCCGACCCGACCCTAACGATCACCAAGACTGCAAGCTCTACCGAGACCCAAACTTTGTCTCAGATGACCCCCTACATAAACCCCGTCCCCAATATGGTCATGTCTGCTCTCGAGCCTGGAGAAACCGGAATTTGGTGCTGTCCATGGTGAGTGAATTGCGCTTTCCCATAACTTGTCTCTTTTGCAGTGCCCAAACTCGTTCTGAGTCTCATCGTCTGGACAGTATGACTGATTGATGTACGTCACACAGCGGCTACACAGCACAGCCGTTCGGCCCTGGCTGCTATTCCGAAGTACCCAGGAGCCTGTACACCGCAAATACTGCCTGTTCTGTAATCCTCCGCCCTGCCGCTGCTACAAAGGTCAACGTTACATACACCTACCATGGTAGGATGATAACAACTGAAGAGTTTTCATGGACCACGTGGACTGAGACTACGTATCCGACCACAGTAGGAGATGTTGCTTCGACAGGCTCTACAGCGTACCCGGATGCCTTGATCACCACTCAACCAGTCATACTGGTACACAAAGCGCAGGATGCGGTGGAGACAAGAGCTCCGCAATGCCCGGTTGTGACAAATTCGACATTGATTCTCGCGAGGCCAACATCCTCCGCGGAAAGCACCTCGACATCCTCCGCCAAAGGCATCTCAACTTCAACGACAAGCTCGTCCTCTGCAACAGGCACCACAGCGACAGGAGCTGCGAAGGCGAACGGGATCCCGAGAGTAGCATGTGGTGCCATGGTTACATGGTGGACCGCTGTTTGTATGTTCAATACTTTGTGGTGAATTAGGGTCGCTTCAGGGGTTGGGCCAGAGCTATTGGACGCAAGTTTTACCTGTCCAGTACCACGTATCCTCTATCTAATTCATATCCACTGTTGTATCAAGCTTCTTCAATGGTACCTGTTGCCAAGAAGATGTTCTTTAAGCACAGTTGGTTTGAGCTTTCCAGCTTCTAGAGGATCCAGAGGGCCATGCACCCTGGGTAACATACATGGTGGCTATGGCACAGAATGCAGATGTTTTCGGGAAGATCTTTCGTCTTAAAGTAGATTTTGTTCGCCATTCTCTTTTTTCTCTGCTGTCTTTTGTCTCCATCAGGCGCAGCGGACGGGAGTCGGCATGACCGTGACGAATGGCCCGAAGGGATAGCTCCGTGCCATCCGCCCCGGCCGACCGCTGCGGAATGTGGGCGGCACCCCGGAACAAAAACTCTAAGAAATTGACGAATTGCCCACCGCAGACGACGCCGTGCAGTGCCACTTAGATTGAAACAAGCATTTCCTAGCGGCGGGACGACCTGTTTACCCTGCCCGAATTGTGGGATGCCTACCGGCCCCTTACTGCAATCAGATTGGGCGAAGATCCTGATTACGCGTGCGCCTGTCAGTAGGCAGCGTAACCCCATCATAGGCCAATCCCCTTGAATTTCGTCACCATGGGAGAAGCCACACCTTGGTCTATTCTTGGCGGTCTAGTTGGCTGGACGCGCCTCCTTTACTGCTGTACGCGGAGGCGCTGTACGCGGAGGCGGATGTTTCCTGTTGCTATGTTTTTCTTCTAGTTTCTGTTTCTTTACAATAAAGGGGCGTTCTCCACAAGGATCTTCCGACTGGTAGACTTGTACACCCCAAGTAGGAAAGCTTGGTATACCTTATTGAGCCGCGCAACATCCCTTAATTCTATGGGGCTGAGTTACGCCGTGATGTGGGATAGTGATTGTCCCGGTGTGAAGCCCTCGGCAATCATCATTTCGACGGTAGAAACATCTTGACAGATTCTGTATATATCTCGCTTGTTGCCAAGATGCCCAGATGATCATGACCGACCTGTTCATCCCAACTCCCCAGACACATCAACATGCGCTCGTTTACGTTACTGACTCTGGCCGCGGCTGCCGTCCCGGCTCTGGCTGACACTCACTACTTCTACTCTGGTTTCTTCTCAGGCAGCACCATCGTCGGCGTCGAGTTCGACGATGAGACCTCCTCTCTCACCCTCGTTAACAACATCACCACCGATGCGTCATCGGGATCAAAGTGGATCCATCTTGATGTAAGCTGGTGCTCCATATGTTGGTGTAGCGGCACGGCTAACAACTTGTCTAGTCCCGCCTGAAGAACCTCTACGTCGGTACTACAGGTTACTTCCAGAGCTACACTATCACCGACGACCTTGGCTTGGAGTACGCTAGCAACGTTAGCTTATCGTCAAACTGTGAGTCCAGTCTTGAACTTGACGCCAGAACCTGAGCTGACCCCCAGCAGGCTCCAACGCCAACTTCATCACCTCGTCCACCGACGCCCCCTACACCGTCTTCGGTACCCCCTACGGAGGCGGATGCTCTTCCTTGGCCATCACAGTCGACGACAATGGTGTCCTCCAGGAGGCTACTGCGAACGTCACTTACGACAGCGCCGCCGGCGTCCACGGAACCGATATGAGCCCCAACAACGACTTCATCTACTCGGCCGACGACATGGGCAACGCTGTCTGGGTTCACTCCTACGACAACACCACCGGTGAAGTCACCGAGGTTCAGTACCTTGCTGCTGCCGAGGGCTCTGATCCCCGCCATCTCGCTGTTCACCCCAACGGAGGCTGGGTCTACGTCGTCTACGAGGCGGCCAGCACGATCGCTTCCTACAAGCGTGACGCGACTACTGGCAAGCTGACCTTCACCAACACCACCTACCCTCTGCTGCCCGACGGTATGTTTCATCCACTTTGGTTTTGCTGAACAAGCTTGCTAATCCCAACACAGGATACACCAACTCTTCCTCTTACTGGGCCGACGAGGTCATGTTCTCCGTTCCCAGCAGCAATTCGAGCGCCACCGCGCCCAAGTACCTCATCGCTGCCACGCGATCCCGCACTGTTGGTATCCCGGGATACGTCTCGGCCTTTGCCCTCGACAGCTCCACCGGCGCCATCGCCGAGCAGCTCTTCCTCATCCCCACCACGAACAGCGGTGGTTCCGCCAACGCAGTTTCCCCTGCCAAGTTCAGCGAGGACTACTTTGGCATCACGGACAGCGGCTCGAACTTCCTGGAAGTATGGAAGATTGATGCTAGTGGCTCATCCACGACTGCAGCAGCTGTTGCCCACCTCGGCCTGTCGTCTGGTCCGGCCAACATTGTTTGGTACAGCTAAATAGGGTTGTGGCCAGACATTAACTAGTGGAGGAAGTCATATATGAGGCATCTTCATAGCGCTTTGATCTTCATCAATACAAACAGTCTTGTATTCAACTATTGCTGTACCTTGCAATCCAACCTACTGAACTTAGGCACCGAACACAAACGCTGGACGTGGCTTTGCAGTTGGTCTAGTGATCGGTGGAGAGCTTTTTCTTGACCACCAATCCCAGCCATTCTTCCTGTTCCACGTGGCTCTGATCAACGAGTCAAACGCTCGAAAATCATACATTGATAACTCCTTCCCAACATTAAGCTCGCATTTCGTAATATAGCGGTTATCCGTGCTGTCTGGCGCAACTGGAGTAGGGTCGTTATTCCCAAATTCCATCTTGCCGTCGACCTCAGAAGACTCAATCCACGGGCTAGGGAGGAGGCCAGCATCCAAGACAATGTAACGGTTGGGGAACAAACGGTTTTTCATGTCATCCATGTTTTCCAAACGTCTGAAAGGGTGATTCAAGTACTGTACAGTATTGAAGTAGAAGTCGGTGAGATTCGTGAGCTTTGTGTGGATGCCGTTGAAAATGGTTTCCCACCTCCCTGAGAACGTGTAAACACGGTCGTCGTTGTACGTGAAACCAAATGCGCCATCCGGGCATCGCTCCCAATCATGCGTAGGCGTGCCCGACGTAGTCAGTAGTTCGTCATAGATACGCAGGTGAGAGGCAATGCGGCAGTTCAACAACCGCAGCGTTGTCAAGGAGGTCTGTGCCAAGACCCAGTCGAAGTGGTCATGGTGAGAAATGACAAAGTTGACGAGGTTGAGCGTCTTGAGACGCGGGAATTGCAGTCCCTTGCCATCAAAGTGACCAGGCGCAGTTCCCCAGTACTCTTGAAACCCAAGAGTCAATGTCGTCAGAGAGTCGGAAAATTTGGGCAAGATCTCCTTTTGTAGGTGAGGTTCAAATAGCCACCGCTCCTTGCAGTTAAGGTCGTGGTCGGGACCGTGTTCGTTGCATTCCTCCAGAACCAGGAGATCCAGTCGATTGATGTGTTTGACGGTGTCTGCCATTGCCGGCGCAACCAGGCTTTCAAGCGAAGTATTTTGCACGTTCTCCAGTCTCAGCCATCGGATCTTGGTAGCATCTGAATCCTTAGCCCGGGTTGCCATCGCGTTGAAGACCGTCTTGAGAGTTGCGAATCGAGCACCAAGAGGCTCAACGCCATCCTCCCACCCATCATCCCAACCCCTAGAGTCTGTCGTTTCCCCTCGGCATTTGTCGGAGAAGCGCAGATGCAACATTCGCAAATTCTTCAACTCAGTGATGCGGGCCACAGCATTAGTGAATCGTGGGAACTCGCCCTTGTTCTTCCAGTCCTCCCAGATCTCCCAGTCACCGTCGTTTGCCAAATCTTCGGGGGCACTCCTGATCACCGCACACTGAGCCACGTTGCGGATGGTGTCGTTGTCGACCATCTTGTTCCAGATTCGGAATTCGCTGCTGTCTGCTTCTTCTACATCTTCGTCTTCGTCAAAGTCGGCTTCCGGGGCATCATGGTGTACGAGTGTGATTGTCTCGAAGAGATGAGGTGTCGCAAGCGTGTTCCATTTCCGGCACACCAATCGGGCGTTGGCGATGTCATGGTAGCCATACGTGAGTTCGCCGTATTCACCCTTCTCGTCGAAGAGCGATCGAAGGATGAGACCCAGAACCTCCGTCGGGAAATCGTTCAGTTCCATGGTGTGATTGCTGTGATAGGTGTAAACAAGGAGAAGAAACTCGACCTCACTGTCATCCGCAGAAGTGCAGTTCAGCTGGCTTGATATATGAGAAGGCAGCCCCCACTTAGTCGTGAGTGTAGCTTCAGGGGTCTGCAGGCAGCACTGTGGCAGCCTAGAGCTGCCAAAGGATTGAGAGGCACAGAGCTTGGCTATGCTAGGTCTGCTACAGCTTTGCGATTTTACCGCCCCTCAATGGCGTTCCAAAGACATCAAATTGACGGCTGAAAGTTGACCAATTTATCTTTTTATAGATACTTTCAAGAGACCCAGGCCGATAATTCTGTGGCTGTCTTGCAATGCGTGTATTCCTATCTCAACTGGCTTAAATTTCATGACGTATGGCAAGCCCAGATGTCTCAGTAGGTTCCTCACAGACAAAACAGGCTGGGCTAGTGGCCACGGGAATAACTAAAGCCGCGTTGATGCTGCCGAGTACAGAGGTTGGGGCACTGAAAAGAAACGCCACACGTTACAACCAGGTGTTCTGAGAAAAGCGAGATGACTAGAAAAACGCATTTTTGTCGTTGGTTTCGGTGCTGTTTTAATCTCAGCTAAGTTCCGACATTCTTCATGGTCCAGAAATCAGTATGAACATGCACCATCGCTCAAGGCAGATATTCAGGTCGAACCCGGGAGTCTACCAGCCTGCGAGAAGGCCTGAAGCCCCCACTAACCGACTCTGTCTCTGGTTTGTTAGGCCAGGCTTTCGAGGCCAGCTCCCGGACGTCCTGCATGAGACCCTCAGGATGCTCCAGAGCAGCGAAGTGGCCAGCATCATCGCGTTCTGCGAATAGTTAGAGAACCAGATGATAGCCTTTCTGACCTGTTCTTTTTACTCACCTTTGTAGAAAACTAGGTTGCCGGTTCTTTCCACAGCGCGCTTCGAACCTGGTTCGGTGTCCCACAAGAACGAAGTGTATCCAAAGGGAACCTTGATCCGGTTTTCTTCTTTGAGTGCAAACTCGGGGAACTTGTCATGAGTCGGACTCTCGAAGTAAGGCAAGGTCGAGGGAAGGATGCATCCGGTGAAGAAGTACAGCGATGCCGTCGTTAGGATCGCCTTCGTCCAGAAGGGCTTCTTCTGGTTCTCAGGGTTGGCTGCTTCGTTGTACTTCTCGCCAACCCACATCAGGATACCCATCGGGTTGTCGTGCAATGCAATTCCGATGGTATGAGGCTAAGATGCATGCGTTAGAATGAGCTTTAGGAGCTCGATGGAAAAGGGCCTGCATTGCAAATACTCACTCGGCTTCTCATGCAAACCGCATAGCCCATGTGGTTCTTGAGCCAATCCTCATTTCTCTCCGCTACTTTCTTCTCTCGCTCAGAGTATTCCACGCCCTCAGGCATCGGGCTCGGGGCGAAGTTGAGATGCACGAGCTTGCAAGAGTCGGTGTATTTGGCCCCCAATTCACGACCTACAAAGGATCCCCAATCGCCGCACTGAACCATGTACTCGTCGTATCCCAACTTTTTCATCAGCTTGTCGAAGACCCGCGCGTTGTCCTGAAGCTTCCAGCCAGCGCGTGGTGGCCAAGACGACCAGCAGAAGCCAGGCATGCTAGGTGAGACCACATGGAAGGCCTGTTCGTCAGGGTTGCTCGGGCGTGTGAGCGGCTCCCAGACCTGGCTAAATTCCCAGAACGAGCCAGGCCAGCCGTGGATGGTGAGGAGGGGAATCGCGTTGGCATTGTCCGACTTGGCATGAACGAAGTGGATATTCAAGTCTTCGATGGTGGTGATGTGGTGTGGAACCCTGTTCATCTCTTCCTGGACTTCATACCAGTCGAAATCGTTGGTCCAGGCATTGTACAGATTCTCAGCCCAGCCATACTCAGGCCCTAGGAGTCATAGTCAGTCAGGCTTAAGTTCAATGTTCACATATGCAGTGATTTTACCGTAGTTTTTACCAGCATCAGGAACAACTGGTCGACCTGGTAGTCGTGTGTCCTTGAGCTTGCGTCGCAGCCGGTCAACCTCTTCCCGCGGAATATCAACTTTGAAGTCTTGAATCTCGGACATGATGATTTAAACTGCTCATTTGCACAAATCCTTGAAGATGAGAAGTCCGAAATAGCAGTAGAGAGTAGGTGTGCTAGCAGCTCAAGCAACCCCTCTCGATGACATCGGATGAACACATGTTTCAATGGTGATGTAATCACGACAGAGCGACCTAGCTCCAAATTGGCGCGGGACGCTAGCTTGCCCAAGCGGGCTCATTATGGGCATTGAAGCGCTTCTGTTGGCGTATCAATGTCTGGAAATTCGGCTTTTGGCCGGTAAAGAGAGGATCATTCACGATTATAGAGTAAAAAAAAAAAGCATCGCCTGGTGTTGTACTTAAATGTTTTCCCGTGTAAAGACCGATTCTCCGATCCCATAGTGGCCGCGGAGCTCCGCGAGGTGCTGGACCCCATCCAGTGGTCCAAGTGGATCTCTTCGGGGGATGCTCCGGCAGCATGTCCGTGCTTCCACACCCTTGCCAAGTCTTTGGTCTTGTCGAAGTGAGGTTCTGTGCGCCCGCCAGCGCGTTTCGATTCATGTTAAGGTGTTCTACGAGGTGTGAGAAAACGACACCTAATAGTCTCGATGATTTCTAGACATCTGCGGCAGCGGGTTAATGAACAGTACATGCATGGCAAGGGTGAAGCTCCATTACACTCGGGGTGACATGGCGCCCTGTTGGCAGCGCAGTGTGAATAAACTCGATAGTTGTCTTGCCGAATGGGATCGAACACACGTGGGATCGCGCTAAAATAACAGTCTACGTTGTTGACAAGACGGTTCTTGGTTTTGAGATTCTCTGCTCATTGGAACAAGCCATGGGACGATCGGCGAAAGGTCCCGTCCGACGGCCGCTAAAATCGCCGACCTCCCAGTGTGGGAGCCGGAACTTGGTTCCCGATACCGAAACCGAAGCCATAATCTCTGAAGGGGTCGCGTCGTGGAGTCTTTAAATGCCAAGCTGGGTCTCAATTGTGTCAAGGGCCTGAGATATTACTGGAAAACCCGAGAATTACGACTTATTCGTACCCGTATGCAAAGGGGCACTTTTCGCCTAAGTCAATCGACCGTAATTCGTACATTAGGTAGCCAACTGGTACGACGATTACTCAACAAAGCCGGACCACACGAAAGCGATAAAAAGCACACGTCCGCAAGCCCAAGGATCCAAAGCCCGCGGGCTCCGCGGAAACCACGGCGCATATCGAGCAACAGAGGGTGCACAACGAAAATCGCCAGCACCGTTTTATCAGCATAGTTGAGTTTCGGACAGCTAAACGGCCATTTGATGTACCAAAGACGCTGTTTTTTTTTTGCAGAATTTGACTCAGAAAAGTTCTGCGTTGTGATCGCCGACAACAACAACAGTGCCCGAGCGGTCACCGAGAGAGTTCCATGCCGATGTTGTTCTCACATCCATCCACGTCTGCGAAACCGATGACCTCACCAAATGAGGAGCTATTTATGTCGAAAGTCGGTTTGTCCAGAGTTGAAGTCTTTCGAAGTCGCGCGCCACTCTCATTTTCAGGCCAGACTGTTTCGTCATGGTCGTTCTCATTGCGGGAATCACCGGCAGCCTAGGGCGTCGTTTGGCGAGAGCTGCTAGGGCGCGCGGCTTGTCAGTTCGGGGTTTGGGCCGTGACCCCACGAAACTGGAGACGGACCTTCGTCGGGATCTGGAGTCTTTCGTCACAAGCCAGAACTACTACGACATTCCGGCCTTAGACGCAGCCGTCACAGGAGTTGATGCTGTCATTTGTGCTTACACACCGAATCCTGTGCTCGACCTCGATGCGAATCTTTTACTCCTGCGCGCTGCCGAGCGTGCGAAGGTCAAAATATTCATCGCTTCCTCTTGGAACAATGACTGGACGAGAATCAAGTTTGGAGAATTCGAGCACTACGACTCGCACATCGCTTTTGAGCAACAAGCGGCAATGACAAGCCCCATCAACCCGGTGTACATCTTTACAGGGGTGTTTGCGGACTTGCTATACACTCCATACGGACCCGGCGGATTTGATATTACCGGAGACATACCCGTCATGAAGTATTGGGGAGATGGAAACAAGCAGCTTCACTCTTGGACAGAGCAGGATGATGCAGCGGCTTGGACCATCGAGATCCTCCTAAACGGAGAGGGCGTCAGGGAAGGCAAGGGAGGTTTCTTCAGGATACGATCCGGGGAGCACACCATCGAGGACCTAGCGTTGATATACGAGGAAGCAACTGGAACCTATGTCGAAGTAAGGCGCCAGGGTGACTTGGTGGATCTAGCGAACGAGGTCGCTGGCAAGCGCAGGGAGAAGGGCAGGGCAAGATACTTTGAATATCTACCTCAAACGGCTGCACTCATAGCTGATCAGGGGCTTTGGAAGATGAAGGATACTGTGTCGTTGGAACATATTCGTAGGCCGACTGCTTTAGAACAACATCTTAGGCAGAGATTTCGACAATAACGACCAACGTTCTAAAGTCACCACGTGAGAGAGGACTACTTATCTAATCACAAGATCTCAAAAGTCAAATAATCTCCCCAGTGAAATCGTTAATTGACTTGGTCCCAAGCCCAGTCAGTTTGCAACGTATAAGAACAAACAAGGTTGTGACGTATCTGCAGACCCTGTAATTCCAGTACATTACAGACCTAACTGCTGTCACAACAATTTATGGCACTTAATGATCCTTGGACTTGAGTAACTCCTCGATTCCATCATACGTCCAGTTGAATCTCATTCTCTGCAAGATGACTTCGGGTGAAACCTTGGCAGCTGCAACCCTTGAGTTCAGTTGAACTTGAGAAGCTCTCGGTCGCCTCGCACTATCCCATGTCTTCAATAACCCAGCGAGGTCATTTGACGTAAGACCTGGTCGCAAGAAAAGTCTAAAGGCTTCAGCATCCTCAAGTGCTTGATTTGCACCTTGACCCTGGTAAGGTACCATAGGATGAGCGGCATCTCCGATAAGTGCCACGTGCCCTCTTGTGTAAGAAGGAAGAGGATCAGCGTCTCTTAACTGATAAAGCTTGACAGTTGACAGACTCCTTCAAGGTCGCATAAGTCAGCACGTGACGCATGGTTGCAGTGTAGAGTGAAGAATTGGCTGTTTTCTTACCTCATTATGGTGTGCAACCATGGCGGAAAGTCTTCAAAATGGCGAATCATCTCTTCAAGGTCGCCATTTTGAGTCCATGACTCTTGACTTTGTTGTTTAAGAATAGAGTCCGGGACAGCACAGGCGAAATTCATGATTTCTCTGTTTCTGCACGGATAGATCACAGCATTCCTGTTAGACCCATCTGCCGCGATGAATGAGGCCAAGAATGTTCCCTCTTCAGACTTCAAAGCATCTGGTATTTCTCCAAGAAGTTCCGTTACCTGGGAGAGAGGAACTGTGAAACGGTACAGTGAGATGTTGGCTGGCACTGGCGGTGGATGTTCCAGCCCGACAACAGCTGCCCGTGTCTTTGAGTGGATGCCATCAGCACCTTTTCGAGTCATGTTAGTCTCTATAAAACAATGCGAGAGTGATTCATACCGATTATCAAGTCAGCTTCAACTATCGATCCGTCCCCCAGCTGGATCAAACCATTTTCAGGGTCAACATTTTCAACACGTGACTGAAGAACGATCTTTGCTGGCTTCCCAGGCCATTCCAATCCCTCGCCGGTCGCAGCCTCAAAAAGCGCGTCTTTCAAATCCTGCCGGTGAACCATCCACCATTCTGAACCAAAAGCCTTGGCACAGTCCATTCGGGATTCTTTGAGTAAAGCTCCAGTTTGGTCGAAAGTGCGAAAGCCGCTTGACACAACAGCCTTCAGAGACTCCTTGGTAAGTCCCAAAGACTTTGCCATCTTTGTGCCGTTAGGTCCAAGACCAACGGCTGCTCCAGCCTCAGCTGTGTCGGACGCGTTGCGCTCGTAGACGGTGACATCATGTTGCTCGCGGAGAACTCGAGCCGCTGCAAGGCCGGCTATGCCGCCTCCAATTATGACGACTCGCAGAGGCGTGTGCTCAGTCATTTTGGTGAAATCTGTTGATTACTCTGGTTTCAAGCAGAACAGTCGCGTTTGGGTTGACTTCTTGAAGATGACATTTGCGTAGAGAGGGATGCCTAGTACACGGGCTTGATGAGGTCACATGTTCCACACTTAGAATGACGAGATTTGACATCTCATGACTCAAAGTTCTCATCGGCCTCCATCCCACTCGGCTTGAATGAACTAGTTCATACATCTCGGTCAAAATGAAGCCATCTGTTTCCGTGAGTTTTGATGGCCCAAGCTAAACTTCGTGTCGCCGGCCTTTCCGGTTGCCCCACCCGGATTTCGGATTCCGGAAATCGGAACTCACAAGCTGACACCGCATCCATGGAAATTGCTCACCCTTGCACGCGGGAATCTGGCCGGAGATTTAGCATTGTGTCTTGGCTCGTTGATCTTCCGTTCCCGTTAGAAGTGGTCGATCATCCGGCCAGGGTGGCCGCATTGTCATCGAAACCAGGGTCTTGCCCACCAATGAGGGATTCACGATCTGTAATTGTCACGGCGAGTTGCGGACTCCGGGGTGGCGATGAGAATTCTGCGACAGAGTAGGTTGCTGCGCCAAAGGAGAAAAATTGTCATGTCGTCAATGACACGATGATCCTCCATGTAAACTTGATTAAAAGGAAAAGAATCCATGTTAAGGATCACGGCATCTTCCATGAGTTCCAACACTTAGCTGACTTTTGAAATGTCAATCTCAACCTTCTACCATTCCATGGCTGATTTCGTGGCGGCTACGCCAGCAGTCTGGGCCTGGGTAATCCTTTGCGGAGTTGCCGCCCTGGTAGCCTTCCGCAACTCTATGCCGAAGACACCCAACGTTCCTCTCGTAGGATTCGATGTGAAAGACGCCAAAAAACGGAAAGCTCAATACAGCTTTGATGCCCCAGGAATTGTTCAGAAGGGATATGAGCAGGTAGGAGGCAATTGCCGGTTTGGAAGGTTGAGCTAATGATTGCCTTAGTTCAAAGACCGTATCTTCGGTGTCGACACTGCCGATGGTGTGTATATCCGTGAAGCAGTTGAAAATCGGTGTGGCTTACAAGCAAATTTCAGGCGTTAAGCTTGTATTCCCTCATCAGTATGTGGAAGAGATTTCCAAAGAGCCTGGGTTGAGCTTCCACAACTCCCTTGATCATGTAAGTGGCGTGGCTGTGGTAAATCCAAATAGGCAAGACTGATAGATTAATCTATTTAGGATTTGCTTATCGACTACACCTACATGGGAGGGCTGAAGGAGTTCTCTCTAACTACCTTCAAGAAAGAAATCATTCCCCACCTGCGTGAGTGGCTTTGCATGGAGATTTATGACGCCAGCATGTGCTAATGGTCACACTCACACAGCAAAGTTCATTCCTGAGTTCACTGAACTTATCCAAGGCTACATTCCTGATGCTCTAGGAGACAACAAAGGTAATGCCTTACTATTTCTGGTAAAGCACGCTTTTTCTGACGTTTGATACTTCACAGACTGGACTCCGGTGAACATATATCCCAAGATGCTTCGCATGCTCGGTACTCTCACCGCCAGAGTTATGATTGACAACAAGGCACCACACAACGATACATGGATTACCCTAACTACGGAGTATGTCCAGTCTGGCATATTATATGCTCATCAGCTGAAATTCTGGCCTGGCTTCATGAGACCGTTGGTTCACAGATTTCTGCCGGAATACTCAGAGATTCAACGACAATTGAGTGACGGGCGCTCAATTTTAGTGGAGGCCATTGGGAACTTCAACAAGAGAGAGAACCAAGGATCAACCGAACCACAGCCGACGAGTGTCTTGTATCATATGTCGCGCAAGGCAGCCGGAACCTCTTCGTCGATCATCGACATGCACCTCAAGGAGCAGATGAATCTCGCAGTTGGAGGCATTCACACTACGTCCGCCGTTTTGACACAAACTCTGTTCGAACTCTCTTCTCATCCCGAGTATGTTCCGGAGCTGAGGCAGGAGGTTGTTAATACTCTGCGCAAGTTTGACGGTGTTCTCTCAAAGGCAGCTCTGTGGGATATGCACAGGCTTGACAGCTTCATCCGTGAAGCCCATCGTCTAAACTCACCTAATCTGAGTATGGAAGCTCACGTTTTCCCGATTGACAAATACTAACTGAAGTTTCCAGCTACCCTGCAACGACGCGCAACAAGAGATGTCACCTTATCAGATGGCACATTCATTCCCAAGGGCACCAAGCTAGAATTCCCCACCTTTGCAATCCACCGCGATACCGACTTCTACGAAGACGCAACCAACTTTGATGGATACAGATTTCTGAGGAAGCGTCACGAGGATGAGGAGACCAGTGCCAAGCATCACTACGTCAGTGCTCGCAAAGATATGTTGGGATGGGGTTACGGAAAGACAGCTTGCCCCGGCCGATTTCTCGCCGATATCGAAATCAAGCTCATCGTTGCCTTCATCCTTCTGAACTATGATATCAAGAATCCAGAGGGCCAAGGAAGGCACAAGAGTGTGCACTTCGAGAACCAGGTGAGATAAGCCTGATCGCTGTCCTGTTCATTGACCACACGATTATTAACAACATGTCCAGGTGTTTCCTAACCCGTCGAACCCGGTCTTAATCCGAAAGATTCAGCGAGGGAAAATCGATAATCTAAAAATTGGGAAAATATAGGATGTTCATTTCCGAAAGAGGTTGAGGTGTTCTTTACAAAAGCTACACGCAGTCGCCTATTATACTTTGTTCTTCTCTGCCCCTTTTATCCAAGCCGACTCAATGGTCGGAACGCCGCCCCCTTTAACTCTGCGATCTTTCTTAGACTTCAAGTAGCAAAAGTTATAATCCTCTCCCTGCCTATCTGAACTTTTTCCACTGGTTTTTCAGGCGACACCAATGCAGGGCCCCGACGCGCTTTGCACAGAAATTTTGAATGCCGCGCAGAGATTCATACAATCCTCCATTGTTGTGAGCGACACTTGGCCAATGTCATGTTCTGGATAGTCGGTCGAGCATTTGCGTATGAACGTAATATTCAAGTCTGGTATTTTGTATTCGCGAGGAGTGAGCGTTGTACAATTCGGTAAGGCCTCTCCTGGTACTGGTGTAGCTTGCTTGGGCACTGGAATGCAGCTTATGTTTCCGCTTGTTGAAAGGGGTGAACATGGCGAAGACACTGAAGCTTGGAGCCTGCGTATCAACCGTAAACATCGGTGTCAGATTAGTCAACATGGGGGCCGTACTCTTTGTAACTCTGCTCCATTAGGCCCAGATCCTTCGCTTTTGATCCTGCAATGGCGGATGCAGCCACAACACCGGCCAAGAGCGCCAAGCAGAGTAAACCCAACCAGAACGATGGTTTCCTGATGCCACAGACGAGACTCTCTCTACGCTCTTGCGATTGAACGTGGGTTGAGCAATTACTGTTATCACCAGTTGTGACATTCAGGAATTGCTGGCCATGACCAGGGGTACCCTTGACAGGCCCAGAGAGCTCAAGGCCCCCAAATTCTACAGGCATCAGTTCCGAAAAGTGGTCTTTCTTGTCTTGTTGATTTGCAGATTCGAGAGGTTCGGGTAAGGACACTGATGGAGTGTCTGGCGGGGCCATTGGCGGTTGTGGCAATTGATCGGAGAAAATCGACGATGTCCGCTGGCTAGCCGGCAACCTGTTATTGGGTGACTTGATACTTATATGCAAAGCGGACGCAAACACTAATGGAAGGGGACTGTATTGTCGATTGACAGATAACTGCTGCCAATCTCGGTCAAATCTACACGCGAGAGGGTGACAGACTTTTTGCGTGGTCTAAGATGTCTCTGTCATCTTCTACTCGAGGCCTCGAGAATGGGTAATATGTTCTTAGTACAAGATATTTGACTCATCCCTCGTTATTTATTCCTTCTTATGGTACTATGAAAAAGCTCTCGGTATCTAAAATGACAATCAAACGGCGCATCACGTCCGGTGGGAGGTGTCTCGTTTATATCTGGATGACTCAAACCTGACCTTCTGAAGGTGTCCTAGGTTTTATCTTTTACCGGTCGGTGTACTGACCTTGTATGTGTTATAGTTAATCCATATCTCTATCACGCTGAATGCGGAACGGCTGACGTGATATGAAGTAGAAACATCATGGAGATCTTGTGACTGAACCACTAGTTTCAACACAGAATCTGTGTGACGTTCATCTCGGTACAGGCCTGAATTGTCTGGCTGTGTATGAGACCTTGATCCCGATTCACACCAGCACAGTGTGTGTAAACGACAGAAAGTCAAAGGACAACAACTTGAAGCTAGAGGAATGTCAATGTAAACATCCAAGACAGAGTAATTGATATCATGAGTGCGGCGAAAATGGCTACACGTACTCTTGCATTTGAAGATCATCTGGGGATAATTTGCGAAACAGACACCGCCTTTTCTCATTTGCCCATTGAGTGACGGCCACCGGCTCATCTTGTATTGAACGACTAGATTCCTAATATTCACCATGAGATGGTTCACTCACAATTCGAAAACGTCCCCGTCTTCCAATCAGGTCCCAAGATAGCTAAGCGGCAGACGCTCACAGCACCCGCTGCGGCGCTTTGAGGTCCTTGAAAGTCGGGAAATCTGGTCCCGCAATCGCCTCGACAAGGTTGGTTTTCCATGTGAGATCCTGTGCATACTGCGCGGCAAGATTGACAGCCATCATGTTCAGCGCTGTATTGCTGGCGGCGTATACCTTGTACGGAAGCACGAATGCCTTTGATAATTCGGTCTTCAATGCGAGGCTATCGAGTTCTGACGACACAAATACAATCCGCTTGGTCTTTGTCAACTTAGCCAGCAGTGGGAGGAAACGGGAGGAAGCTGTCGGTCACGGCGAAGGTGCCAAATACATTGGTGTCGATCACCTTCAGCCACTCGTTGCGCGCCCATGGTCCCATTGGCGAGTTGCCGCTGATGCCTGCATTCTTGATCAAGACATCGAGGAAGCCGTACTTGTTGGACAGGTAAGCCACTGCTTCATGAATGGACGTATCTGAGGTTAAATCAAGAACTAGCGGCTCGACAGAGTTTCCTTTAAGTTGAAGCTCTTGGGCAGCTTCCTCAATCGCATCTTTTCGCCGCCCAGTAATGACTACATGGTCGGCTAAATTCTCGGCTGGCAACATCTTGGCGACTTTGATACCTATGCCGTGGTTGCCACCGGTCACCAAAACGATCGTAAGCGGAAGAGACAAGATACTTAATAAACGACTGGCATGAGAGGAGCTAGGTTGCACGCTGTGAGGGACTGAGGATCGTGTATGTATGACAGTCATGTTGCCCTTTTATAGGCTTCATCTCCCTGTGTAACGGTTTTCTCTCATGAATTCTCTTTCTTTCTTCCCTTTTGAAATCTCATCGAGTACAGCTCGACGCATCCTGAGGAAGCATTCGGGCGATTGAAACATCAAACCTTATTACCGAAACCGAAGACCTGATGGAGGCTTCACCCATCGATCGCTCCTACTCGCTGTTTCCTGCACATTGATTCAACGTATCGGCCTCGGGTTTATACAGTATTTCCGGCCGTATCCATCTTCCCAGCAAATTGCCCTGTGGCTCGTCTTTGCCTCGACACGTCCCTTACACGTGCAGCAGCCCCCCGCCATTATCAGCCCTCGTCGTTCATTCTTGCTGGAGTGTCTCTTTGAAAGAAGGATCTCAAAAATCCAAGCTTATTTCTCATGGTCAGCAGGTTTGCGAGAACAATTGGTTGCAAGGTCATTGCAGAATGGAGGACGTGTGACTGATCGACTTTCAGAGCTGCTTGTGCTTCTTGAAAACTATACAAGTTCTTACCTAACAAGGCTTCGTATAGTAATCAGCTTTTTGATCAGATCAGGGCAACTGCAGTAGACTGGCAGCTGCTGCCTGAGGTGCATCTGTCGGAGCGCTTGACAACTGAAGAGCTTACGTTGTGATGCACCTGAATGACTCCGAACGGGCGCGCCGTAGTCAGGCGTCCAGGCTGATGTACCGGTTGGACGAATCACAATCTTTGATTCGGGAACGTCGTGGAACATTTGTGTGACTACGCAAGCACTTGCTCATGCTGAAGGTTCTGTGTTAAGTTGGCCACATGCGGGAAATTGAAACAATTGGCATAATTCATACAGACCAAACTACATAGTATCAATATCTTTGGACCAGCAGAAATCCGGTTTACATGTGTGGCTAATTTGCTGGAATTTGCTGCCACTCGAGGGCGGTCTTTGATGTGAATGATACAGCTGATAGATTCTAGTGGTACCTGAGACCGTCGTTGTTCAAAATCTCCACATTTCATGGACAATTGGAACCTGACCTAGACCGTTCGTCTGTCTGGAAAAGGTCTGCAGTAAAAATTGTTCCCTTGTCCCGTAGGAGCTTGAAGCTCTTTGGTGGTCGCCTGCAACATGATGATGAGCGTATCCCACCGGAACACCGGATCCCGTCAACACCAGGTCCGCGAATGGACGGGTCATATGGACCCACATAGGCCATAGCGTTTGACAACTTACTCCTGCATCTCCCCTTGCAGGACTGTTTTCCGTCCGAAATCCGACATCACATCAGCTCAGCTTCCCGGAAGAGACAGTGTCTCCCACCAACTTCCTCAATCCAGTCCACGCCGCAGGTACCGTGCCGCATCTACCGTAATCGCGGCACCCTCGGATCTGGATTTCCAGAAACGAGCCACCATTCCGGCGATTGCCGGTAACCTCCCCGCGAATGATGGCTGACTTGGAACAAGTGGCTGAAGAAGCCGGGCCGAGGAACCGGGCTGTAAGTCACCAATGACGTGGTCCACGATACCCCATGCTGACTCCAGGCTTAGTGTGATTTGTGTTTCTCGAAGAAGGTAAGTTAGAGCCTCAGTCATACTGACTTTGGCTAACTACCAGGCTAACTTACCGTGTAAGATCAAATGTGATAGAGATGACCCCTGTGCCAACTGTGTGGCAGCATCTTCTCCATGTCTACGAAGACGACCAAGAAGAAGAGTCAAGCACACAGCCGATCCAATGTCAGTTTTGTGATGAACCTAACCTTTGAAGGCTTGGCTCCCATGTTATTAGCCCGACCCGTCTCTGATTTAGTACAATCACAGTCAACGCAGATTTCAAACCGCGGCCTATCTTCCCAATTGGCGCAGATCTCAGTCACCTAGAGCGCCTTCAATCACTTCAAATCCTGCAACCGTTTCAGCAAGACTACAAAAAGCCCCAGAGCCTACTAGGGATCTAAGTACCGAACCACAGTGTCAAAAGACACCGGTATCTCAACATGGGAGGCAGTCAATTTCGTCCAGTAGCACTGAACGAGGGCCTGCAACTGTGCAGGCTCAGCATCATATTCAAACAGAGCTTCAAAGTCGAGCTGGACTGGACGAGAGCAAGCGGCAAGTGTTGGAGTCGGCTCTGGCTTTCGCAACAAACAATACCCTCCCTGCACTCGCAATTGACCCGGATGGCTACACGTCGGAACCCACCGACCTCTCCGATGAAAATCACTATCCATCAGTTGAGACCCTTCATTTCATGTTGAACAGCAAGTTCATTCCCTCAAGGAAGTTACGACGATGGGAAGAAGCAGGTGACTGACTAATTGCTAGGCCCGAGAAAGGAGGCTGGATTGTGTTTCATACTCGACATGGGTAGTGTAATCTCACCGAGAACGTTTGAGAAACAGGGTCTCGACTTGATCGAGAAGAACGTATCAGGTGCAACTTACCTCCACTATACAGTCAATGTCAACTTTCTGGCTTGGATCTATCTCGGGGCAACGAACTCAGAGCCCGGCACTCTGATGCATGCGCATCTGCTCAAAAGGCAGCAACAGTATGAGAAGAACATACTTATAGCCCTGCATCGTATTGGGGTTCTTGACCCCCCAAGTATGTCGCTGTTTCAGGCACTTTTATCAGGGGTAAGCGCCAGTGAGTATGTACATAGTTACCAAAGACTGACGGCGCATAGACGATGTACATGCTACTCTCTGGCAAGCTGGAGAAGTGCTGGCAATTGAGTACTGCTGCCTGTCGCACATGCATGGCTCTTGGCGGCCCGCAACTCATATCAGCACCATCTGACAAATTCGGGTCTGAAGAAGCGCGATACGGACTTTCTCTTTGTTACATGTTCGATAAAGCGTTGGCTTTGAGCATGAATCGTACAGCATGTCTGCCTGATATGAATCTCGATACTACAGACCTACTTGGCCCTGATCCAGCAAAACCGCATACACACCTGCTCCATGTGTACTTACGGCTTGCCGAAATCCAAAATGAAATCGTTCATGGCTCCAGAGAACGAAGTAACTCGAGGGACATGCTCTCCAGGGTTCAAGGCATGCAGCAGGAAATGTGGAAGATCAAAGAAACTATTCGAGAGGTGAGACGATTCTTTATACTGCTGGCACAGAAGACGCCAAAGTTCTGACATGACGCTAGTTTCACAACACACAGCTCCAATCTAAAGATAGCTACTTGAGAGGCGAGTGGATGGGAGTAGACTTCGCCTACCATTCCGTCATGACTTCTGTGGTTAAGCTCCATCCATACCTAGCGGAAGACGTTGGGTTGCACCAACAACTCCTTGGGTTCGCTCGAACATCGCTGTCGTCTTTGAATGATATGCTGTTGCATGCCAAAACTCTTACAGACATTCATAACTTTAGGGTTTCTGTTTCATGGTGAGTTATCAATCTGCGGTAATTGAATCCTTATTAACACTACTAGGCTTGTGCTTTTTTATCCACTCTATCCTTTCTTCGTGCTTTTCACCCACGCAGTCAGTGTCTCCAGCGCACAGGATTATCAACTACTAGCAAACGTTACAAATGGCCTTCGAGAATTCAGCGGACAAAACTCAGCTTTGATGGGCGTTCAAAAGCTGTTTGAGGGGTTCATGGCTTTGTGTAAGCCAACATTCAGGAACGACTCTCGGACTCAGACTTCAAATGTAGTACAGGAGGCAACACAGTCCACAGCAAGAGGGACAAGCCCACTTTCAGCGCAAGGGTCTTCACAGGTACTGGAAGCATCGGAACAAAACAGAGTTGCGGTGCCCTGGTGGACAAATCCATTTGCAACGATTGCTGAAGAGGATGCAGACAACGCATGGAGCTCCGCTAATGGTCATAGTTCGGGGGCCATTCCAGACTTCAGCTCATTGGATGAACATGATCTGCTAACAGAGTTGTATAACACGCAGCCATCTATTGGGTGGATCGATGCATCATGGCCTTCAGCAAGTCATCCGTAATTGCGATCAAAATTATTTTCACGAGGTTGAATCACAGCATTACATTTTCATGTCTAAACTTTGCGTCTGTGGCATTTGTACGAAGACGTTGCTCTGTCGGTCTACTCGACTTAACCTACACCTGGAACTAATCGAAAAACATTCCACCGGAAACATTTATGCTCGCGCCGTTGATCCAGCTGGCTCTCTCCTCGGCCAGAAACGAGACAGCGAAAGCAACATCCTCAGGCAACCCAATCCATCCATCTACTGGAGTCCGCGCATCAAAGATCTGAGTCAGGAATGCGTTGCCCATCTTCTGAAGTTCGCCGAGGAATTGCGGTGTCTTAACGATACCGGGCGACACTGCGTTGACTGTGCAACCGTAGGTTGGCGGGAGATCCTTAGCGAGACATCTGGTGAGAGTTGCGATAGCCCCCTTGCTAGTTGCGTAGGCCGTCTGAAGGATCTCGGGTGATGTAGCAACTTCGGACGTGATATTGATAATTCTGCCGCCGCCGCCCTCGGATTTCGGAGGTAAGTATGGCAAAGCGGCCTGTGTTACAAGAAATGCGCCCCGAACATTCGTGTTCATGGTAGCATCCCAGAGATTGACCGTGGTGTCCTCGACCTTGGCAAGCGTCGCCTTGGCAGCATTGTTGACGATAATGTCAATTTTGCCGAACTTGTCGACGGCGGCTTTGACGAGTTTAGCAGGTCCGTCTACAGTGGATATATCTGCTTCAACAGCTATCCAAGGGGTGTTTAGGCTGTTTCCGACTTCGTTGGCGGCACCCTGCAGATCTGGCCAACCATAGTTGATCACTACCGAGGCACCTCGGGCTGATAGCTCTCTAGCTACTGCAGCTCCAATGCCCGAGGACGATCCGGTGATGAGAGCCACCTTCCCGGCGAGAGCGTTTGGGCTTGCATCCCGAGGGGGGTTAATACGCTTGCGGCTCGCGATGGCTTCCATATTGTTTGTGGACGGCGTTTTGGCGTGGACGTAGAAGACAAGCTTTCACTTAAGCAGATCGATTGAGAAACGGTTT